TTCCAAATTTCATTAAAATCAGTTCAGTGGTTTAGGCGTGAAAGTGTAACAGACAGACAGACAGAGTTACTTTCGCATTTATAAGTAGGGATTTATTATTTGCTATAACAGCTATTGTATATTTTAACGTATAATAATTCGTGTAACACGTTCCAGTCATGTTTTCTATATTAATTTGCGTTAATTCAGCGAGCGTTAAATTTAATCCGTTTGTATAGAGATGTAAGGATTAGAGATGGGTCGATGACGGGAGGCCGTTAATCCTGGAGCTGTTCCAACAGTCACGTTACTACACGCGCTCATGAAACGAAATAACAATCAAATCAAAAGTCATCAGATTAACGTCCAAATAATATTTTGCACAAATTTGATAAGGTGATTTTTGTGAGTGAGTCAGTTTAAAACATGTAGTTGTAGGTACATTGAATGAATTACACCCTCTTATATAAAACTTGAACCCTTTCTGTCTGGGCGGCGTCAGTCAACACCTCCCATGGACAGATTTCTATATCATAACCCTTTTTGAACCAATGGTGGGTCGACGCGGTTCGATAAAAAAATCAACGGCGGAGTCTGTTAAAAAAACTAAAAAAGACGAGCGGCGCGCGCGCAGCTCTCCGGGCGCGGTTAATAATAACCCTTTGACGAGGTTAGGAAGGGTTACACAACCAATGAGGATCGAGGCGGAGCCACATACGAGAATATAGGATACTCATTATGAAGACATAAAACACGAAACAACTTTACTTTATAGAAAGAATAACTCTTTAAATATAACTTCAAAGATACACAGTAGATTGAGAGCACTACTCTTTAGACTCATTTTACAATCATATCGTCTCTAAACGGGAAATCAATTGGTATAGTTTGTCGGTAATTTATTACAAACGTACATACAAAAATAGTCCCGCATACATAGTTGAGCCACGGACGAATTAAAAAAGATCACCCTCTTGTTGCAATTGAAGACAACTGGCCGTTACGACGCGTTGGTACACTTGTGAACGTATTTAAAAAGGTATTAATATACTATATATTTATTTATTTTTTCTCTTATATATTAAAAACTATTATTGTTATTCTCATTATCATGCATACATAACGAAAACAGACATATATATGAGGTATATCAATCAATAACTTTAATTTAGTATGTACATATAGATATTCTTATATAATACAAGTTTAATGATAGTTTGACCAGTTTTAATATATAGTAACTGTTATGTACCCGACTGTATTTATATTTAACATGCTCGTATTTACAAATTATCGCGTCGTCGGACAATTTGGATTCAGAGACTGACCCCTCTCGTTAAACTTATAGATGGATGAACATTATATAAACTGTAATATATAACTTATATACATAGCTTTATAAGCGGCATATTTATAACTATTTTATATACCTATAGAAATATATTTTAGTTATTGAGACATATACTTAGGTACTCAGATTACGTCAGTGGTGGCCTAGTGGTTAAAAGGCCCGCCTCACATGCACGAGGGCGCGGGTTCGATCCTGGCCCGGGCAAGTACCAATGTGATTTTTCCGAGTCATGTGTACTTTCTAAGACTATTTAGACATCACTGACTAATGCTGATTTCCAAAACAGGGTTGATATCAGGCAGGCGGCCGGTCGTAAGAACAATTAACTAAAACTATTCTCAATATGTAAGGCAGACCCTGGCTAAAGCTGGGAAATTGTCAGGTGAAGAAGGATACTTAGGTACTCAGATAAATTTTAATGAAGTCGTGACACGTGGAAGTTCTCAGTAAATAATAAGACAACATTTTAAGAAGTGAAACTACAGATACACTTTTTACTAATTAAATTGTATTTAGTATAATTGTTGGTAGAATTTATTAACTATAATTTTTCATTTTATTATAACTGATTGTAGACTTATTTCAGAACTATTTAACTAAAAATCTCATTTGTATAATAGCACGCCTACATAACATAGTCATTCAAACTACATTCATAAACCGTCCCCTATCAATGTATTAGTTAAAAATTCTTCTTTACACGAACCAGTAATGAGTTCTTTTAAAATATCATGACAAAAAGCTTGAACGAACATAGGGGCGTATTCACATGTGGGTCTATATTGTTTTATGTGTAATTGGTTAAGTATATGAGTGTAATGCTTTACGACTACGACTGTATTCATTAATGTTACTGATTAATTGAATAATATACAACTATCACATTATATATCGGCTTGTAGAATAAAAAATGATTTATGTGGAGCAAAAGTATAATAATAGTAGTAGACAATAGCCTAATTTGTACCTCGTAATCAGTTGTAATCTCATGTTTTGACCGCTGTATATGTGTGTGTGTGTTTATAATCCTGGGTGTGTGTGTGTGTGTGTGTTTATAATCCTGGGTGTGTGTGTGTGTGTCCAGGGTGTCATATCCATGTACAAGACATCGTTTAGTAATCCATCCAGCGAGGCGCATTACTCAAATTAACACAGCATAAAGTGTGGCGTGCCCCTGATTAGTTAGCGGAGACCCGCGGGCGCGACTCTGACTAATTGACCTAAAACTGCTCAACACGAATCGGTCGAAATTACACTTTATAGGCTGTCAGGGTTGTGCCTAGCTCATCAGACATTCATCAAGTATATTAAGACTTATAACTATTAATCTGCCCCAAAAAACAGATATTCAATTTCAATCGAACTAAAACCTTGTTATTCCAAAAAAACATCAATAAAATCCATGAAATATTTCCATTTTCTGTTCCTCGTTTTAAACTAAATATGTTACTTAATGAAAATTAAAACTATATCCATATTATCCGTACATTTGTCTTTCAATATTTCTGTTTAATTATTGTCAGGATCATGTACATAGTAGTATATATGTCCAAGCAGCCCTGGCCAGACCGCGAGACATGCTAATACCCCGGATTGATGGTCCCACACCCACTAACCCTAATCAAATTAATGGCGACTGGACTGTGATTAACGCAGTCCGGTATACATTTCCATAGAGTGTCATCGGTCGGGGAGCGGCCGATTTATATCTATCAGCATGTAATCTACCATTCATAGTGCCTTCATACTGAGAACAGAACAGAAAAAATTGGTATTTATGACGAATGAGAGCATGCTTCGTCTTGTGTGCAGTTTTTGGTGAATTTAAATGAGTTTTCTAGCTACAATGAATCTCCTCTAATTGTAAACGATAATATGTGTCGTTCTAATTGCATCATACATATCAAAGTATCAGATATATTTATTAAGTAGTGTAAGAACACGAAGTATAGTCATTAGTAAGTTCATGAGCGTTCCGTGTGATTGGTTCTCATGAGACGATATTAATGGCCCCGGCCGGCGCTCGCTGTTCCCTGCTCCGGGAGCCGGCTCGCACCAAACTCCTACAACTTTGTTTGACGTAATTAAAATCCATCTCTCTTCCCCCCCCCCCCCGACTCCCACGGCCTCCCCCCCGTGAACGACACGGCCATCCGACGCGTAATTTTCCTTTCAAAGAGAACTTCCGTCTTAGCTCCTCCTACCCTAATGAAAGATTACTTTCCTCAGCCTAAAAAGGCTTTTAAGCAACGCCAGCAAAATGACCGAAGTTTTATACTTTAATGACTTAGTGCAAAATTTGCCGATTCTCGAACAAATTTTAAACTTAGATTAAGATTTCGATGTTTGAGATTACGAGATGTTTCTCGAACATTCCGACCGTCGGCAGTCGGCTACCGAATATGAATACCAAGCAATCTGCTCTAATTACTTTTTAATTACTTTCATGTATTATGGATTCCGTGTACAAGCTTACGAACAGAGACGACAAAATACAACGAAGCAGAAACTAACTTTTCAATCTCTTAATAATAACTGAAACTTGAGGCGTGCGCTAAATAAAAAACAACATTGAAATTTTGTATTTGTAATTTTAAGAGATGTACATGATAGTAATAAAAGTTATTTGTGTTACACGAAAAAGGAGTGTTCAGTTATCCGTCTCGCGACAACGGCGCAATTATTAATTGCCGGCTCCCCATCGGAGTGACCCGCAGAGAGGGCGCAAAAACGTCCTCCCGTGTCCTGTCAGTGAGGGAAAAAATCAGTGAGCGATCGGCCCCTTCCAGTCCATCATATTGATTGAGGGTGGGGCCACCACCGGTCAGCGGCGTGCGTTCATCTATTATAGACATCAGATGCTGCGACCTCCACAATAAAACACAGATATAAACTACGAAACAAAAACCTACACACAATAAAAACATGCCGCAACGATGTAGTCTGAACAAACGAAGCGGCAACCGTTTATAACAAAAGATATTTGTTATCTTTTAAAGTAGCCGATGAAATAAAAGCTAAACTATCTATGACAGTAAAATCCCAGCGGCCTTACCTCGGGTCAGGTTTAAAAGGATTTCACAGTCTCAACTGAAATCTGAAACATCTTTGATTGTTTTAAATAGACAGATAACGGTCACTAACTAAATCTGTGTGGAATTCATTCGACAACTTTCAACAACTGTCATCAGCTCTATACACAGTTTGTTTATATTATCAAAGTATGTAATTTTTTTTATTATTTGTTATAAAACACTGAACACTTATTATTATAACATCAATATTGACAGAGCGATCCGAATAAGTCTGAAATCAAACCTTAGCGTAGTGTCAGCATTAAGGAAGGAAAAATAAAAGGCCCCCCTTTAGCGTGGGTTGAAAGTTTGGTTGTACTTAAAATATGTAGAGAGTGAAAAGTATGTGGCCAGGGTTGGAGGCCCGGAGCCGGGGCCCGGGGGGGCTGCGGTCATCGCATGATGGATCACCTCGGAGACTTCGGCTTTCTTTTCCCAATTACAGCAACACAACTTATTTAACAGATAGCTATGTGTTTTGTTGTTTATTATATTTTTATTTAACTAAATATCGGGGCTTTATTCAAGTTACATATATAAATATAGTTTTTTTATATACATTGCAGATTTTATACCAACTACTAAGTTTATAGATCTCATAGATGAACCGTTGTAAACGTGTCAATGTAGTGTACTGTATGTTTTATCGTTGTTAGTAGTAGTGGTATTTTCCAGCATCCCGGTCCAGTCACACACACACACACAGGGCTTGTGATGAGTGTGTGTGTGTGTGTGTGAGCCTCCGCCCCCGCAGCCCGAGCCCGGAGCCCCACGTTGCCCGGCAACCGTTTGTTTTCGCGGGGCGGACTCCTAGAAGGGGTACATCATGATTGATCAGCCCATATATGCCTACTCTCACAATGTCTGTTGTATTTTTAAAACTCATCTTGTACATCATTAGTGGTACACTATTGATGATGCTAAACCTACATATACATACATACATGGTATGTAGACGTTACTTTTTTATATACATAATAATATTTAGAAATAAGAATAGGAAGTACAAAGAGCTTTTACTAAAGAATAAAATATATCTTTTCAATAAACTTAAAAGTTATAAATTATGGTTCCATATAGAGTAAATTTTGTTTGATAAATATATATATGATCTAATATGTAATATTATACTAATATTTGGAAAAAGGCACGGAATATTATTCAAATATTGATTTTTAACTTGAGTTTTCTCTTAAATTCACTATTTTTGTTATTTAATCCTCAATATTATGAAACAGATATTTAATTTTTACACAGGTGTTAATTGATATTATATATAAAACATTTTTTTTTACATAAGATTAAAGTATTGTATGAAAAATCAAAAAAATATATTTAAAACTAATTGATACAAATGAGTTATTGAGACGAAAAATACTGAATCCTAAAATATACAATGTAAATTATCTTTTTATATAAAAAAATATACAAAGACCGTCTGTTCCGAGAACAGAAAATATTCATAAAGCGAAATGTTTTAAGAGGCTACTTTATAATTATTCATAGAAACAAAAGGGACGGAAAAAAATCGGTTCAATATTTTATAGAGTGCGTAAATTTTGCAAGTTTGCCAAAAAAAAACTTGTAACAAAATCGCAATAAAATTTCTGCTCCTTTTCAAATAGTCTTATATTGTTTCCTTTGTAAACTCTGCGTTTAACAAAAGAATTTGTGTCAATATTAAAATTCTAAGAAATTTTATGCACAGTTTGCATAATAGTCGTCAAATAAATTAGTTTAAAATTAACTAAAACTGTGCAATAACTGGGGTTTAACTTAAAAACATAATTTGATTCACGGTCCAAGACACTGTTTTTACTCTACCTCCGTCTATAAAACATTTCAAATATATCCTAATTGTTATAATACTTTAGAATATAAAGAACTAGTTTCTGCCAGCGACTTCATCCGCGTTAATTTAGGAATTAGTAATACATGTACGAGTATAGCTGACCGGGCGAACTCTATTCCGCTCTAGAGGCCGAAAATAACCAGATATTGGAATTTATCAGTTACTTTTTTTTCGATCAAACAGAATTAAATCTTTTCTATCTCCACACAAATTGTCAATCATATACTTACAGCCGTTCTTGAGTTATAAAATACTGTAACTAACACGACTTTCTTTTACATATATAAAACTTGACCCAAATAAAGAAAATAATTACGTTTAAAAAGACATCTTAATAAAATATTAGTTTGTAATAATTGAAAAAGAAAGTTCTATCCAATTAACTGGTATCAATAGTCACCCTTGCTTCGGAAAAAAACTATGAATAATAGATTATAATGATATACTTGGTTTACATAAAAATGAGTATCTGTTACACTGGCCTGTTATTAATAAAAAACAGTAGGTACTTTTAATTTATTAGAACGGACTAATCGTGAGAATTATACAATATGAATTCCTTTATTCTGATGTCCTACAATCGTCCTTTCAGTCAATTTTATTTAAAACTAGCTTTCCGCCCGCAGCTTCGCCCGCGTGGAGTTCGGTTATATCGCGTTTCCAAGAGAATATTTCAAAAGTCAGAGATAAAAACTATCGTATGTTCTTTCTCAAGGTCAACTATATCTCTGTACCAAATTTCATTAAAATCAGTTCAGTGGTTTAGGCGTGAAAGCGTAACAGACAGACAGACAGAGTTACTTTCGCCTTTATAATATTAGTAGGGATACGTTAAACAATGAAGCCGACCCAATTAATATAAAGCCAGCTATGAATCTCTAAAGGAATGTAATATAATTTTAATATGCTGATGCATATCTTACGAAAGAATTCTATCCCGAAGTCGGGTCTTTCCAAATTACTCCTATTATTTCATAAGCCTTATTACGTTCTTAATATTCATCACATTCCAATGTATTTTTCATGTACAGGAACCGTTTTATTATAATTTCTTTCCGACATCACTAATTTACTAAATTATGTACATTCCTCGTCTGATATAGTGTATATAGATTGTAGGTAGGTACTGCTATCGAACGGCCGTTGTAAATGTTGAAATAATATCAAAATAATATTTTTTTTGATTGCTTTAGATGCATATTATTGTTATCTTTAGTTCTGTGTTGTCTATGTGTCTGTCTTGCATCAACAACTGACGTATCTTCATTAATAATTATATAGTCGAGGATAGTACAAATCCGTGTAAATAGCATTGAATAATTCCGCGTATCTACACTAGAAGCAGATTATTAGAAGAAAGTTTGAGCTAAAATATTTACTATATTAACGAAATTTAAAGTAATATTTAACAAATAAAAAGCGAAAAATTACCTTAAAAGTCGTTAATATAGAAAATATTTCAACTTAAATTTTCTTATGATCTGCTTCCAATGTAGGTACGCGGAATTATTCAATGCTAGTTACGCGGTTTTGCACCATCCCCGACTATATGTAGCACGAATATAAATGAATATATAAGTAATTCATAGTTGTATGCTAATTAAACAATAAAGTTGGTTTTATATTAAAACATCACCTACCACAACGACAGATGTCAAAAAAAAACTTAACGGATAGAATAAGGTGAGCTTTTTATTAACCGCTCGTAAAAAATTAAGAACACGCGCTTGGAAATCCGATTAAAAAAGGGGTGAACGCGTGTCTTAGAAAAAAAGGTAACCGTAACCCGTAACCATGATACTGATGGAGCAATTTGAAAGTATTTAAGTTAAAAACGATGGCTGTTCAGATATCAACTAATTGGATCACACGGCCATCGATAAATGTATCGAAATATGTTCTTACATCTGCCCTTTAATACATTCAGTTTGAAAAAAACAATTATAAAACTGCATAGTAAATAAATATACATATATTTGCAATAAAATATATGATTATTCTGATGAAAACAAAAAATTAAGATAAATATAATCCCTACTAATATTATACATGCGAAAGTAACTCTGTATGTCTGTCTGTTACGCTTTCACGTCTAAACCACAGAATTGATTTTAATTAAATTTGGTACAGAGATAGAGTTGACCTTGAGAAAGAACATAGGATAATTTTTATCCCAGACTTTTGAAAGGATCTCTTGGAAACGTGATATAATCGAACTCCACAATAGCGAAGTCGCGGGCGGAAAGCTAGTCGTAAAAATTACCAAAATATTAGACTTTAGAGATATAGTACATTTGTAAATATTATTTCTAACACCTCTGTCATATAACAATTTAAATGGCTCCGCGACCGTTAATCTAATTCAATATTTCTTTAGCCACGAATAACAGGTGATGATACAAAAAAAACAAGGCACAAAGCTGTTTTGAATCAACTGTCTCGGCTAGCGCACGTTTTTTGTTAACGAAAAAACATTCTTAGATAAATTAAGAAATACAACGCGTGCTTCGAAAGGATTCATTTAATTTCTATTAAAATATAAATAAACATTAAAATTTTGACAAATTTGTTGTATTTAATCATGTAATTAGTACAATAATCATGATAAATTGGCAGCATTCAATTGAGCAGCATGTTTGATGTTGTTAGAGGCAGCGTAATCTACAAACAAGTGTATTTTCAATAAAAAAACGCACAATTGAAGGGTTGGAAAGGGTTGTAAAGACATGATGGCCGTGTAAACATCGAGTAATTACATAGAAGCAGGTAAAAGGGTTGCTTTTTGTTCACTTGTTAATATAATACGTGAAAGTTTATTTATGTTTGTGGGTTTGTAGTTTTTTTATGAATAATCTCATTAGAAAAGTTATGAAATTAAGATGAAACTAATAGTATTCAGATTACCAAGTATATTTTATTATTTGAACTACACACTCCCGACGTTTCGGTTACTTTTCAGCAGCTGTGACTGTCTGAAAAAACTTATAATATATTTTAAATTATTTCTATTTTTCTTTTTTGCTAATAATTATAAATTATATATGTCATCAATTAATAAGTCGTTGTGGTGCACCGTATGTCGGTGTAGTTCCCACTCTGCCGCATCTATGCCTGTCATAAATCTACGGCAGATAATAAAAAATCCAACAATCACTACGTACCCTTTTATTGCGGCAGATTGTAAACCTGATAAAGGACTGAATGACGGAACTGTCCGCGAAACTAATTTATAAATAATTGAGATTTCATTTTTTATATAAAAATAGGGGAAAATAGAAATAGAAAGTGTACTAAATGAATTTTACGACATAAAGTAATCGAAACTGGAGCGGAAAGGATTGAGGCATTGGTTTACTAACGAGGTGATGCAAGGTAGACCCTAACTAAACTAATGCCTACTACTGATAAAATGAAGAATTTTATACAGTTCTTAAGACCTGAAGACTACTGCCATTAAATATTATTCAAAACTTTAACATGATCTTTTGATAAAATAAATGTTTTATATTTCAACATTAAAATATCATAATTTATAAAAAACACCTCAAAATAACGTATTAAAAACACTGAGGATTAATATTTTTTATAATAACGGCAATCGATCGACACAAAGTAATGATTACTAGTTACAAAAGCACCCTTTCTGACCCACTTTTTACCTATTTTTAACAATTTTTCCGTTCCCTCTTCAAAAGCTTTGAAAGGCCGGGCGTGAACGAGTTGATGATATTACATTTTTTATTTGAAAAAAAGTGAATTTACGAACAATCTCCCATATTAACAACAAAACATAGCTGTTGTGTTCATTGTGCTGTTTTTTGTCGGCTCGCGTGCGCCTGCGCGTCGGCGGCCCCGCGAACCCTTCCGAGATTGCGCGGAACCCTTCCAGGATCGCCTATATGCCGAGGGTAGCCCTGGAGCTAGAACACATAACATCCCAAGGCTCACATCCCTCCGCTCCGTCCCCTGTACTTGCGACCCTTTTCTCTCCTCGTATCCGCTACAATTCGCATGTGTTCAACCGACAGCTGCACCCCGTTTTTATATACTCTCATATTTTTTCACAATGCACGTAACCGAGGCACCCTTGAAACAGTTTGCGTAATCGATGACAAAACTAAACATTCCGCCCGGTGATTTCCGTATTTTTGGATATTACGATTTCAATGGGAGACTAGGAACCGGTTTATAACATTTAAAAAGTTCAATAAAACTCAAAAAATATTATCACCAATAGTGATATCATCAGAAGGTTGGGATAGATGGACAGCTATCAAACAGAAGTTAGCACATTATCACCATATTCAAATAAGGTATTGTTTGTAAAACAGCTACCGTCCATTTAAGACGAACGATTTAAAGAATAAATCACTCTTTAATATAATGCAATTGAATTTTAATGTGCGAAAAAAATATTCAAAGTTTATTATCGATCTATCCGATCGCTGTTCTAGGAAACGATCAGTTGAGACACAGGTAAAGACGCGGAACATGCTCCATAGACTGTTTACTAAAATTAAACATAATGTACAGCGTCATCTTATTAGGTAGAGTACAAATTGAGTTAAGATTATAACAAGCTATGTCCACACTGTGTACAAAGCTCGTATTTAATATTAGTCTTCTATACTAGAGTAGACATACAAGTAGACAAACAAGGCAGGCCCTGGCTAAAGCTGGGAAATTGCCAGGAAGAAGAAGAAGAGACTAGAGTAGACATTTATACTTTAATTATTTAATACGAACCAAAAAACAGTAATTAGGATCAGTAATGAGAATGATTTTATTAGACTCCAACACCAAAACGATTCTTTTGGAACTCTAGCTGTTACTCAAGAAATTCTTTGTCAAGAATATTGTCGTCGTTAACATTAGGTATAGTCATCCCTCCAAATATATACATTATTTACTCAACCCCAAATACCATTAGAATTCGGAATGGTGGTTCATGCCGTTGATTTATGCAGAAGTATCCAGCGCAATGCAACTGTCCAGTTTTTGCAACAAAAATCGAGGGGCGACTGACCGAGGGTTGAATGGTAAAATGCAACGACGGCGACCAAGCATCCCCCCGTGTGAGAACAAAATAAAAATGTACAAATACTTTTCAAAAGTCATCCTTTTATGCAATCAGTTTTACGAAGTTCCTATATCATGATTATCAAAAAAAGACAGAACTCTTTACATGTAGGTACATTAAAATAATAATTAAAGGAGTGTCTGTAATTTTGAAAATATCATGATTATCAAAAAAAGACAGAACTCTTTACATGTAGGTACATTAAAATAATAATTAAAGGAGTGTCTGTAATTTTGAAATGACGTATTTTTCTATTGTTATCATTATTTAACAAAAACCATCATGTTTGAATGTTTCCGTCTGTGTCCGAGCTGAAAGGATTGTAATAGTTTCACTAAATGATAGAAACTTTTAGGATTAAATAAGGAACATCTGAAATTACTTAAATATTAAGCATAAAAGCAAATTTCCAAATTTAACTTGTACAAAACGTCAATTACAATAAGAGTTTAATCACCGATCCGTTTTTCGTACCCGCGTTTAGCAAAAATAAACATTAAATATAAAGTAAAGAAACTGAACAAACTATATTTTATATAATAATGATATAATATGATGTTAAAGATCAAGGAATACCAACAAATATTATATTTAGCAAGCACGTGTCGGTACAGCGGCGTTTTCCATCAAAGTATCGATTCAAAGGATACAATTAAACTAAGAGTTAGGTAACAGCGCGTTTGTTTTCTCACACATGCGTATGTGCTTTAACCCCACAAAACTTTCATCTCCAGAGGCCGGGAGGCTCCCCATCCCTCCGAGCGAGTCCTAACTTGTTGTGACTTGTTCACCTCTTTCAGTGTCGCCCTCCGCACGTCCCGATACCGCCATTTATACTCTTACATTATGTACCAACCTACTTATTTTGAAGATGGCCGATGTTTTATGGGCTTATTTAAAATAAACGTCCTGTATTGAACTAAATCACAAACGGAATATCAACTAAATATGAATATATGTTTGATATGTAACATATATTTGCTAACACGAATTATAAATTTATTACGAAAATTTGTGAGTTTAGATAGAGATCAATTAATCCTACTTAAATGTTATAGTTTTTTAAGGTCATCTCATTTTGTTTCAATCATTACCTCATTCACATCCAATACATTATCAAAGTTCAAGATATTTCTTATTATTTATCGTCAATATAAACAAACAATAAATATATCATAAATCAATTTCTGTTACCACAAGGATCTGTTTAGAAGACGTGTGTCGCGTGAAGAAAACAAAATGTCTGCCGACGCTCCTCGCACACGAGCAATAAAAAATTCCTTCAACATAAAATGTAACGCGTGCTCATCCGACACGCAACAATTGAATCCAACCGCGGGGACAGATTTTTACTAAAAAAAGTGAAATTTATTTTTAAAAATCCTCTTCCCCCGTTTAAAAAACCTAATCTGAACGCGAGCGGCTGAACATTTGACGCGCTCGCGCATGTGCTTGTAATGTCCCCCTCGGAATTTACAATTTTTACGGAAAATAAGTTAGTAGAGACATTCACGAAGGGCGATCGATGTTGGAGGAAAAAAATCGCGAACTGTTACAAAGAACGGACATCACGGGGATGAAAAAATATTGAAGTAGACATCGTTTTTCAACAATGGCTGGACGTTATGGCTTTGAGAGTTCAACGGTTTTTGTAACCCCTAATTTACAAGAAGGGATCGTACACGTCTTAGAGTGTGTGGAATCTAATGTAAATTTTTGTACAAAAATGGGAATTTAAATAAGTGACCCCTCGACGAAGGCCCTTCGCGTTAACTGCACGTTATTGATAGCATTTGTCTGTTGGCTGTAGAAAAATATTTGTGTTATATATTAAATTATTTAACTTTATTAATCCTTGACCCTTAAGTTTATAAACAACGGTTATCTTTAAATTCGTTTACAACTTGACTAGTAAATACTATATTATTGATCAGAAATAAAGAAGAAATATCTGTATGTCTTATAAAAAAAGAATATCTAATTCTATTGATTAAATGTTTTAAAATATGTAAAGAGTAAAGACCAGCATCAATTACTCAAACTAAGTACTCAAATAAAGTGTTTTTCTTTAAGATCTTAAAAATTGTCTTATGGACTCGCCAAGATGGATTATGTATTATATAATTTTGTTGGAAACAATCAGAGAGTGTGACTAATAAATAATTAATTACTACCTACATTCAATAATATATAAGCACCCATTTGTAATTAATAAAATTATATATAATTATTTAAATGTTATAGCAAAACAATAAGAACATAAAAAAATATTTTTGCAGCTTTTGATAGATAGTTAATATTATAAATAGCTTATAAAAAGTTACGAAAGCCAACAAAATTTATAATTTATTACATTTCTAAAAAATATTCTAGTTGCAACTATACTTTTTAATTTTGTCTTTTCGTTTATTTTTATACCTGACTATCTCAGGTCTCTCACAAAAAATATTACTTCAAACGCAATAATTCCACGGGTAATAAGTACTCAAAATGTTTAATATACTGCACTTAGATAATAACAAAACTATATTGAATATACAACGATTAAAAGCATTGGGATAATATCTAGTGTTGAGAGTCGCACAGGAAATTAACATGATGCGAGTTTTCCTCAGGGTGAAGCTGAGATATCAATAAATAAAATTGCCAAAAAGAAATGCCACGACGAACGGCGGGGGAAAAACATAAAAAACTAATAGTGATGCTGAGAGCGACTACGATATATATATATGTATATATATTATACAATACACAATAATCGAACACTAATTTATATTAGAAGGATACAGTGGCGGCTGTACCTTAAGTGCGCCCGTGCGCTGAACCACCAATTCAAAATATTTAAAAATTACAAAATATTATGTCATCTTAATTTTTAAATAATATCTTAATTTTTAAATAATATTTATTTTTTAAACATACAAAAAGGTATAAAAAATTTAATTTCCAATTATGGTCAAAAAGTTTGAGCGCTTTACTAAACTCATATCGTGCGCTGCGGCGAGTGCACGAGGACTGCTAATACATCTTGTATGAGACACGCATTAATACGCCTGACGCGTGAGACAAAAGATAGTTCATAGAAATGTACCGAGTAACGAGTCGGTTCTCGCGCGCCGCACGAAGCGGCCGAAGGTCACCGAGAGCACCCGATGTATGACGTATTGAGCCGGCCGGCAAGGGGCCGGCCGAAAGGATGGGTGCTATGATTGACATTTCGTTAATCGTTATTGGTATTGTTTCAACTTTCACTGTATGCGTGACGCGTTAATTCGTTATTGTTTATAATTATTTCCGTAATTCGTTTTAGTTTTTATTTCGTTTCTATAATAGAACTTTTATTCTGTACTGTGTTTTTTATTAGTTGAAAATGAGTATAAATATTGATTATATTAAAGAAAATAACAAAATTTTTCAAAGTAAAGTGAACATAAAATTGGCCGGGCCGCCAAAAAATGTCGTCGTATTGATTTAATGTACAAAAAATAAACATATTTTATGTCAATTGTTGTTTTTGTCAATATTTTAGTAAAGTGAACCACCAGTTCGATAACCCACCAGCCGCCACTGGAAGGATATATTGTTCATATTTTTATGACAGGATCAACATTCAAGTCTCAAGAATTAATACAGATATCTACATTGTAATAAATACGCAAGTATAAATTTAGTTTTTACTCGATAAAACTGGTCAAAATTAAGGTTAAAATAATCTCCAACATGGGTTATATGTTAAAATATATATAGAGATAAATTTTAGGGTGAATTGGACGAACTTGGTCAGCTTGGAAGGGTCGCAGTCAGTGAGTTGGGAGACCGGCTTGTAACTGAGAGGCATTTACATTAAACTATCGTTACTCTACGTCAAGTCATTGCCAGAACACAGAAATCACAAACACATCCAAATAACTGACATTGAGATATCATAGAACAGTTAATATTAATCAATCTACATCATCATCTTACATGTACCAATTATACAATTTTTGGTCCCTATCTAACAAAGCACGCTAATTAAAAACCGGTAATAGAAAATTTAATGTTATTTAACAACGCTTTATATCGTTATACAGTAAATATATCAAATGCGAACAATGTCCGTATTACATGAAGGTAGGTAGCGTTTATATAAGTGTATAGATGGCAGGGTCGAGCGAGGGTGAGTCGCCTAACCCTTCACCGAGGGTACGTCAGTCGGAGGCGGGCAGCGGAAGGGTTACCGCCCTGGCCCCACGAGGGGGCCGGCCAGACTCCCTACACCACACATTTACGATCAGCTTTTTTATCGCGCGTGTCGTTTTTCCTTTTTTCTATTTTTTATGTTTATTTCCTCGAGATCATAAATTACGTTCGAAGGAAGGGAACTCTCGGACGGAACCGGGGCGTCGTCGACTTTATTTTCTTCCATACGTTTTGTTTTTTATGAGCCGTGCGTTCATAGGGTTGCAGCGTCGCCATGGTTACTGCATCGCATTAGACGAGGGTGTCGGCTACCGAACGAACGGAGACGTTATCTACAACATGTATGTATAAATAACCTAGAGATGTATTGTTGTTGTTGTAAGATGATCCTACTAATACTAGTGTCAATATTCATTTGTTGTTTACATCCACACAGCGAGATGGACGCTCTCCTCGCCATGTTTACACTCGCTGCCAGCTCGTCACTGGACATACTGCGTGTAATTCTATCCGACAATGTTACGGACTACTGATATTAAATGTAAGTGAAAGTAAACCGACTCGACAACACACTGTCTTCATATTTATTAGTTAATATTTGTACTGGATGACCAATTAATGGGAAGCTACGCTGGTATTGATATATTAATATCTAGTAGTTAAAATGGACATTCGCCGTACGATCTTTGGTCTGTAAACCTCAATGAAATGCCTTCAAGAACAATGGCGCTAATTATATTTTTCATTAGTTCGTAAGCCAAAATTAAATTATTCTTTAAAATAATTACTTTTTGTAACGAAAAATTTAATTATACTTTAGTCATTACAAAAGTAATTATGATTTCTCTTGATTGTAACCCAGTACATTAACATTAATTTATAATTCGTTTTAATAAAGACTCCAACCGCACGAAGCGGCCCTTGTCTCCGGTTAATAGCTTACATTTGGATAAAAAACCAACCGCAGCATATTGTGTTCGATCGAGTTAACCACCCGCGAAAAAGAAATTTACCAATAAAAGAAGAAATAGTTACACGCTGCATTTACAATTAGAACCCTTTAGGGCGCCACGCCGACACACAATGGGGACTGGCGAATGTCGGCAGGTAGCGAATAGTTTGGAATGAAGCCAGTAATTATTAAGGGTTCCACTTTAATAAATGGCTCCTCTCCTAAATGATTACCGTCGACCAGCCGATACGCCATACGGACACCCATACCTGCCAACCCTTCATCATTACACTCCACTAATATTAGCAAATTTCGCCAGTGGCCGCGGCAGAAGTTTTTGTTATATTGAAACAAATAGATCAGTTTAAAAATGTTTCTAACTATATGTACTGTATTTTATTGATGTAAATAAATAGTTCTTGATAATAATATCACTCTACTGCTTAAAAAAACGTATTTATTGTCAAATATATTTGTTGTTTGTATAAAAAAAATTGTAAAGATGTTTTAAGCATTAGATAAATAGCGAAATTGTTATAAATTGAAAGGGTAAGGATGTCACAGGAACCCTTTTGCCTGAAGGCATCGGAGTGCATCATTATGACTTATAATTCTAATGTTTTGCTTTTTAAAATCGTATTTCCTATTACATTCTGATCCATCGGAGCGAGCGCGAGTACGTTCCTAATACGACGACAAAACACGACAAACAATACATTCACGCACATTTGTAAAGAATCTCTCCACAACGCCTACGCTTCATGTGGGGTTTGGTGCAAGTTATAAGAATTATAAGGATCCTAGAAGACCCGGCGAACTTCGTATCGCCCTATAATCAAGAAATATCTGTTACGTTTTTTTATTTATTTTTTTGGAGTTTACCTATTAAAGCCATAAATCTCCGTGTTTTGAAGTGCGACAGAATGATTGACATATTAGTTAGTTGTCAAATCTAATGTCAAAAAAAAAACGTTTGTATCAACAACTACTAATAAATTAAAAATTAATTTAAAAAACATTGTCCAGCGGACAAAATTGTGAATCTAAACCATTTCCAGATCCCTTTGAACAAACACAAAAAATTTCATCAAAATCAGTCCAGTCGTTTAAGAGAAGTTCAGTGACATACACACTCACAGAAGAATTATATATATATATAAAGATTTATGTATAATTTTGTCTTTGTCTTGGTCAAAGTTTGTGAGTTGGGCCACACACGGAAGTTAGCAGAAGGTAGCCGGCAGTCCTGACTATAGAACTATAGCAGAGCACTCAACTGTAAGACGACGGGCCGTAATCCTTTACCGACTCAAGCCTTTCACGAGCGATAGACTTGAAATATTTGTTAAATATTATGGACGATACACAAAGCACCTCTTGTTACTTACACCTTGACAATTGAAACGGAATTCGGAAGGACTTAGCGCAGGTAAAATAACTAAAAAATGGAAACGGTTTTATAAAATTACTGATAAAATTAATTAAAATGTCTGTAAATTGTTTTGTTGAAAAAATCATTGTCAGATATATTTTTAGTGACAAAATATCTAATAAAAATTTCCAGTCGATTCGCAAGAGTTTTTAGAACTTTATTTTAAAAGTAATTTTTTAAGCTCATCCTTATTTATAATTTGAAATAAGTATTATATACAAATATAGTTTAAATAGTACAAGCTTTGGTTGAAAATATATATGAAAATAATTGTTTTAATTTTTCACGTCATTATTAAATGAAATGTGTATGATACGAGGAAGTAATAGTGTGTAATTTAAATGTTAGCTCGTGTACACATAGCCATGTAAGTAGCGAGTCCGATGTTTCCTCTGCTAAGTAAACAGATATTCTGAATAGCTCTCGTCATTAATAAATGTCGGATGGACTGTACTCACCCGGACTAACATCGGATCATTAATATTGAGTAATACATGTAGGCGGTGCTCGAGAGGCTTTCACCCTTTACGACGGCTATTTGTCGGTAGAAAAAACGTCATTACGGGAACCGAGGACTGCTGTAATAGTGTCTCTTTTATGTTCATTAGATGAAGTTACGTTGAATATCGATTTAACGCCTGTCTGACGAACGACGCGTGGTAATATGACTTAATAAAATTGACTCAATTAAACGTTTATAAAAACATGACTTAGTTTGTGATGCTACAGTTTTGGAAGACAAATATTTTAATATTATTTGATAGTATAATCATTACAAGCAATAATTGCGTAATATATCATAGCGATGGTGGTATCGAATACAAGTTTTGGCTCTCGTCGAGATTATTATTTCCACATCAGGGAAACTCAGATTTATACCCTGCTATTGGAATTCTGTTACACCAATAATTCTGTCACTCTTACATTCTGAGAGTCGAATAAATCACTGGACTGTACGTATCTCGTATTCTATACATATCTTGACTTGTATAGCATTTCGCGTAGTTTAAGGAAAGGGCGGGTTATATTTTTTTCATCGGTCAGATATTATTTATTTAGCCGGCGATATATTATCCTTTCACGGTCACAAAGGAAACCCGACGGCCAACCCATTAGCCAGGACGCGCAGCGGGCGATCATGATCACTCCGCTCATGTTAATTTATGTGCATTGACGCTTTGTGCCGTGACAATGGAACTATTTTATAGCATTCGGCTGCCGGACACCCAGATTAACATCTACGCACGGGCTTGGCTTTCTCTGGTTTTGTGCAAGAGCACAATGGCACCAACAGGCACCTGGCCATGCATTAATAGCCAAGGATACCTGGCCATGGTGCCACTGTTGAAGACAATTATGCAAAAGGATTAAATGTCATTTAAACCTATTGTGATGGTACGCTAATGGCAGGGAACTGACTACAATAAAAATCATTGATATACATGAGAATATATTAAGACGGTATGCTCATATGAAACCTTTAATAGCTTAGCGTTACAAGATATAATAAACTAGTTATGTATAAAAACTAAAAGGACCTATGAATAAAGGAAGACCTTAATAATATTGATTTATATATAGCTTCGACTCTATTCTGTTTCGATACGCATCTCCTCCTCGTTGGATGCGTGCTGCTGGCCCGGCACCAGGTCTCCGTGGACCCTCACCCTATACACACATGTGTACACCGGGTGACCCCAATTGGAAAATATCTTGAGACGCACTAAATTGTAACCTTTAGGCGACTGATGCAACACCTCGAAGTACTGTATCGGCTTCCCGTCCTTCTCATACTCGAAAGTACCGAAATCGTACGGATAAGGATCTCCGCGGAACTCCAGACCTTCAAGCTGAAATAGACGAGGTGCCGACGAAATCTCTCTGGAAATACATCGAAGCGATGAAAGGTCATGAACTATGATGGCATAACAACGTAATTCTACACGTATATGTAACCAAAACCCACTTGGTGGGAGAGATGTGAGCCGGTATGTGTTCCAAGCTGACCCCAGTAATTCTTACGGTCCCTAGAAGTCGTATCGTTGCTTCTCCCTTAGAACCTTTAAACGCCCAGCACTCTCCGGGTAGTGTTCCGGGCTTGATGATAGCGTTGGCTCCGAGACAGTCACGACAGACCAGCGAACTTATAGAGTGAAGCAGCCAACCGACCGGAGACTCGTGGATGAAGTGTTCCAGGGTGTCTCCGGTATCAATCACCCGCGCTCCGGCTGTCTCCAGGGCGAAGTCTACTATCTTCAGATTATACATCATAACTTTTAAATGAAACTAATATATTGCGGATATACTACGCGTGCTTTATGTAAAAACTACATACTCCCCACGTTTCAGTTACTTTACAGCAACCGTGATCATTAGACGAGATGTGAGTAATCCCATTTGCTGTAAAGTAGCCGAAACATCGGGAGTATGTAGTTTTTTACAAAAATAAAGTCGCATAGTATATCCGAAAAGTATTAATTTCATTCAAATTGATTCTCATTATGTAGGTATCATTACTTGTTTATATTCAACAGCTAGTAACAACGTAACTAGCAACCAGAGCCTATTTAACTCACACTATCTTATTAACTACCTGTCGATCGTAATCGTGAACATCGAATAGATTTCTAGGGCTCCGTCGGGGCTCCAGAGCATCCCTGGCTCGGCCGGCCGCCGCCGCCACCGCTGGCAGGGCTGCCGAGATACGCTCCATTTCGTTCTGGAGCTTTTCATGTTTACGATTCACCTAATAAAGAAACAACCTTATGCGGATTTACTTAGGTATTTCTGTATTTTAGAAAATCGATTAAAACAGTATCGGATTTATGTATTTTTATTAACCCACACTTCCTATGAAATATTGATTATTCTGTTAAAAACCATACCGGGTAAAAATTTAGTGTCCATTCTCAACTCTCTAAACACACGAAAACTTAACAAACACACATTAACCAAAGAGGCAACCAATTACTCTTAATAATAATCCTTCGACTTCAAAACTTAAAAAACCTTTATATACAATTTCTCATTCTTTAAAATCTCCAATCTGTAATTCGCTATAGAATACTGACAAATTTTTTCAATTGTGTGTATCATTGAGACTTTATGTCCACTGTAATGAAAGGCAAGGCAGGCAAATTATAGTATCAACGTACATCTACATTGATCTTAGTTTAAAATCATATTTAATTCGGATTATTGCTACGTAAATAAATAACTTATCACACATACACACTCCACACAAACTCGATCATTAATAACATTTTAATTACATCAGTGAGACCCCGCGTGAGTTGCATCACAACATATTTGATATCCGAAAAGTCACCATCGAAGGAATCCTGGGAGGCCCAGAAGTACGTGTACACTTGCAAGCCCAGCAACATCGAAAGCACCACGCATACAAACGAGCGGAACGCGTTACGGAAACACAAATCATGCTCCAACTCGTAATCCATTTACAATAATAATAGATTCTTCTTGAGTTAGTGGTTATTCTTATATATTTCCCTAATGTCGTGTACCGATTATACAGAACTATGTGAAGAGGGATTTGTGAGTGAACAAGGTCTGATATATAAAGATTACTCTGAACAGCTGATTATAAACATTTGAAGGACAGACTGAAGTGACAGATTTACTTTTTTTAGGAATATCAAGTTTTTGTTATGTAAAACTAACGTCAAATGTATATATGAACAATTAATATAAACAAAAAAGGGAATGGTATATGATAAATTTCTTTTACAATACGATATAAATTACATTTGTTACAAATATCAAAGATGGCGTTACGCGTTTATTATAAGAATTTCAGTTCGGAAACAAACAAACGTTAATAAAATACCGTTCAGAAATAAATATAACTAAACAGTCGTCCTCCTTCTTATTCTTTAGTTAGTGGTTCTTCTTATAGGTTTTTCCAACGTCATGTGTCAATATTATACTGAATATTATAGACGGATTTGTGAATGAACAAGGTCGCGACAGTGGTCTTCTATATGTAATAGTTAAATAGAAAATTTAAATATGGCGACTATGACATTGACAAACATAATATGAAACACAAATAATAAAACACATCAGTTTTTAAATATATATTATATCAAAAGGCGCATGTTTCAGGGTTTGGGTGTCTGTGAGGCGTATTCCAACTGAGCGGCTGCCACGGATTTCATGGATTCGTGCGCTTGATGCACGTTTGCGCGCCAAGCTAGGAGCACGTCGCGCAGAGCCAGCCATTGCGCGCGACCGAACGTACGATGCATAGTGCTTGACACGCGCACTGCACGCGATGATTGGTCCATGCGCGCGCGCACCAGACGGGTCTTCAACACTGAGAACAGATACAAATATATAGTAGATATAGTGAAACTTCTTATGCAACTACCAACATGGTTGCGTTAAACGTTTAACGGGGGAGATAAAAGAGACAGAGCGATGGAATGAGGGCAAATTGTGACTTACATAATATTAGTAATATTCGTCTTAATAAAACAAACAAAATCCCTACTAATATTATAAATGCGAAAGTAACTCTGTCTGTCTGTTACGCTTTCACGCCCAAATCACCGAACTGATTTTAATGAAATTTCGTACAGATATAGAGTTGACCTTGAGAAAGGACATAGGATAGTTTCTATCTCATACTTTCGAAAGGTTCTCTTAGAAACGCGATATAACCGAAGTCCACGCGGGCGAAGCTGCGGGCGAAAAGCTAGTTGCTTATAAATCAACTTCTATTCCCTTCCTATTTTCATTCCAACATTTCTAAGTTTCACTCCACTAAGTGTTCATGTTTTTCCTCCATAATATTGTCACCGTACCTTCTATAATAAACTCCTCCACATTCTTCTCTTCTATCTGTAACTCTGATATAATCTCATCAAATGTTATCTCCGGGTTGGTCTCAGCCATCTGCATGAACGTCAGTATCCTCATTTTTTTAACGTTCTGTTCGTGATTCAAACCTGTAATAATAAGAAATATTATATTATATGTATGTTGAGATATATTTGGGAGTGTTCATAAAAACTAATGTTTACATTATAGTAGATTATTTATTTTTAACAATCACTGGTATTAAATGAAAAAATATGTCTCTCCGTCAATTTTAAGAACTCATTATATACATTTAGATAAAAACATAATTTCATTAGTCAAAACTAATAGTTAAAAAATGTTAAAAATCCTAATGAGTTCAGAGATTTTCGCGAGTTTTATTCATTTAAATGAAACTAATATTTTTTGTATATATGTACTACGCGATTTCGTAGTACATCTCATCTGTCCGTGATCATAGTTGCTGCAAAGTAGCCGAAACGTCAGAAGTATATAGTTTTTTACAAAAATAAAATCACGTAAAAAATCCGAAAAATATTACTTTCATTTAAATGTTAAAATTAAAAATCATAATAGTGTAGTATTATTGCCATTTCTCAGAGAAAAAAATATATAAAGTAAGATGAGCAATCTCTTAATATATAAAAGTCAAACCCTCACCTTGTGAATGAACAAACTCCTTGTGATTCTTATAGAAGGTCAGGTAGCTTGATAACTTCTCACACACAAAGATGTTGAGTAAATCATGTATGAGCTCTCCCTCCAAGAAGCGAACAGGCTTCAAAGACAAAAGTGGGTCCAAGAGGTAGGTATTGGGGTCAGCAAGGGCTGTCACTATACACTTGATGGCATCCTCTCGAGCATATGAGGCATTCTCATCAGTGTATGTACCGAGCAACTCTATCATCACCTTGGCTGCCAGCTCGCTGTAAATATTAGTGATATGTAGTATCTTCTACCTTCTACCTGGCAATTTCCCAACTATACCCAGGGTCTGCCTTACATGTTGTGATTAGTTTTGGCTAATTTTTTTCACAACCGGCCGCCTGCCTGACATCAAGCCACTTTTGGGAATCATCATTAATCAGTGATGTCTAGAAAATACATATGACTCGCAAAAATCTCATCGATACTCGCCAGGGCCAGGATCGCACCCGCATGCGTGAGAGGCCTTTTAACCACTAAGCCACCACTGACTATTAGCAATATGTAGTATTCAATAGAAATGTATTAAATTTGTAATATATCTATTGTGGTAAGTAATAAGACTGAATGATAGAAACTAATATAATAAAATAATTTACTAACATAAGGCTACTGTTACTCATGCTTATGTCAAGCATGCTTTAATTAAGCACTGCTGTTTTCTAGCATGTGTCAGTGTTGCTTAAAATAAGCATTCTTATTACTAGCGGTGCGGATGTAAAGGGCATGGTTTAAGCATGTCTAAAAACGTTTGCTTTTTAAGCATGCTAGTTCCGATTAGTCATTAGCAACAGATATGCGTACAAAACTTCAATTAAAATAACTCGCTGTGGCGACGAAAAGACGCTCAAATTAGTTAATTTTCACCCCAACAATGAGTGCTTGTGAAATCCTCTCATCCCACAATATAAAAGTATTATTAAAAACAATAATAATGCTCACCAAGATTTACTAACAAATATGGAAGATACATCATTGAATGATAAAAATAATTAAAACTAAAATAAAAAACTTAAGGTCTGAATACCACATGCTCAAATGTAAATGGCTGGCAGGAATGCTTAATATCATGCTTATTTAAAGCATGTGTAACAGAAGCCTTATACTTGATATCACATTATTATTTAATAATATCCACCAAGTATAACTAATACACAACATAAAGATAACTCAACCCAAAACAAAGAATATACTCAATTATTGAATATATTTCTTTGACCCAAAAAACCCTTGTTTTACTTCCATTTGTTCAGAAACTTTGAATTTTGAATGTATATATAACCTACTAATATTATAATTGCGAAAGTTTGTGAGTGTGTGTGTTTGTTACTTCTTCACGCTCAAACGGCTGAACCGATTTTGACAAAATTTTGTATAAAGGAAGCTGACGTCTAGGAATAACACATACGCTGCTTAACATCCCGGAAATTCGCGGGTAACACCGTTGGGCGCAGCTAGTATATAATAAAGGAGTAATTAAATTTTTCTATAAAAACTCACCTATTTTGTCCAAGCAACGCCTGGTGTAGTAGCCTGTACAGTTTCTGCATCTGTTCGTTAGATGGTGTGCATGTAGCGAACTCTGTCTTCAACTGTTCAACTCCTTTAAACACTTCACCCACCGAGCCCACTCGGGCAGCCAGCTCAATAACATGATAGTACACATGGTAACGAAGAGGAGAATTGGACTCCAGATTATTGTAAAGGCGCCATAACCTGGAATGAATAATATTTGCTGCTGAGTAACCTTTATTTTATTTACATATATATTTCTTTTAAGATTAAACAATATACAGGAATATTTTCTAGACTTAAAGTTGCATATTGTCGGGGATAGTGCAAATCTTACTAGCATTTTATAAATCCGCGTATCTACATTGGAAGCAGATTATCAGGAGAAAGTTTAAGATGAAATATTTTCTATATTAACTACTTATAAGGTAAATGAAACTAATATTTTTCGGATGTACTAAGCGATTATCACAGACTATCACAGAAACTCACATCTCGTCTGCCCGTGAACACAGTTGCTGAAAAGTAGCCGAAACGTCGGGGGTATGTAGTTTTTACATTAATAAAGTACGCGTAGTACATCGGAGAAATATTAGTTTCATTTAAATGAATACTCGCGAAAATTTTAATCTTATAAAGTAATTATTCACAATTAGTAAGAAATTAAATGTTTAAACTTTCTTCTGATAATAATCTGCTTCCAATATCGATATGCGCAATTATCCAATGATAGTTACGAGGATTTGCACTATCCGCAACGATATATACAAATATATATTACTGCTAGCACTAATAATATTATTCTGAGATTATTGTAGTAATAAGATGAACTTACGATTGTAGAGCGACCATGCCCAGTTTAGGCCCAGGCGCCTTAGTGAGTCTCTGACTGAACGCCAGGATAAGATTTTCTCCTCTCTCAAGAGGTATCTGTAATCATAACATTATATATGAATAAATAAAATTGTTGTGAGTTAAGACACCTTTACAAACCTAACTAGAAAGGTTGATTTAAACATTAATTCATCAAATTTTATTATTAATATCGGTGGTCATTAGTTTCTCTACACATTACTCATTGTAAATAATTTTAATACAATTAGTGTAGGTTTGAAATGGAGAAAATACAATAATAAAAGAATGAACGGCAACACTACTTTTATATTATAGCTGAAAAAGTTTAACCAAAATTTAAAGAAAAAACAGTGAACAGTTTTTGGAAGACATATATTGTGCTAAATAGCAAGACTGAACGATAGAACATAATACATATGTATAATAAAATGATCCACCTACATTACACTTGACATCGTATTATTATTTAACAACACCCACCAAGTATAACTAATACACAAAAAGTTAAAAAGAAGGGGAATACAAAATATTGTTTTTTAATAACTTGAGTTTTGGTTTACAAATCTGTACCATTTTAGTTACACCTGTTATAAAAGACATATTTAGTTTGTGATTAACTTGTAAAAAATAAGATAAATACTTCTGAAATATCAGCAAATATCAGTAAATTCTTAAGTGTATTCTAAGATGTGGTTATCAATTGGAGCTATGGGCATATCTTTATTTTTCTAACATTAGGTGTATTCCATATACTATGCATTCATGTTCTTAGCATTCAATCCTACTAATATTATAAATGTTAAAGTTTGTGAGTGTGTGTATGTTTGTTACTTCTTCATGCTCAAATGGCTGAACTGATTTTGAAAAAAATTTGTATACAGGAAGCTGATGTCCAGGAATAACACATAGGCTACTTTACATCCCGGAATTCTCGGAAATCCGCGGGTAACACCACTTGGCGCAGCTATTAATGAATAAAGATGAGCAGGTTAAAAAATACTAGGCTTCATTTTAGAAAAACACAATAAGATGTATCACTCTCAATGTACAAAATGTAAACAGATTTGTAACAAGAGGAAATAAAGTAAAAGGAATTGGTTTAAGATGATCATGAATGTGGGGAGGTCATTGTAAAAACATTTCCCGCTAAAAAAGATCAAAATAATACATAATATATCTACTATTCAGTCTCAAGGTACTCACCGACACCATGATGGACACTATACTGTTCAGTATGGCTTCAATATCAGCTTCATTGTTTTCCTTAAAACACGCATCACAAACACCAACTATTTTATGAAGATCGTCTTCAATACCCTTTGGAGATTTCTCTTCGGAAATTTCAGCACCAAGGCTTTTGAAATACTTTCTGAGTTCTAAAGCCTGATATGAATAAAAGGCAGCATTTAAAATTGAACAGAACAGTTATATAAATATATATGAGGTATATTAGATTAATTTTTTTAAGTACATTGATAGAAGGCAAAGATTATCAAGAAAGCAGTTCTATGAGTACTTTCATGCATATTTTTATATATATATGACTTTTACATGCTATGTACAGACTTTTGATAGAAGCTTTACACTACGGTATTTCCATCATTACGATACATCATACAAGCAACATCTTAAAACAGTATTTTCGTGTGTCCGGGTAAATCGAGTTTTAATATTTTCGACAGCACTTTCACTGAATACTAGACGAGTAGTGAGAAACGTAGTGTGAATTGAATATATCTTGGAAAACTCGTAACAACATCTTTATTGGAATCACTGAGATAGGTATTAAAAATATAAAGCTCAAAGCAGCAGAAGGTAATTTTTATAGGTTATGTGCACATCAACTAACCTGATCTTCAAGCGATATGTCCATAAAAACTGCTGGGCCTTGCATTTTGAATTTTTTTTACTTTATAACTCGACTGAAATAATGGTCCTTTAGGTATCATAAATTTATTATCAAATACAAAGATGCATTTATTTTTACGTGTCCCTTGTGACAAGTTGACAACCGCTTGTTAATAGCTGTTGCGTTTTGACATAGACTTTAGACAAGTAAAGAATATAAATGGTAACGGATTATTAACATCATGACTCTACTTTGTTATTATGGACTGAAAAATTTAATATTGCAATGTAGTATAATATTTATATACTTAAATTAAATAGCAACATCTGAAAATAATTGGTTAAAATATTTTTTTCATACGAGGAATGTGGCCTACGGTATACTAAGTACGGTACGGTAAGTTACGGTATACAAAGACTTCGTCTCAGTGAAATACTTAAGATTGTAACATGTTTAGATTGCAGGAGAGGCTTTAATAGCAAAATTTTTAAAATGCAGCCGTCATGCATATGTATAATATACACGCAAATGTATAATTTGCTGCATTCTGTAGTTTTTTGAAGTCTGATATATTTTATAAAGAAACTATTATGTCAATGTCAAATACAAATGTTTAATGTTATGGTGATACAAAATGTGCTCTGTTTTTCATCTCTCTTACAATACTTTTAATTATACACGAAGTTTTGAACCTTTTTATTAATAATAAAAACTGTCATTAATTTTAAGACAGTTTTTTGTTATATACAATATATTTTTTAGGTTTATTGTTAAATATTATAAATAAGTAATGTCGAGCTTTCAAAAAGCAGTTCCTCGGTCTAGTTTAAGTGGTACAAAATTAAAAAATAACATTCCCTATGTTTCTTCCGGGATACCATCATTGGACTTTATAGTGGGTGCGTATTTATTCAAATGTGTAGTTTCTCTAAGGTTATAATGATTTTAACTATAAAATGTAATTTCAGGAGGTGGCCTACCTGTCGGTTCTATTTTCGCTGTGGGTTAGTATAATATTATTGAACAAATAAATGATTACTACAACTATAAATTTACGTAACAAATTTATTATTTCCAGAGGAAGATGTCTTAGGCAGTTACAGCAGAGTTCTCTCAAAATATTTCCTGGCGGAAGGTGTTGTGTGTAAACATAGCTTATTTGTTGCTTCCGCTGATGAAAATCCCAAGTTAATTGTAAGTACAATTTGGCTAAGTTAAATGAAAATGTTTAAAACGAAAATGTATGTTAGATAGGGGTCCCTTAAACCTACACCTGGGTCTCAAGTCCTAGGCACTGTTGAAGCTCCTCTCCCTGTAATGATGGACCCGACACCTGCTTGGTGAAGCCATTGAATGCTAAGAGGTTTCATCTCTAGATTGGAATGTGTTCTTATTGAACAAGTCTTCTACGATTTTGTGACTTATTAGATTTTGATCTACTCATGATTTAATTGGTAGAATCTTTTCCTTTCTTATTGGAATATTATCAGTTATATATATAAAATAGAATATGTGTGTCTAATAGTATTTATCGGTTCCATTTAGAATTTATTATTATTCCAAATAAGATTCTGATTGAAATTTCATATAAGACTAACAATAATGTATAAAACTATTCTACTTAATGATAATAATCAATACTTTTACTGCAAAAGATTGTCAAGAAATTCTTCAAGATTTAAGAAATCCATTTGTTAAACTAATTATTAAATTTCGCCTTTCTATACTAAGTCCATATATAATTTTTAATAATAATACTAAATTTAAATCTATCGTCTCAATTCCCAAAGAGGGTTGATGTCAGCAGGCTGCCCGTCGTAAAAACAATTAGCCAAACCTATTCACAACATGTAAGGCAGACCCTGGCTAAAGATGGGAAATTGCCAGGAAAGAAGAAGTAGATCTATAGTCTGTGATAGCTCAATAAATATAAATTGTCTATGATACAAACAACAAGTGTAGTTTATTTTCATTACACTCTTTTATAATAATAAATTTGTCACTTTTCTTTCAGATCCAAGAGCTCCCCACACCCTGTTCAATACAGGAAGATAAAACAAACCAAGATGTTAACAGTGAAATGAAAATCGCCTGGAGGTATGAAGGTTTGGGTCAAGTGGAATCATCTTTTGGTAGCAACACAAACTTCGGCCATCACTTTGATCTAAGTCGGCACATGGATGAAATGAGTCTCAGAGATGTTGATGTAACTTATTGTCACTTGAAACCCAGCCATGGAAAGAGTAAAGGTGATTGTTTTATGTTTTATTCATATATTGGTAGTATTTAATAAATCTATACTAAATAAGTAATGTATGTATTGTGTTAAGTAACAAGACTGAATGACAGTAACTAATAATATATAATAAAGTAATCTATCTACATTACACTTGACATCATATTATTACAACAATACAGAGCAAGCATAACTAATACATAACAATATATACAGGGTGACTGGTGAATTACTATCGATATTTGAGGACGTGATATTTGACGATCATATATGACAAAATAAAAATTAATATAACATAAATATTAATAAACTTCTAAGTAAAGTTAACCAAAAGTTATGGAATTAATTACGCATCGTGTGAACACCCTACAGATTAGGTATACACACACACACACACTTGCGCGCGGCGGCGTGTTGTTGTATCAGCACGCCGCCACACGCGTCCGCACTTGGAACACTTGGAACGTGTACACACATTATTTATTTATACGGAAATTTGGTCAAAAATTAAGTACCTATTTTTTTTACATAATTCGAATGAGAATCATGTACCGAGTATGCTCCTTAAATATTGATAGTAATTCACCAGTCACCCTGTATATTTAATTATAATCATACAACATTTAATTTCAATATGTTTTCAGGTTTTAGAAACCATCTCTATCATGATCTCTTGACGGAAATCAGAAAAGTTTTATCCAAGGAAGAATATCAGAGCGGTAGTAAAAACAAAAATATACTTCGGATCAGCATACAGTCCCTAGGTTCTCCTGTATGGTTGGCATCTGACTGTGACAATGAAAATAAGTACGGACAGGATCTTATAAAGTTCCTTTATATGTTGAGAGTTCTGATCAGAAACACTACAGCAGTTGTTTTCATCACAATTCCCGAACATCTGTTTGAAGTGAGTAACACATATATATATATATATTATGATACCTTTAAAAGGTTACACTAACACTGACTGAGATATATATATGAAATAATGTATAGCGATGCTTCATTTAATATTAAGATTTAAGAAATAACTATCATTATAAGAACTGCATTATTTGTTGTATACATTCTTGCTCTCAAGTACAATAAATTTTGTTAAGGCAAACAAAGTCAGTTCAAAAATTACATTACAGTCCCAATATTGTAGTATATACTTGATATATAGTTTTTTATATTTGTAGGATAATCAAATAATGAAAAGGCTTCTATACTCCATCGACAATTCTGTTCGTATCGAGTCCATCGCTGGGTCGAGTAAGGAGACCAATCCGGTGTACAATGAGTACCACGGGCTGTTCCATATCACCAAGTTGTCTGGAGTCAGCTCAATAGTGGCTTTCGTCCCTCCCAGCCTGGACCTGGCCTTCAAGCTGAAGAGGAAGAAGTTTGTGATCGAAAAGTTGCATCTACCCCCAGGTATAATATCCTACTAATATTATAATTGCGAAAGTTTGTGTGTGTATGTTTGTTACTTCTTCACGCTCAAACGGCTAAAGCGATTTTGATAAAATTTTGTATACAGCAAGCTGACGTCCAGGAATAACACATAGGCCACTTTACATCCCGGAAATCCGCGGGTAACAGCTAGTATTCTATATGAATGAATGCAAGTGATGTTTCAGATTGTCCTTGCAATAAATGCTTATGAATATGTGTAGTGCATGTACTGAAATAGCATTTTTTAAAGTGAAACTTCTTATGTGATTTCCAAGAAGGTGGCGTTAAACATTAATAGAACAATATTTTATTTTCAAACTTAGTGCTTAAAAATTGTGTACAATAACAAAGTTTCACCTCTTCCGCGCGGAGGGAATTCGCACACTATTTTATTTTACAATTTTTTTCTATTTTTTACTACTGTATAGCTACTACATATGTGAACAGCTGAACCAATTTTGACGGCACTATCAGTTATAGATAGCTGGTTTAATAAGAAATTACCTAGCCTACCTTTATTTTAGAAATTATATTCATTATTATGGTTTAAAAACGAAGCCAAAGACGGTTATTTAGTAGACTCGAGTGTGTCTAACAACTTGTAATATTTCAGAACTCCAAGATTCGAGCGAACGGGAGCAAGACGACATCACCGCTACACCCAACACATGCGGCGGATTCAAGAAGAAAGATATAGACTTTTAATAATATTGCTGTAAATATTACGATTATAATGAATACACGATACTATCAAACATTGCGTTTCCTTTCCACCTAACATATCAAAATAACCGATGCATTAACATGCTCAAAACTTGCTTAATTATTAGTCACCCCGCTGGCCAGCGGACCGTGTCTCCCTAAAACCGGTGAATGATGAATCTATTCAACGAGCCTCGGTCAGTGTGAGTATAGGCGACGGTTGAGGTACTACATACGTATTAAAAAACATAAAAAAAGTATTAAAATGACAATATCAAGAGGAAAACTCCTATTCGGAACTTGCAACACCATACTATTTGTAAGAATTATTTTTTATGCCGTAACTCATAGATTATTTTTATATAATAATATTGATTGTAACATCTGAGCAGCATGTGTGATGAAATTCATTCAGTGTTTTTTGTGTCAGTGATCCGTATTGTCACGCTTAGTCCAAGTTACTATCACTACAAACTCAGCGTTAACAGTTTGTCACTCATTAATGTCATATATTGAATGAAAAACGGTCAACTTTGTGTAATTACGATACAAACTCAACTCATGCTAAGCCTTTAGTTTTATTTATTGTTTATGTTTAAAACACTTCATACTTCAACAGTGCTGCGGGTTTGCGAAAGTGGTTTGTGGATTTCTGCTTCTAAGTGATTCAAAACGGATCCTTCTATCTCGCTTGCTTGTGTCTCCCGACTCTGCCTTGGACGAGCCTCCCTTCTACTACCTGTCCCTGGCGCTCCTCGCTACGGGACTAACCGTTTGTGCAGTAAGCGCGTTGGGAGTCTGGGCCACTTATTTACCGGGTTACGCGATATTAACCATCGTATGTATCGTAAATAGTAATTAAAATTAGTATTACTTATGCTCCTATATATGATCTTGATATATGAACTGCCTGTCAATAATGTATCTTTTAAACGAAACTAATATTTTTTAGATACTACGCGGCTTTATTATTGTAAAAACTACATACTCTCGCCGTTTCGGCTACGTTTCAGCAACCGTGATCATTAAAACTTGATGTGAGTGACATTCATACAAAAATAAAATTGCATAGTATAACCCGAAAAATATTAGTTTCATTTAAATTAATAAAACTCGCGAAAACCTCAGATCTCAATAATGTATGTTATTGTCCAGTATTTCCTCCTGATCGTGGGACTATTGGTGTGTGAGTGTGCGGGTGGGGCTGCTGCGGCCACTTGGCCTCGTTGTGTGGGCGGCGGGGGCGCTCCTGACGGGGCTCGAGGCGGCGCCGTCGGAGCCCTACAAGGTTATTACGCCGTGCCGGACTACGAACACTTTACTACAGCCGTTGATCTAGCTCAGACTGAGGTATATATTTTTTGCTTGCCATAGGGGTTCAAGTATTACGTAAGCAGATTTATTACAATTATTTACCCCCCCATCCCCCTTGTCAGCAAAAGTAAGCAAAGCTCTTACCCCTTCCCCCCATGCTTACTTAAACATTTTCAATTACTATATTGTTTTTTGTCATATAAATCCAGAAAAAAATTATAATTATACTTTTTATGGATCTTCTCGATGTGATGATTAAAAAATAAATAACTAAGGATGACGTCATCACCTAGACTCCCCTACCCCCATGTCATCCAAAATAATCAAAACGAAGACCCCCACCCCTCCATAGTGCTTACGTAATACTTGAACGGCCCCATATCGATTGTATTGAACTGGTTCATGATGTAATTAATCATATTATTCTTAACCAGCTGAAGTGTTGCGGCATGACAGGCGCTCGTAACTATGATTTGTCGTCGTGGCAGCTGAGGCGGTTGGGTCCGCGAGGCCTCTCAGCTCCTCTCAGCTGCTGTGTGCAGCGCGCCGGAGGATCCTTCTTGGATCCCGCGCCGCTCAACGGCTCGCGGTGCCAGGAAGTCACAGAAAATGAATTCAGACATTCCTCGGTGAGAATAGAAAACGTCTCTTAGAAATTACCTCAAATTCTAAATAAAATGGTCTTGGCTCCTACGTAATGTAGACAATTTTGTAACTGATATGGCATTATTTGAATGAAGCTTATAAAAAACCGTTTAAAAAACAAACCAATTTCTATCAATATATATCAGAATTCTTCGTTTCATAACAGACTTACATTGAAAATTATTCGTTCTAGAAGTTTCTATATTTTTGTTATCGTTTTTATGAATCACTAAATCGTCTTCCTTTATTCCAGGGCTGCCTCTCAAAGATCGAGGAGTGGTACCAGGAACAATACCTGGTATTCATGCTGTCTCTCTTCAGCGTGGTCATATTCAAGCTGGTCATCTTACTGAGCACGGTCTACTCGTGCATTCATTACCGGAAACGGCGTCAGGATGAGTTCATCATCAAGGCGGACCGGAAGTCGATGTCGCATGAGCCGATCACCGCGAAGTACGTTCAGCCTAACAACTACTACAGTCCGCGGGTCAGGAACCCGAGGCTGTTTCGCGACAAGCCCAACGAGATGGTATGAGAACTAGCCGCGGAGATCAACGCCTTGGAGAGGAAACTGGAAAAGTTCTCAGAAATACTGTACAAGCACCAGGCTGATTCTATTATGTGGTGAAAAAAGAACTAAAATGTACTGAAAGATACAAAGCTGTGTGATTTAAGACAATAAAATAAGTAAAATTCGTCATTCCAGTGTTCAGTAACAAATTAGTCGTCACATAATTCCGTGTGCCATGAATCTGTGAAGTTTCTCTCCGGAGTGTTTTTCTGCCGCTCCAAGTGTTCGGACGTTACTCATGAAGTGAGGTGGAGGCGGAAGGAGAAATAAAAGACATCATATCAATATGTAATATTATTTTCAAAAGAACATTCAAAAATTGGTCCTAAAGTTAAAAACATTGTTAACAATGGCTTTGGAATGTTACATTAGTCGAGCTGCTCGCTACAGAGAGCTGCCCGCGAGCTCCGGTGTAAATAACAAAAACCTCCGGACACGCGATCCCGAGAGCCTTAACAATAACAATACTCTATTTATAATAATTGATTCTATTCATATGCTAGAGGCGCCGGGGGGCATCACAGAGTGGCTGCTACGTCTTAGGTACGGAAACGACCTTACATGTACATACGATAACTTAAATAATAAACATTTACATTTCAACTATAAATAAAAATAATATACCGGCCGACGCGTCGGGCCCAACAAACTTTAGAACTCTGTCTCCACTAACACACACGCACGAGCCGCGGCACGTCCATATAAATAAACTGATTGTAAATAAAACTATGGAAATGTGTTTTGTGCTAACTCCTGAAGACTGAATGGAACCTAGAGGATGTCGTTGAGGAAGGAGTTATCTAGTGAGTTGAGCAGCTCCTGGGCTGTGAGGCTGCTCGCCTCGGAGGAAGGCATGCTGTCCAGGAAGTCCAGGTTGAAGTCCGCGCCGCCCGGGAAGGACGGGAAGTGCATTGTCCCGGCTTGAGCGTGTCCCGTGTGTCCCGCCCCGTGTCCCGTATGTCCCGTCCCGTGTCCCGCGTGCGCGTTGTGTGGCATGGACATACCCGCCATGCTCATGCTTTGTGACTGCGACATGTGGATGTTTGGCATCTGCTGTAATATTAACAACATATTAGTGAATGTGACATCTCGCTACTAATATTCTAATGACTGAAATGTACTGAAAACAGAAATATAGTGACTCCTAGCACAAGTTAGGATGTATGGAGAATCCGGCAGAGGAGTTTACATGTTGTGATTTATGTTAAATGTTAGGAAAATTTAATAACAAAAAAATATGTATATATGGGAAACGACACTAAAGATAAGGAATATTAGAGATTGTGTATTTTTGTCGCCTTTTATACAGATATACATATAACCTCAAGTTGGCAGAGAAGTAACTTGTGTTATTATTTCGATTATCTTCTGAAAGTAAATAACAAATCTGCTCCCAGTTAATGTACCTCACTGGTATGAGATAAATCTCATGTATACGACCCATCTTCCTTCACTTATCATATATTTACTGAACATACATTTAATTTCAATCGAACCTTTATATTCCCGAATGCACCCAAAAGCGACTTTAAAGCGATGACGTTTGGTTTGTTAACTTTTACGAGGGAAAGTATTTGGGCGATACGACTTGTGTGTTTGTAAATTGAATTTAAATTATTTAAAGTGTTTTGGTTTAAGATAATAATTATTTTGTTCTTGTTTAACACCTTATTAGTTATTTTAAAGTATTGGTTTTGTAAGAAAACTATATTTTTTTCATGATTCTGTTAGAAACCTATATATATTATTTATAATGTTCTATGAGTGGTGTAGGGGGCGTAGTCCCTCCCCTCCACTGCCGGTGCTGCCTCTGTCGGATGTATTCTGAGTCTCAGTCAGAGTGTATGTATGTCTGTTATGTTATATAAGAGGTAGGTAGTAGTACCTGCGCCTGGACGGTCATGACCTGGTTCTGCTGCATCATCAGCTGCGACATGGATGACTGCTGCTGGCTCGACGACCTGTGAATAATACCAAAAATTCGTTGTTATATATATGATAAACAAACAACCTTTCTGCCTGTATCAACTCATTTGGTTCCCCTCATTGTATGTTATTTATTGAATCAGATTATTACATGTGTTACTTTTTGTTAATTAACTAATTTGAATCCTCTGTTAAATATATTATCTTAAGGAAATAAATAAAAACTTTTAATTATACTCTATTTGAAATTTCTTAATCTATACTTATAATAAATCTGTAGAGCGCTCAATTCTGTACATAAAATATATTTAAAAAATAACTATCAAGGGGTGGTTAGGGATCGCTACTGATGCCGAAAATGCAATCAGTAAAATTTTTGTCTGTCTGTCTGTATATTCGTTATGAAAACCGAAACTACTGGACAGATTTTAACTAAATTTGGCACAATTATCCTTCATACACCTGGGCAGGTTACAGTATACTTTTCATTACGCTACGATAAATAGGAGCAGAGCAGTGAAGAGAAATATTGGGAAAACGGGAGAAGTTACTCCATTTTTTAAGCTTTCGTCGCGTGTGCAGGCTTATAGGTTAAAGCTACATAGAAATCATGTATGACGGAAATATTCTCCTTAAAATTATATAAAAAGTATTCCTCGACGGCATATATCTATCATTTATTGTTAACTCACAATAACACGTGAAACTCCCGATAGCTTAGCAATTCGCAGATATCTGATTGTATATGTCTACTCTAACGTTTACAACACTATAACTCACCCCTAATTAAAAAAAATAACATTATGACCTATTCAATAACAAAAAAAAGGAATCATGTAAATCGCTGTACAAAAACACCAAAGTTATCTTCTTCTATACTTATAATAAGTCTGTAGAGCGATCAATTCAATAATCAAGGAGTTTCACGCTGACGGAGTCGCGGGCACAGCTATCTATATTTTTCTGCCAGAAGTCACTATTCCACGCGGACGAAGTCGCGGGCAAAAGCTAGTCTTCAGTAAACTACGTTAATAATATGGCGGGCGAAGATATTTTTATAAAAACTGTTAAGTGTTTAAACTTATTGAACGGATTTAGGAAGTGAAATCCCTACTAATATTATAAATGCGAAAGTAACTTTGTCTGTCTGTTACGCTTTTACGACTAAACCGCTCAACTGATTTTAATGAAGTTTGGTACAGAGATAGAGTTGACCTTGAGAAAGAACATAGGATAGTTTTTATCCCAGACTTTTGAAAGGTTCTCTTGGAAACGCAATATAACCGAACTCCACTGCGAAGCTGCGGGCGGAAAGCTAGTACTAAATATACCAGAAGGTATCAGAAGATGAAATTTGTGCTTAAATGTAACTTGGGATAGTCAATCATATATTAAACAATAAATGGAAGAATAATCTCGTGTTGGAAAAGTTTGTCACCTCTGTTGCTGATGCTGCATCAGCTGCTGCTGTTGCTGCTGCAGCCTCGCCTGCTGGAGCTGCATCTGTTGCTGCTGCGCCATGCTGGTGCTCACGCCGCCCACGTTGCCCATGTTACCCACGCCGCCCATACCGCCCATGCCGCCCATGTTGAAATTACCTCCTGGAGAGTGAAGGAAACTTTGAATGATGTATTAACGAAATTATGGAACGTGTGGATAAACTGTTCATCTACAAGAGCTGGATTTGAACCTGCAACCTCTAGTATATCATGTTTCAGTCGCTTTACCAAATAAGCCATATACACATATAAGTTAATACAAGCATTAGCTTGAACATAGTTGATACCTTGTAAGTGATGCGGGAACTGTTGCCGCGCGTTCTGCTGCTGTATCAGCACGTGTCTCCAGTCTGGCGGGTACTGCCGGCTGTGGGGGGCGAAGGCACGGGGCGCGGGCGCCGGCGCAGGCGCAGGCCTGCGGGCTGCGAACCTGGCCTTGTACTCAGGCGGAGGGGGACGCATCTGTTGCTGCTGGGCGCGCAGCATCTGCTGCTGTTGCTGCTGCAGCATCTTGGCCTGCTGCTCGCGGGATATACCCGCCGCCGCTATACCTACAACACATAACGTTCTCATTAGTTATGTGAACTCATATATAATACATGGAAACTTCATTCCGTGTTGTGTGTTGAGTCGCATCTTACAGAGGGAGGAGGGGGAGTTACATTATATTCAATACAGATAATGTACATATAGGGTTGAACGTCACGTGTTATTTGTTTATATATGTAAGGTATGAACACACTATGAATCCTAATCGAGCATTAAAACTCCGGAACGCACCCAAAGTGGCATTGAATTAATGACATTTGTTAAGTTTTGCGCGGGAAAGTAGCTGTCAACGTTATTTGTGAGTGTTTTTTAAAATTGTTTTTAAGGGTAATTAAAGTATATTAATTATAATGTGTTTTGTTTTTACATAATAATAAGTTAAAACTTAATGAGATCTAAGACTTTCGCGAGTATTCATTTAAATGAAAACAATATTTTCGGATATACTACGCGGTTTATTTTTGTGTAAAACTACAAACATTTTAATAAAAGTTTTGTTCCTTTTAAGGCTTGAAACATTATTATTTATGAGACATTCGTATTTTCTATGATTATATCTTCCAAGTCATATATATATATATATATATATATATATATATATATATATATATATAAATAATATTTTGATACGATACATAATATTTTCAAGATACAAGTGACACAGCAGGTGTCAGTGTGAGTTTGTATCGATCGCGTTCTCTCAGCTGGCCGGCTGACTGTTCCACTGGCTGCATCTAAGTCTACAGTCTAGACCGAGTCTCACAGACTAGACTGAGACTACATTCATTACTACAGAAAGTTATATCTTAATAATGTATCGCTGTACACTACCCCTACTACGAGTCGCTCTCGAACTAAACTCGAACGATTTACAGTGCTTTAATAATAAATAATGTAGCGAGATAATATCGATTTGGAAATAGGAATGAATATAATCTGTGTTTCATTCGATTTGAACTCGTGGTAGGGGACGTGTTGTCAAGTTTCAAGTAACTTGTACCGGGACGGTACTGTTTGTGAATATTTCAGTGTGTTTATATATAGCTAGCGTCAATGTATGAGAACAGATAGTAGGTGCATTCCCACTACCATTATTATATACAAGTAAAGATCAACATTTAATACGACATGAAAATGGCAGTCGAAATACAAAACTAAACTTAATTATATGAACATTTAAATGAAACTAATATTATTATGATTACTACGCGTATTTTATATAATCTTCGAACGTACATCGAAGGCAGCCCTAATAGGTTCTTTTCAAATTTGGTTAAGTAGAAGAGCTTGGACGGTGGAGGTGAGCGTTTAACGCGTTAGATAGGGTCCCTTAAACCTACACCTGGGTCACAAGTCCCTGTCACTGTTGAAGCTCCTCTCACTACAACGATGGACCCGACACACACCGTGAATACATGGAATGATGAGAGGTTTAGTCTCTTCTAAACTACATACTCCCGACGTTTCGATTACTTTTCAACAACCGTGATCACGGACAGACGAGATGTGAATTCACACGCGTAGTAATAGGAAAATATTATAGTCTATCAGAGCTCACTGCTGTAAGGCCTCTTTCTCACATGGAGAAGATTTGAGCATTAATCACCACGCTCGCTCAAGACGGGTTGGTGATTTCAAACTTACAATTGTGAAACTATAAGTCCAGGTTTCCTCACGAAGTTTTCCTTCACCGTATGTCAGTGGTGTCTAAATACTCTCAGAAAGTACATATGACTTCGAAAAATCACATTGGTACTTGCCAGATTTGAACCGGCGCCCTCGGCAACGAGAGGCGGGCCCTTTAACCACTAGGCCACCACTGACTTCAGAAAATATTAGTTTCATTTAAATGAATACTCGCGAAAGTCTTAGATCTCATAACATATATTAATTACTTTTCATATATATACATATATATATATAACGTGTTATGTAAGAAATAGTATTGCAATTTGATTACGAAATAGTTTTCGTTCTCGCCGTTCCATTGTTAGTATGCTTAGCTCGCGTCTGAATTATTAAAGCGACTTCAATATAACTGTATTGAATAATGCATACGAATCAAGGAGACGAGTTTGTTTTAAATATTATATTATTAATATTTTATACTAGTTTTTGTTCCCTACATCGTCTGTGTTCATTTTAGAACTAACAATATATGTATGTATAGCTGACCGGGCGATACTTTTTCGTCCTAGAGGCCATAAATAACCAGATATTGGAATATATTAAGTTTTTTTCGATCGAACAGAATTAAATATCTTATGTCCTTTCTATGTTCTAAACTATCTCACTAAAGATTTTCAACTATATCCGTACAGTCGTTCTTGAGTTATATATAGTGTAACTAACACGACTTTCTTTTATATGTTAATTGAACATATATATATACTAGAAGACCCGGCGAACTTCGTATCGCCCTATAATCAAGAAATATCTGTTACGTTTTTTTATTTATATTTTTGGAGTTTACCTATTAAAGCCATAAATCTCCGTGTTTTGAAGTGCGACAGAATGATTGACATATTAGTTAGTTGTCAAATCTAATGTAAAAAAAAACGTTTGTATCAACAACTACTAATAAATTAAAAATTAATTAAAAAAAACATTGTCCAGCCGACAAAATTGTGAATCTAAACAATTCCCAGATCCCCTTGAACACACAAAAAATTTCATCAAAATTGGTCTAGTCGCTTGAGAGAAGTTCAGTGACATACACACGCACAGAAGAATTATATATATAAAGATATGTTTTTATAACCGTGATTGCTCTGTAATCGGTACAGTCAGCATCACAAATCATCTCAAGATTTCTGAATACTGTGAACGATATGTTTGCAGTACTGTGTGAACTCAGACGTATTGATGTCTTTTAATTTACAATTAATGATAAATATTTTGAGAATTCATTTTCAATATATTGCGCAATGAGTAGAGTTTGTGGTACAAATTTAATGGACTTTATATTCAATACAGGAGAAGAAAGGGGACATATCTTTATTAAAATTCTCGTGTAGCGGTGTTAGACAAAGAGCTTCGAAACCGCTTGACCGATTCTGATGAAATTTTATAAGCATATTGAGTAGGTCTGAGAATCGGTCAACATCTATTTTTCATACCCCTAAGTCGTAAGGGTTGTTCGCCCTTAATTTTATTATTTTTATTTTCGGGCGAAATTTTTTGTTTTTATTTTTTTATAATGTACCATAAAAAAATACGTACAACCCAAAATTTTTTTATATGGCATAACGTTTGCCGGGTCAGCTAGTAGTAGTATATATAAATGTATGTCTGTAATGTTCGACATTATCTCTAGAACATAATATATTATAGTATTTTCAATCATTTTTAATATCACTGGAAGCATTTCCAGTTTCTCATTCAATAACTCACATTAATACTACAGTTTCAGAGTATTCATGTACGTTAACTGTAAACGCAGAGTGTGTAGTATCGATGTAACTTATGGTAAGCGTACTTTTCAATTGAAGCCCGGCGCGCCGTAGAGGGAGGTGAATCGATCGGACTACGTACTGTATAGAAAGTGTTGGACTTGTAATTATAAGAAATGAGAGATTAGGAATGATTTGAATACAACATAGATACAGGGTGCTCCTGTTGATACTAGCTTATAATAATCTTATGAACATACTGTATATGTCATATGAAGGAAAACATCGTGAAGAAACCTGGACTTATAATTATAAATATAAGTTTGAAATCATCAACCCGTCTTGAGCAAGCGTGGTGATTAATGCTCAAACCTTCTCCATGTGAGAACAGGCCTTACAGCAGTGGGCTCTGAATTCTGAAGTTGATTATGTGTATGTGTGTGTGTGAGGGAGCTTGTGTGTGTGTGGAAGGAAACATTAATTTAGACTGGGATCGAAGACTTAGGTTAATATATGAGATGACTCAAGCTGGGAGAGTCGAGTGCTGGACGTAGTATGTATCGATAAAACGATATCACTATCTTAAAATATAAATATATTTTTATCGTTTTTATCGTGGATACGTCACTAGTTATCAGATATGTGAATGTAATTATCTGGTAAACATTAATGAGTCATAGTGTACACGTACCGGGAATCGAACCCGGTGTGTGTGATGAGATCCCCCCCCTCTCCCGGTCAGAATTAAGTGTTTATTGATTCAGTGACGTCACACGACACAGTACAACGTCCCAATACATCTAGAACCTTCTACAAGCGGAGGATTCTTATAACACATGTATGTATGTATGTATGTACTCACCGAGAGGCTGTCCTTGTTGCGGGCCGGTGTTAGTCTGTGGGGCCGCGGCCCGGGGCCTCATAGACGGGCTGAACTTGATGCTCTGCGACTGGGAGACCGAGTATGAGTCGCAGTTATTACCTGCAGACGATAACCATTAAAATTACACGACCCTTTGATGTGGATTGTGACGTCAGAAATGTGACGTCATGATCGTGACGTCAGAAATATTCCGGGATGGAACGTGACGTAGACTGGTGACGTCTTATAATAAATGTTATATGAGGATATTTGGAAATACATCAAAGTAAATTTATGATACGGATTGAAGACTGAAGTTACATGTACATATATACAGAGTGACTGGTGAATTACTATCAATATTTAAGGAGAATACTCGGTACATGATTCTCATTCGAATTATGTAAAAAAAATAGGCACTTAATTTTTGACAAAATTTCCGTATAAATAAATAAAGTGTTGACACGTTCCAAGTGTTCAAGTGTGGACGCGTGCGGCGGCGTGCTGATACAACACTACGTCACGACACGCGTATGTGTGAGTGTCAGTGTAAACCTAATCTGTAGGGTGTTCATACGATGCGTAATTAATTACATAACTTTTGGTTAACTTTACTTAGAAGTTTATTAATATTTATGTTATATTAATTTTTATTTCGTCATATATGATCGTCAAATATCACGTCCTCAAATATCGATAGTAATTCACCAGTCACCCTGTATATACATTAAATATTTTATATAACATATATATAGAGACTAGTTTTCAAATAACCCTATACTGTATGTTTACTACAAGTTTTTCGTGAACTACACATTAAACTTTCCTCCTTTCTCAATTTGTAACTATATTTAATACTACAACGTTCGAGTAACAAACGTGAAAACGATCAACGTTGAGTATGCAGTGTGACGTTGAGACTGATAGTAAGCAAACTATGAACACAACATTATATACAGGGTGACTGGTGAATTACTATCGATATTTGAGGACGTGATATTTGACGATCATATATGACAAAATAAAAATTAATATAACATAAATATTAATAAACTTCTAAGTAAAGTTAACCAAAAGTTATGTAATTAATTACGCATCGTGGGAACACCCTACAGATTAGGTACACACACACACACATGCACGTGGTGTTGTATCAGCACGCCGCCGCACGCGTCCACACTTGGAACACTTGGAACGTGTCCACACTTTATTTATTTATACGGAAATTTGGTCAAAAATTAAGTACCTATTTTTTTTACATAATTCGAATGAGAATCATGTACCGAGTATTCCCCTTAAATATTGATAGTAATTCACAAGTCACCCTGTATATATATATATATATATATTAGGAAGGTTTGTTATGAGAACAGTCTGTCTGTCTGTATTAATGACATTGACTCACTTACATTTATTAAATATAAATAAATAATAACACGACACCTAAACAGAAAACAACAGTTTGACGAATAAATAATGACACTAGAAATAAATTGAATAGTTGAACAATTATAAAAATAGTGTGTTGGTATTATATATTTCGATTAATGCATTCCCAAAGAGGGTTAATGTCAGGCAGGCGGCCGGTCGTAAAAACAAATAGCCTAAACTATTCACAACATGTAAGGCAGACCCTGGCTAAAGATGGGACATTGACAGGTAGAAGAAGAAGACAAATAAATAATGAGACTAGAAATAAAATTAATAGTTTAACAAGTATAAAAATAATGTATTGGTATTAAAATACTAAAATAATATACACAAGAATGTTTTCGATTCAATAATAATTATTTTAAAGGTACGAATACCTTTCTCTTCCGTACATAAAATATGACTAGGTATCTGTACTAGAGAATGGATATATATAAATAGTTACGAGTGGACTGAAACCACAGAATTTATGGTAGATACTACTCATAGAGGCAGAATAAGTGGTGGAATCGTGAACAAATATAGCGATAGGAAGTTCGAAGTACGTCAATGGAACACCCAGCATCAGAAAGTGGGGAGATGAGTCAATTAGTGTTGCTCAAAATCGGAATAGGGTTTGCAGTTTTGGTCTTTTCCTTGCAAAAAAGCAAGACTATAATTGCAAGACTTCCGAGACTCTTGCTGCAAGAACAAGACGAAATACAAGAATGGGAGTGCAAGAAAAAGTCCGTCTACTTTTTATAAAGGAAATTGAAAGATTATTTCTTATCCCAATGTTAATTCGTGCTAAAATGGCATAAACATATTTATTTATTTATTTTTATATACATATTTATGTATGTATGATTTTTTTAAATATATATTTTTAAGTTAAATTAATTTAAATGGTTTTTTTTTATTTCCTTTTTATTATCTTTTCTCCTTTTGTTCGATTTCGCCTGTCTACCTTATAAGTTTGCTGTCTACATATTTTCTCTCTTGGGTATACTGGAAGAAATCTCTTCTAGGGATAAGTATTTTAAACTAATTTTTCCTGTGTCATATTTTTGTTTTAAATGTTTCAGGCATGTTCAATAAATTGTTAATAGTTAAATAAATAAATAGACCAAGTGTGTTGATGCAAGACCAAGACTTGAGTATCGTCTTGGTCTTGCATTTAGGCTACACTACCTACTACCTATCACCTACCTTGATGATGTGGCGATTGTGACTGCCCCTGGTGAGTGTACCCAGCATACATGCCTTGCTGCGCGGCTACAGACAGCCCTGCGGCCGAGCTGACCTGCATATGCTGTGCAGCCGACACCTAATCATTAACATCCTCATATTAATATGATACATAACAAAGAAAAAATAATTATATATATGTATACATAAATATATAATACTAGTATTTGATAGCGATTTCGTTCGCGTTAATTTCGAAATTAGCAATACATGTATATCTGACCGAGCCAACTCTTTTTCTCGCTAGAGGCCGTAAATAACCAGATATTGGCGTTTATTAAGTTTTTTCGATCAAACAGAATTAAATATCCTATGTCCTTTCTATGTTCTAATCTATCTCTCCGCTAATTGTCAACCATATCCCTACAACCGTTCTTGAGTTCTACATGGTGTAACTAACACGACTTTATTTTATATATGTATATAACAAGCTTTCCGCCCGCAGCTTCGCCCGCGTGGAGTTCGGTTATATCGCTTTTCCAAGAGAACCTTTCAAAAGTTTGTAATAAAAACTATCCTATGTTCTGTCTCAAGGTCAACTCTATCTCCGTACCAAATTACATTAAAATCAGTTCAGCGGTTTAGGCATGAAAGCGTAACAGACAGACAGAGTTACTTTCGCATTTATAACATTACTAGCTTTCCAAAAGAACCTTTCAAAAGTCTAGGATTAAAACTATCCTATGTTCTTTCTCAAGGACGACTCTATCACTGCACCAAATTTTATTAAAATCAGTTCAGTGGTTTAAGCGTGTAAGCTTAACAGACAGACAGACAGACAGAGTTACTTTCGCATTTATAATATTAGTAGGGATTAGGTACCTATTTTATATATATCTATTATATACACACGACACTCGAGTGTTTATGGGCGGCGATGACTATCTCTCACCAGATGGCTCGCCCGCTCGTTTGCCCCCTATGATATAAAAAAAAAAAAAAAAAAAAAAAAAAAAAAAAAACCCTATCTAAACCCGTCTCCTCGTACTAAGTAATGGGTCCAAACTCATTATCTCGCGTTAAGACTCAGTCGGGAGCGAGACTTTACATACTAATTGACGTCGCGACGATACGTTTGTTAGTTAACTATCAAACTTCACGTAATCGAATACACATATATAATAAAACATATGTAGGTATAAATGAAACTAATATTTTTCGGATATACTACACGTGCTTTATGTAAAAAACTACCTTTTCGACGTTTCGGTTACTTTTCAGCAATTAATCATTAAGACGAGATCCAAATAATAAAGCACGCGTAGTATATACGAAAAATATTAGTTTCATTTAAATGAATACTCGCGAAAGTCTTAATACTTATATATGTATTGAGAAACAAATGACGACCTTTTATTTTTTACTAGCTTTCCGCCCGCAGCTTCGCCCGCGTGGAGTTCGCTTATATCGCGTTTCCAAGAGAACCTTTCAAAAGTATGAGATAAAAACTATGCTATGTTCTTTTTCAAGGTCAACTCTATGTCTGTACCAAATTTCATTAAAATCAGTTCAGTGGTTTAGTCGTGAAAGCGTAACAGACAGACAGAGTTACTTTCGCATTTATAATATTAGTAGGGATTGATTTATTAAGTCAATGGATACATCTTCTACATATTCACCCAGTAATACGGGTTTGCACCTAGTACGGGGGCCCTTGCAACTTGATTGTTATGTAATCCTTGAGTCAATAAAGTTTATTTTTATTTATTTTTATTTTCTATATATTTTTCATCCACCTCATCCCAGGTCTAGCTTCCTCTGTCCGTACTAACGGCGTCCGTCATCAGCTAGTTCAACTCGCTAGCTATTTTACCGTTACTCCGTCTACATCGCGATAGCTCCGTTCCCCGTCCCTCGCTACCTGAGCCACATACATACATGTACCGCGGCGTTACATGTATGTATGTATGTATGTGTAAGACCGCTCGTCCTGTATGTGTCATTGATCTCTGGCCGCGGTGTGACGTACGTGAAACACGTCATGTAAATGATGACGTCACACGCCCACCCTACAGAGCCTAATATAGACTTCGATCAACTCAACTGAGTTTACTTCATATATATACGATATTAATATTATAAATGCGAAAGTAACTCTGCCTGTATGTTACGCTTTCACGCCTAAACCACTGAACTGATTTTAATAAAATTTGGTACGGAGATAGAGTTGACCTTGAGAAAGAACATAGGATAGTTTTTATTCCAGACTTTTGAAAGGTTCTCTTGTTAACGCGATATAACCGAACTCCACGCAGGCGAAGCCGCGGGCGGAAAGCTAGTATATGAGTATGATCATACAGATAATATGGAATACCAATATATGTATATTAATAAAAAACTCGAAACTGTCAGTATCTCGTTTAATGATACGAACTCATGATAAGAAAGAAGAAATATGGATCAGGTAATCATCACCCTTACGTGTCGGGCTAAAGATTAGGAACGTAAATAAAACGAATATTTCTCGAATAATCCACGTGAGTAATTTTTGATCGAGGCTGTATTAAAACCGGACAGAAACTAGTTTGTTTATTAATAAATATTATTTAACATTTAAACGACATCACGACGGGCGAGTTCAGATCGAGTTGCGATCGAGTTACGAAACACATTAAAATAAGAAACAATTAGACCGGAGTAGGAGCGGGTGGAACAGACAGACGGACACACACGTGTGGACCATACAGGAAGCTAGGCCCGCGCTCCCCGCACTCCTCTTTAGTATATGTTATAATAATATTGAACACATGTACTACATCTATCAACGTGCGCGACCTCATTAGTATGTCATACATACACACCGAACATCGAGCACGGTGTAACACGGCGCCTTGTCCGGTGTGACGGGCGGCCCGCTCTTGTAGGTATCAGCGCGCGCACCCCGCGGTCGATACTACACTCGGTCATATATTTTTTACATGTACGACACGACTTATTATATGAGGAGGGAGGGGGAGGGGGCGTGACGTCACTCACCTGCAGGTTGTGCGGCTGTGAGAGGTGCATCTGCTGCTGCTGCGTCATGTGTAGGTGTTCTAGCGGCGGCCGCGGGCGGTAGTTGTAGCCCCGGTAGCGCCAGTCCCCGCCGGCCGCCTGCTGGTGCTGCTCCGCCATGTGTTTGAGTGTCTGCGCGGCGGGGGACATCTCCCCGTAGGCCCTCGTCTGCTCGGCGCCCCCCCCGCTGCTCTTCCCCCCGTCCAGATCAAAGTCCTTCATGAGCTCCGGGTACTCGGAGATCTCTGTGATGAGGTACTCGAAGGCGTCGTCTCCGTCATCCTCCCCTATAAGGTCGGCCAGGCCGGGGAAGGCGGAGGCGGCGTCCCTCTCTAGAGCGGCGGCGCACTCGTCTAAACCGACGAACTCGTCGTCAGCGGCCTCGGACTTGCATTCCGCTTTGCATTCCCGCTCGCAGTCCAAAGGCGAGGGCATGCGGGGCGGCTGAGAGGGTTGAGGGGGTTGCGGCGCGGGGGGAGGGGAGCCGGACGTCTTGACGGCGTTGGCGAGGGCCTTCACTGTTACGTTGGTGGATATCTGCTGCGGCTGGGAGTCCGCGGCGGATGTCGTAAACTCTAGCTGCTGGACTATCTCCACTGAGAACTTGGTGAGGCCCTCTCCGGGCCCCGCAGACGAGGCCCCTCCACCGCCACATTGGATCTTGGCTGGGGGCTCGTAGTCCACGCAACCGAACTTTTGTTGCTGCAACAACCATGCCATATAACCACTCAGGTCCCATCACTATCGCGGAACTCCTACAGTATTCTAACTATAATAAATCTAAATGAGATTTGAGATTTTCGCGATTGAAATGAACCTAATATTTTGCGGATACACTACGCAACCTCGTCTGCTCGTAATCAGGGTTGCTAAAAAGTAAACTTAACTTCGGGAGTATGTAATTTTTATCAAAAATAAAGTCGCGTAGTATATCCGCAAAATATTCGTTTCATTTCAATATAATAAATCTTTGAATGTTATCAATATTCATAAAAATTAAGATTCTTTTGACATTTTTAACAAATATTTAAGTTAGTTTTGAAAAAAATACAATTTAACATGACGTGTAGCGTGGAGATGGTCGTAATCAATAGTCAATCATTACCTAAAGCATATTCTACATTCTGCAACCAAGTATAACCAGATCAAACAAACACTTCTCATGAGTGTCAGCATTGAAGGGACCAGGTTACATGAGAATATTTTTCTTTTCCTCACAATAACAATCAATAGTAATTAGCAACAGACGTATTAACAACACGACTGGTTATAAACTGTAGGTAATTTATTCAGAAAAATATATTACGTGTTAAAAAATGTTTTTTCTGAACAAATTATACATATACAGGGTGACTGGTGAATTACTATCAATATTTAAGGAGAATACTCGGTACATGATTTTCATTCGAAGTATGTAAAAAAAGTAGGTACTTAATTTTTGACCAAATTTCCGTATCAATAAATAAAGTGTGGACACGTTCCAAGTGTTCCAAGTGTGGACGCGTTCGGCGGCGTGGTGTTGTATCAGCACGCCGCCGAACGCGTGTGTGTGTGTGTATACCTAATCTGTAGGGTGTTCACACGATGCGTAATTAATTACATAACTTTTGGTTAACTTTACTTAGAAGTTTATTAATATTTATGTTATATTAATTTTTATTTTGTCATATATGATCGTCAAATATCACGTCCTCAAGTATCGATAGTAATTCACCAGTCACCCTGTACATATGTGTACGCATATATATTTAAGACCAATCTATCTGGCAGTAATAATTATCTACATAGTATGAATGTCACCCCTGGAATATCGAAGCCAAGTTACACGTTCCCTATTTCCATTGTCTCCCGAGAATCGGGAATCGAACCGACGTCACCGAAAAGACGGTTATTGCTCGACATAATATGTTTAAACGAGACTCAGTAAAAGCGTTAAAGTAAGGTCACCGGTGACTGGAGCGGCCGCCGTGAGACAATCGTTGTTGTGCAACTCTTGTTTGCAATACACCAGATACACACACACACACACACACACACACACACACACACACACACACACACACACACACACACACACACACACACACACACACAGACACACACACACACACACACAGACACACACACAAAACAATATGGTCATAATATTAAAATACCTATCTTCTTTGGGACATCAAAATGATTCTGTATGCCTACAACTAAACTTACTTATGCAATACTTCCTGGCAATTTCCCAGCTTCAGCCAGGGTCTGCTATACGCCTCAGATAAATATCATTGTAATCTCGGATGTAGTGGATATAATTGTACGTAGATGTCCTTATTGTGTTGCGTTAATCAAATCAACCATATAATTATTGTATTGATACGAGCTCTGTTAGATGACTGCGTATCTGTTAGATCTCACGTCGTGAGAACAATTAAAGAGAGTATGAATAAGAAGACTTTCAACAAGAGTGGAGATATTTAAAACTATGGTTTAAGAGGTAAAAGGTTATGGTATATATTGTCATCTGGACAGAGAGACCTTGCACAGAGCACAGATCACAGAAGAGCACAGAATATAGCCACACATATCTATTATATACTAGTTTTTGCCCTCGACTTCGTTTACGTTAGTTTCAGAATTAAAAATATTTATCTGACCGGGCGTACTCTATTCCTCCTTAAAGACATCAGATGAGATTTTGGATTTGATCAACTTATTTCTTTTTCTTTTTCAATCTAATGAAAAGTATCCTATGTTCTATGTTCTAATCTATCTCTCCACCAATTTCCATCCTAACCCGTACAGCAGTTCTCGAGTTATAAACAGCGTAACTAACACGACTTTCTTTTATATATAAAGACTAGTTTTTGCCCGCGACTTCGTCCGCGTTAATTTCGTCATTAGTAATATAGGTATAGCTGACCGGGCAAACTCTATTCCGTCTTCAATAACCCGGTATTGGTATTTATTAAATTTCTACTATTTTAGTCGAACAGAATGATTGACATATTAGTTAGTTGGTTATCAAGTCAAATGTCAAAAAATTGTTTGTATGGGAAATAGAAAAGGGCTGTTTTTGGGGTTTTCCCGGCAATTATTCCAATTTTTCTCACCTTTTAAACCTTCCCTGGACTTCCAGGAGTACTTTAAGACTAAAATTAGCCAAATCGGCTCAGCCGTTCTCGAGTTTTAGCGAGACTAAGGAACAGCAATCCATTTTTATATATATAGAAGATTATATTGCCTATAATTTAAGTCAATACGAGATATATCCACAACACAGTACGTCGTTTATCAACATAGAATAAGGCAGACACATCATCCATGATGAAAACTACTCCGACCAAGCCAGTCTCCACAATTGCCTCAAGGTCCACGTGCCTCGTATTTCTTTTGCAACATTTCTGTTACACCCACGTGACCTTTCCACTGTAGCTCAAGCTATATACATCTATTGTTTGTATATTATATACAGAAACATTGTACATAATGACGAGCGAATACGACGCTGAGCTATTGGAGTTACCATTAAATAAACTGATTTAAAACATCCAAATAATCTAAATAACTTAAACTTAAATACTCTATAGAGAGAATATTAATGACACTTAATGTACAGTGTCAGCTGTCATCTGGGTCCATATTCCATATGTTATGACTTGTCAACATATTGACATTACCATGCCTTTCACTTTTTTCAACTCAATTTTGATTTTGAATATATTAAGAAAAAATATTTTTAATAATCATGTATTTTGCGATATTCTTTTCTATGTTAATCCGCAGTAAAGTCAGGGTACAAAGTTGTATGTAAATTTAGAAAATTTTATAAGTCAGTAAATCACATGGAAGAAGCCGTGTATCAGGAACCAAAACACCTGACTTATAAAAAACTTCCAGTACTATTGTTTAAAAAAACTTTTCAAGGAAGACTTATAATAGATTTGTAAACAACAATGTCACGCTCAGCTGCTTTTTTCTTGCAAAATTTTATGGATGAAGTATAAACTCTCGTTACTACTAGTATATATATAACTTGTTTAATATGAAAATAAATATGAATAATATAATTTGAACGTATCCGTCACAGCATGAGCGAAATCGAAGGAAACTTGAGGTCAAACATCCAAGGTGACATTCACACACGGCCAGTCGTTACGGCGCGGGCATTGAAACGTTTTCGACATACGGGAAACACATTAACATACACACAGCCTTATATTATGATGGTCTTCAATATTAAGGAATGATAAGATATCTCACACAGCTGACGTGAAGACTGCCGTGTAGGTTGCTGCTGATAGAAGCCAACTCAGGCTTTCTGTCCGTCTTCTTGGCCTGGCGTTTAGCCTTCCCCTCCAGGAACCTCTTCTGCAGCGCATTCGTCTCCAGATTCTGCTGCTCGCAGGCCCCGCTGAACGACTGGTCGAACCTCGGCACACACTCCGACTGTCGCCGCCTGTACGTCTCTATTCTTCGTCTGTTAATACGATTCACAATATTAATTGGATATACACATTCGGTAAATTTTTTAACATACATCGTAGTTTTAATTAGCAAACCAGTTTTAATGAGATTATAAGTCGTACATTTTAACAGAATGTCGTCGTCTGTATGTAAATATTTGTAATGTATTTAAATTAAGTTCAGTTACGTATGACCCTCGCGGATCACGAGCGTACAGACGGTAGAATGTTCAAACATGGGTTTCCATACATCTTCATCAGACGACCATGTATGATAGAGGAATGAAATACTTTATAACCCAAATCTCAGTTCATCGTTCACGTTTTAAGGTGAGCTAATGAATCGTATAATCAATAATTGAACATCGGTATATTATCTAAACTGTTGGATAAGTCACGCCTGTTACTTTGGAAACAAGATATTATACAGTAACAGTAAGGTTTGAGGGTCACTCGTAAGCGAACACAAATTGATGTTCGCATATTTTAACATATTCAATTGTTAAATTATTCAAGTTTTTGTTCAGGATATAATATGTATAAACGTTCGTTATATATAAAACATATTTAGGATTAAACAAAAAATACAATCGTATTTTGTGTACTAAGTAAATGAAAGTTATGGACTAAATAACAACTTTTACTTTCGAGGGTCCGAACATATAGAAATAGGTCTGTCTAACAGTTGAGCCATCTAACAGTCTGTTTTTCTAACAGTTGAGCCGTCTAACAGTCCCTCTGTCTAGCAGTTAAGCCATCTATCAGTCGGTCTATCTACCAGTTGAGCCATCTAAAACTTTGTCTGTCTAACAGTTGAGTCATCTAACAGTCTGTCTTTCTAACAGTTCAGCCATCTAACAGTCGGTCTATCTAACAGTTGAGCCATCTAACAGTCCGTCTTTCTAACAGTTGAGCGGTCTCTTCTTGAGTGTCTAGTATTTCCTTCGTATAATAGTAAGGCCACCTAACAGTTTAGCTTTCTCAAAGTCGGTCTGTCTAACAAGTGGGACATGTAGCAGTAGGGCCATCTAACAGAGTCGCCGGTCGACCATTTTAATATTATAATCTCGTTGAATAAACAATCCTTTTATCTTATCTTTACGTAACTGTACAATTCCCTTATCTTTATGTTTCCATGAAAGTCCACTTTATGATCTTCTCCGACCAAAAAATTGATAGATTTTCTATTTATAATGAGTTTTTTTTTATATAACATACTATCAAATTAAATACTAATGAAATCAAATATTATGTGTGCTCAAAGTTATCAGTTGTGGACTAACATATTGAGTACATTTCGTCCCTCGAATCCCGAGGGATAAGGAGCGACGCCCCGGATACTTGTGAAAACTTATTTACTTACTTAACATCATTCGAAAACATTAAAATTTGTATTTTTGTATGAAAAATGAATTATTATTAACTATTTTTATCATAACAAAACATTTTAGATGAATATATGTATTTTCATGTGCATATATTTCTTTGTTTCTATAAATAATTACGAAATCTGAATGGATCCGTTTCAAAAGGGACTGAATGAGGGTATGATAGGGGCAGGTCAGGGGAATACCGAAGATGCAAATACAACGTAGAGAATTAATAGTCTGGATCACGTCAAAAACTGGAACATTATTATAAGACTATGGAAACAGTCACACGAGCAGAAGACATTGGACAATGGATACATGTGTGTGTGTGTGTGTGTGTGTGTGGGTTAATGTACCGCCTCTAGTGGTTGCGATATAGAATTAATATGAGGACGTAGAGCTCAGAAGCGATCAGACAGGACGAGGGAGGAAATTGGACTTAGGTTAGGGTGTGCTCCTAACGAAGGAATAAAGTGAGGTAGCTGACTATTACTATTGATGGTCAGTCAGCCATTGACTCGGCTTCATCTGATGCTTATTTTGTGAATTTCGTTTTTAAACTTAATGCGCATGATTTTCGATCATCCATCAGCTGCCGAGCGAACAGTCGGTGAAGGGTTCAAGGTTGCTTGAAGTCACCTTCGTATTTTCCATTCTAATATTCGATTTTAGCATCGTTGGCGATGCAATGTGATTCGAAATGTATGTAATATTTAGTGAGAACATTCATGTATGTTACGTGCTAAAGTATATGTAACAGATTACTCGTACGGCGCGAACGCGTCGCTTACTACAAATATGTGATAAATAATACAGTAGGTGAGCATAATAAGTGCGGCTCGTTCAACATAGCGTCCACTTGTTACGTATGAAGCTGTCTCTGTAACTGGAGCGGCTTCGATGGGCACCGGGGGGGGGGGGGGGAGGCCGGGAGGGGGGGGGGAGCTTCGAGTTTGAGAGAAAACCATCGACGGGCGACATCCGCTACATGATACATCGCACGCACACACGTGTAGGCCGGGTGACGTCACTGTGACGCTCGGGGCGCGGACAGGTTGCCATGACAACGGTGACGTGAACCGACGAAAACTGATGCAGCGACACTTGGAGTGCAGCGGCGGAGGGGGGGGGGGCGCGGGTAAGAGATAAGGCAGTGGGATGTGGCGACGCGATGAAAGTAGATACATTGTAACGAGACACAACACTATACTAGTGATACGACCGACTCCGCTTACCCCGCGATCGACTTCACCAGGACTATTTAATATACATTTTGAAGCTAATAATTTGATTATATTAATATAAATATATACACTCCTTGTGATGTTGACATACAAAAAAATATATCAAAATATTTCATAGTATGTACACAAGATTACTTATCACCAGTCTATTGGCTCCCACCACCATCAATTCTGAGTGCACCACAACCAGTCTCGCTCTACTATCACACTTTCTCTACACTCTAGAGTCTATAGTCTAGATGCACATCGCATTACTACTATTTCTACAGAGTACACTTGTACTTTTAACCGACTGCGACTGGTAGCATAAAGGACGATATAAAACATTATAATTATTTCTCCCATACATTGATAGGTACATGAAGAACTATACTACTACTCCCCTCCATGCACATGTGTGTGTGTGTTTGTGTGTGTGTAACAAGTAATGATCAGCCTGATAAGAGTGAAAGTCTTTATCCATATAAACGCAACACATATTATGACATAACATTCAATACATAACGATAATCTATAGCAAACATAGTTCTCGTCTCATAATACACTAGTTTCTGTCCGCGACTTCGTCCGCGTTAATTTCGTCATTAGTAATATACGTATAGCTGACTAGGCGAACTCTATTCCGTCTTAAATAACCAGGTATTGGTATTTATTAAATTTTTCCTGTTTCAAACGAACAGAATGATTGACATATTAGTTAGTTGTCAAATCTAATTTAAAAAAACGTTTTTATGGGAAATAGAAAAGCGCTGTTTTTAGGGTTTTTTCGAAAATGAATCAATTTTTTTTAAGCTTTTATACCTTCCCTGAACCTCCACGAACATTTCAAGACTAAGATAAGATAAATCCGTTCAGCCGTTCTCGAGTTTTAGTGAGACTAACGAACAGCAATTCATTTTTATATACATATACAGGGTGACTGGTGAATTACTATCAATATTTAAGGAGCGTACTCGGTACATGATTCTCATTCTAATTATGTAAAAAAAATAGGTACTTAATTTTTGACAAAATTTCCGTATAAATAAATAAAGTGTGTACACGTTCCAAGTGTTCCGAGTGTGGGCGCGCGCGGCGGCGTGCTGATACAACACTACGCCGCCGCCGCGTCTGTGTGAGTGTGTGTGTATACCTAATCTGTAGGGTGTTCATACGATGCGTAATTAATTACATAACTTTTGGTTAACTTTACTTAGAAGTTTATTAATATTTATGTTATATTAATTTTTATTTTGTCATATATGATCGTCAAATATCACCTCCTCAAATATCGATAGTAATTCACCAGTCACCCTGTATAGATATAGATAATTCTCTTTATATATATGTTTTTTTTATCCAAATAGTTCTTATAGGTTTTCCTCATAGATAATTCGTTTCCTCTATTTAAATTGCCAATAAAATGTTCGGATACATACAAAAAAATTATCTATATTGAATTAAAAACTCAACGACTAACATAAATTAAATGTATCCGTAAAAGATAATATTCAAAATAAACATTTATTTACAGACATATCCAGGTTACGTTGCTAGTGTAGACAGTGTTTAAAATTTCACATTCAGTATATAAAGTTGAATATAGAAATCCGAGTCGAGCGTACGGCTTTAGAAACTCGTTCCGCACAGAGTGTAGCGACTTGCACAGAGCACAGAACAGTGCACAGTACACAGTGCACCACTTCTATGATACATAGAGCACACAAGGGCGTGGTTACATGTGCACAGGCACAGAATAACAACACAACCAGGATTCATCATTATAATCAACTATCTTACTTTATATACTAGACTAAATAAAATATATAATGAGATCTAAGACTTTCGCGAATATACATTTAAATGAAACTAATATTTTTCGACATCTCGTCTTAAAGATCACGGTTGCTGAAAAGTAACCGAAACGTTGGTAGTATGTAGTTTAAAATAATAAAATACGCGTTGTAATCATAGTAATATAAGTTTCATATACAGGGTGACTGGCGAATTACTATCAATATTTAAGAAGCACACTCGGTACATGATTCTCATTCGAATTATGTAAAAAAAATAGGTACTTAATTTTTGACCAAATTTCCGTATAAATAAATAAAGTGTGTACACGTTCCAAGTGTTCCAAGTGTGAACGCGTGCGGCGGCGTGCTGATACAACAACACGCCGCCGCGCGCGTATGTGTGTGTGTGTGTATACCTAATCTGTAGGGTGTTCATACGATGCGTAATTAATGACATAACTTTTGGTTAACTTTACTTAGAAGTTTATTAATATTTATGTTATATTAATTTTTATTTTGTCATATATGATCGTCAAATATTACGTCCTCAAATATCGATAGTAATTCACCAGTCACCCTGTGTATGTATGTATGTATTGTTTCTGTAACAGTTTATTCCCCGACTCCCGTTCAGTGGTCGTGTGTCGTGTGTTTTTGTTTAGTTCATTGACCACTCGATAAAGACAGTGTCGCGGTGCGGACATAGCTCCTCACCTGTTACTACAAACGACATACGAACATACATAGACTACATACATATAAACATATATATATAAACTATTATTATGATAACGGAATTAACTATAAAAGTCGCTATTTGATTCATGTGAAAAAAATACGTAAGCAATGAGTTGTGTTTTCAAAGATAATTATTGATTGAAATATAATTTAAACTAATATAATAAGATCTTATATGAAAAAATGATTGTAGATTGTTAATATTATTATATATTACAAACACATTAAAAGGAATGATTTAAAAAGATATATATACATATATATGTAGTATGAATAACGAAATAGAATGGTATTTTACCGTTATATAACAAATGGTTTTATATTATACTAGGTTTTGCTCGCGACTTTGTCCACGTTAATTACGAAATTAGTAATTTACATAATTATGTATATAAACTGACTGTGCGAACTCTTTTCCTCCATAAGGTCCATAAATAACGTGATATTGGAATTTATTAAGCTTTTTTTGCTCAAACAGAATTATATATCTTATGTCCTTTATCCAATACTAATCTATCTTTCCATCAATTTTCAACCATATCCGTACAGCCGTTCTTGCGTTATAAATAGTGTAAGTAACACGACTTTCTTTTATATATAACAGATATGGTAAAATCATTATATGTAGTATTCTATCAGTTAGAATTCAAGATATATAGAGCTACAGAAACTTTGGGAAATCCTTAATATCAAACAGACGACTGACTGACTGACTGATGAATTGTTGACGGAGTATTCTAATAAGTTCATAATTACTCCCTCAATACCAAATACTCTACACTATAATACCGGATAGCAATAAAATGTAATCAGAATATTAATATTAACAATATTAAATAATAAAAAAAATTACAAGGTGTAATTTTTTAATAAAAACCAATGAACATCCTTCAATTGGATTCCGATTGTTTTGTAAAGCCGACCTCACTTTGATAATATATAATTTGTAACAATACAAACTTTAATGATCGTAAAGTTGACAATAAATGGAAATAACAAATTAACGAACATAATTATTATGTTTTTATACAATTTATACCTAATATAGGATATTTTCCTTCATTTTACAAATCAATCACTAGAAATGGCAGATAATTATAATTTAACTTTATACATAACTTGATATTGGCTTGTGAAACGAGGTGTATTTTCAGTGTTTTAGTTGTTAAATATTTTAATAAGGGCTGTCAGGTAAATGGTTAAACATAATACTATACAGCTAGTTCGGTACCAGAAGGTTGTATATAAATAAACCTTCATTAAAGATCAGCAGAGATTTGATTTCACTAAAGATAGATATTGATTAGTAACTACCTTAAGCGATCGACAACAGCTTGTCGTTTGGGTGGAAGAATCATTTCTTCCATGGGTTGCAGCATGTTCGGCGGGTGCTGGGCGGGCGAAGCGCCGGGCAGCAGGCCGCCCGCGCCGCCGCCTCCGACCAGGTGCTCCACGGTTACTCCTGGCCACTTCACCTCCGCCCCCTCATTCTCTGTCCCTCTCTTAAGCTACTCAGTACTCAAGTACTGCACCGTAACTGAGATAACACTATGAGAAAATAGCCACAGTTCGTCCTCAACAATCTAAGCACATTTTTCATGTTGACACCAGTCTTCAAAACACAGTTAGTTATATTAGAAAAATTTCAGCCAAGGCTATACAACGATTCACTGAACGACCGAGATACGTGTGGACTTGTAATATAAATGTTTGAAAAACAAATGTTTTGATATAAAACAAGTTATGAAGTCACATCACAATCATCCGGAGTAAAATATTTAACTCGCACAAACTCATATAAAATAACTGGAGGCACTCGCACACACGGAAGGTAATAATTATTGTATATTAACATATACTTCTCTTAGCAAATTCTTATTAAAAAAATATTCAAAAGTTGTAAAACAATTCGCAATAACTCAATACGTTCAATACGACTAAGATCTCAAACATCAACTGACTGACGGAGGTCGGACTCCGGAGACGCTTACATTGCCGTTTTATGACGCATTAACTAGATTCCTGTCTTTGGATCTCATAGATATTATATTTGTTGAATAAGAATTGGAATCAGAACGATAACATTTGTAAAATTTAATACTATAACTAATTATTATTTATTAGATATTAATATTTTCTTATTTAATGATATGAATTGAATTTAATAGTGACTAAAATATTTGTTTTTCTTTTTGATATTGTAATCTTACATCATAGAAATTATTTGTATAAAATAAGATTACCATTTGAAAATAAGTACCGATATTAGGATATTTAGAAAAATAAATATTATAATATGTGGCCTTTTTAATGTTAATATCGTCATATGAAAATATATTTTTTACTAAAATGGAATTATAAAAATATATTTCAATGTCATAATAACACTGTCACTTGAGTTTGAATTGAGACTGATAACCTAGAAGATTGAATAATAAAATTAAAATCTAATAATACTTAATAATTATATTTAACTTGGACATATAAAATTATTGCAGGACAATTTGAGAAATAAACATTTGTTTAATAATATAATTTATCTTTATTTACGTTACAATGTCAGCACTTCGTTCCCGGCTAGGAGGATCATCTAGACTTCTGTCTAGAATTATTTATCATTCCAAAACACAGTCCAGTTTAATATATCGCGCGTCTGTTCCTGCTAGTAATTTCCGTGAGTAAACTTATTGTTAACTTTGGTAAGCGCTAAATAACGATAATGATTCGATTTCTTAATTTCCAGAAAGATTCAATGTAGCTTTACAATACAGTACAGTATCTGACCAGAAGCCAGTGGAAACCAGCAATGATAATGTAGAAAAGAAAGAATTTCAAGCTGAAACTAGAATGCTATTGGACATTGTGGCTAGATCATTATATTCAGATAAAGAAGTGAGCTCATCAAATTAATACATCAATATTTTGTTTACTTAAAATCTGTACTTTAATTTAATTATTTTTATCATATTACAGGTATTTATCAGAGAACTCATTTCAAATGCCAGCGATGCTCTCGAAAAGTTTCGTTACCTAAGTGTTAGTTCAACTCCAGATTCACCCAAACTGGATGGCTTAGACCGAGCACTTGAAATAACGTTGACCACAGACAAACAGAATAGGCAGCTTATATTCCAGGTAATTGTAATTTCTGATCTACAAATAAGTAGAAATTCATTCTGTAAGTTAATAGTTTACATTAATTTCTTATTGACAATTCAAAAAACATACAAGTATGTAGGAAAGGTGTATAATATATGGCAGTACAATTAAAGACCATTTTGAAATAACTTATTTTTTGTATAGATGGAATCAAAATATAGACTAAAAACTTAAGAAAATGCAAAAAAATTATCACTACTAGAATTAATACAAGAAGCTAGAAGCATAAATCATAAATATGATCTGAAAAATTAATAATTTCAGTTTAATATATATCAATAATTATTCTTGTTTTAGGATTCAGGTATTGGCATGACAAAGGAGGAATTAATACAAAACTTAGGAACAATAGCTCGGTCAGGGTCTAAATCTTTTATAGAAGAAGTAAAGAAGCAAGGCTCGGAACAAGCAAGCTCCATCATTGGACAGTTTGGTGTGGGATTCTATTCAGCTTTTATGGTGGCCGATAAAATTGAAGTGTTCACGAGAAGCAGTATTGCGGGCTCAAAAGGATATAAATGGAGTTCTGACGGGTTAGAAATATATATCAGTTAACATTTGGTAGTAATCTTAGTCATTTAAATGAAACTAACATTTTTATATATGTGATGTTTTGGATATAATTGTGATTATAGTTGCTGAAAAGTAGCCGAAACGTTGGCAGTGTGTAGCTTTTATCAGAGACGAAACCTCTCAGCATTCAATGTATTCACGGTGTGGGTGTCAGGTCCATCGTTGTAGTGAGAGGGGCTTCAACAGTGACTGGGACTTGTGATCCAGGTGTAGGTTTAAGGCCCTATCTAACGTGTTAAACGTTCACCTCCACCGTACAAGCTCCTCTCTCTAATGTAATAAAGACGCGTAGTATATAAAAAAATATTAGTTTCATTTAAATATTTGGTAGTCTTGATCATTAGTATATATTGAGTTTTGTTCAGGTCGGGAACATATGAAATACAAGAGGTAGACGGAGTAGATATTGGCACCAAGATCATTGTACATCTGAAGACTGATTGCAGGGAGTTTGCTGATGATGATACTGTTAAAAGTGAGTTAAAACTAAGAACATATATATATATTATATAATAACAAAGCATATAAGTCAGTGGTGGCCTAGTGGTTATAGGCTCGCCTTTTATGCATGAGGGCGCGGGTTCGATCCTGGCAAGTACCAATGTATTTTTCCGAGTCATATGTACTTCATAAGAATATTTAGACACCACTGACAGACGGTGAAGAAAAACATAGTGAAGAAACCTGGATTTATAATTTCACAATTATAAGTTTGAAATCACCAACCCGTCTTAAGCAAGCATGGTGATTAATGCAATCCTGTTGTTGTCAGGCAGACGGCTGGTCGTAAAAACAATTAGCCAAAACTATTTACAACATGTAAGGCAGACCCTGGCTAAAGCTGTGAAAAAAACCGGATAGAAGAAGTAAAAAAGCATAGGTATTGAATAACAATATTAATAATGTTTCAGATATAATAATGAAATACAGCAATTTCATCGGCAGCCCCATCAAGTTGAACAATGAACAAATAAACTCTATCAAGGTACATACATATTTCCTGATTCTCTTACAAAATTCTTATTACACCAAATGGAATATGTAATTATGGTTAATTATTTAGTGTTTAATTTACTTTTAATTGTGAAAAATATACCTTAAAAGTCGTTAATATAGTAAATATTTCAGCTCAAACTTTCTTCTGATAATCTGCTTCCGATGTAGATACGCGGAATTATTATTTATTTTGCAATGTTTGTATATATTGTATATAAAAAGTGATATTGTGAGAAGAAATGACGAATCTGATAAAAATAATTTTCGTGTTTAATAACTTTTATCGTGAAAAATTCTTAAGTTGACGATATATATATTTATTTATTTTATTTAAGTCATTTGTTTTCTCTTCACAAAATACTTATATATTATTCAATGGTAGTTACGTGGATTTGCACAATGTAATAATTATGGTTAATTATTTCAGCCACTATGGCTGATGGAACCGAAAGAAGTGACAACCGAGCAGCATATAGAGTTCTACCGGTTTATCGGTAATTCTTACGACAAACCTCGCTTTACCCTTCACTACAAGGCGGATGCGCCTCTCAGCATCCGGTCTATTCTGTACGTACCGGAAGGCAAGCCGGGGCTGTTTGAGTTATCTCGAGACTCGGACGTGGGCGTCGCTTTATATTCAAGAAAGATTTTGATCAAGAGCAAGGCGGAGAATATACTGCCCAAGTGGCTGAGATTTGTTAAAGGTTGGTATAAACATCGGGACACCCTACTAATATTATATATGCGAAAGTAACTCTGTCTGTCCGTTTGTTACGCTTTCACGTCTAAACCACTGAACTGATTTTAATGAAATTTGGTACAGATATAGAGTTGACCTTGAAAAAGAACATAGGATAGTTTTTATCACAGACTTTTGAAAAGTTCTTTGGACACGCAATATAACCGACCTCCTGCGGGTGAAAGATATTGTAAATTAAAGATATTGTAGGACCCTGGTCCTCTATGTAAAAATAACTAGTCACTAGATCACTACTACCCCGCCTAGAGCGCAGGCGCACGTCACCGCCCTCTAGTGGGGTACGTTAGACAGTGTATTATATGTATTGTATAGATTGATATGGTGAAGGAAAACAATACCCGTCTTGATCGACCGTGGTGATTAATGCTCAAAGCTTCTCAATGTGAGAAAGAGGCCTTGCTCAGCAGTGGGCGCTGATAGGCTGATAGGCATACATACACTACAGATATGTATCTTATAACAGGTTGCGACTGAATTCTGTGATAATATTTAAATATTTAATCTTTCCAGGTGTCGTGGACTCGGAGGACATTCCGCTGAATCTAAGTCGAGAACTACTGCAGAACAGTGCTTTAATAGCGTATGTATTCATATACTTGAATGACAAAATATTAACAAAGACATCTTTCAACCTATCCTACCCTGTCTCAAAGACTTCTCCTGGGTAGAGATTTCAAACACTACTCAAGTAGTTTTATTGTTTATTCCCTCTTATAATAAGCTCTCTTGCCTTAAAGCCTTCCTTTTAAAGGCTCAAAACCTCAAAGCTTCCAATGAGTCACCTGTCTTACAATAAAATCTATGTATATTAAATTCATGTATCCAATCTTAGACAAGATAACTATCTGTGTCACTGTGAACTGCAAAAACTTCAGAACATATAAATATTAAATACATAGAATAAATACGAATACGTTTATTTTTCTTCTTCCTGGCAATTTATTTTTATTTTTATTTATTTATTTATTTCCTAGCTTTAGCCAGGGTCTGCCTAATAAGTTTGTTTTTGTATGTGAATATAATGATATTCGTCTGTTTTCCAGTAAGTTACGGACCGTTCTGACGAATCGTTTCCTGAAGTTCATGGCGGACATGGCTAACAAGGATCCGGTCGGCTATGAGGCCTTCTACCGGGACTACTCGCTGTTCTTCAAGGAGGGGATCGTTACTAGCCAGAATCCTCTGGAAAAGGTACTCATATATATACTAGAAGACCCGGCGAACTTCGTATCGCCCTATAATCAAGAAATATCTGTTACGTTTTTTTATTTATTTTTTGGAGTTTACCTATTAAAGCCATAAATCTCCGTGTTTTGAAGTGCGACAGAATGATTGACATATTAGTTAGTTGTCAAATGTAATGTAAAAAAAAAGTTTATATCAATAACTACTAATAAATTATAATTAATTAAAAAAACATTGTTCAGCGGACAAAATTGTGAATCTAAACCATTCCCAGATCCCCTTGAACACACACAAAAAATGTCATCAAAATCAGTGCAGTCGTTTGAGAGAAGTTTAGTGACATACATACAGAAGAATTATATATATATTATACATACACACTCACAGTATACTGTAATTGTAAAGTCAGTGGTGGCCTAGTGGTTAAAAGGCCCGCCTCTTATGTACGAGGGTACGGCTTCCATCCTGGCAAGTACCAATGTGATTTTTCCGAGTCATATGTACATTCTAAGAGTATTTAGACATCACTGATTAATGCATTCACAAAGAGGGTTGATGTCAGGCAGGCGGTCATAAAACAATTAGCCAAAACTATTCACAACATATAAGGCTGGTCCTGGCTATAGCTGGGAAATTGCCAGGTAGAAGAAGACTAGCTACAAACTCCTGATTTCACCAACAGAAGCCGTTGCAGACTTCTGTGATTCACAACCAAACAATAAAACGATACCAACATTGTTATTTTAACTCTTTTATGCTGAAGGCAACGGAGCCTACGCCTTAACTAATTGCGATAGTACCGTCGCCCGCAACATAGATTTGCGAATGTGTTACCACCCTTGACTGGGAATAGGAGGGAAATGGTGGGAAAAGGAGGGAAAAGGGAAAGGGCAACTCAAGTAATCCAGGGCCTTAGTCACTAACTGGTCATATCTTTCCCAAATCCCAATTCATGATAATACAATACGTATCAATTCCAAGTAGGGGGATGTTCCTCTGATGAAAATACTCATACCGAGGTTTAAATCGCTCTTAGTGATTAAGTACTAACATAGACAATAAGTTTTAAATTGTTACTTACAAAAAAAATACTAACATAGTTATTAAGTACTTTGTAACTAACACGTGGACCTTGCTGTCTGAAAGTGAACAAAATAATAATACGATGAAAAATAATGTCATAATTTCTTTTGTAGGAGGAAATAGCCAAGCTATTGCGTTTCGAGTCATCGAAACTGGAGAACGGCGTCCGGACGTCGTTGGCCGACTACAACAAGAGGCAGAACAACGACCAGAAGAATATATACTACCTGGCAGCGCCCAGGTATATATAAATATACTAGCTTTCCGCCCGCAGCTTCCCCGTGTGGAGTTCGGTTGTATCGCGTTTCCAAGAGAACCTTTCAAAAGTCTGGGATAAAAACTACCCTATGTTCTTTCTCAGGTCAACTCTATATTTGTGCCAAATTTCATTAAAATCAGTTCAGTGGTTTAGGCGTGAAAGCGTGTTACGCAGTTACAGACAGGCAAAGTTACTTTCGCATCTATAATATTAGTAGGAATGATATTTCTATAGATATTATTCTGTATAGAGGTTTATTAATAAATAGTTTTTGCGACTTAGTCCGCTTTAATTTCGGAATTAATATATGTATAGCTGACTGGACGAATAATAATCCGCCATAGAGGCCTAAATAACCAGATGTTGAAATTTATTACCTACTAGAAGACGTGGTGAACTTCGTATCGCCCTATAATCAAGAAATATCTATTACGTTTTTTTAATTATATTTTTGGAGTTTACCTGTAAGCCATAAATCTCCCTGTTTTGAAGTGCGACAGAATGATTGACATATTAGTTAGTTGTGAAATCTAATGTCAAAAAAAACGTTTGTATGGGAAATAGAAAAAGGCTGTTTTTATGGTTTTCCCCGTAATTAATGAATTTTTTTCAGCTTTTATACCTTCCCTGAACCTTCACGAACATTTCAAGACTAAGATAAGATAAATCCGTTCAGCCGTTCTCGAGTTTTAGCTAGACTAAGGAACAGCAATCCATTTTTATATATAGATTTTTTTTCTATCGAATAGAATTAAATATCCTATGTCCTTTCTATGTTCTAATCTATCCCTCCACCAATTTTCATCCAAACCCGTATAGTCGTTCTTGAGTTGTAAATAGTGTAACTAACACGATTTTCTTTTATATCTTTATATATATAAAAATTTCGTGTCACGTGTTTGTCCACGATGGACTCCTAAACTACTAAACCGATTTTAAATTTGATTTGCATTCTGTGCGCATTTTGATCCAACTTGAAAGATAAGATAGCTTACATCACAATTTATAGTCACAATATTATTTTATTGCAAATTATTTGTCTATTAAAGAAAATTATTTGTCATTATTATAATTATCTGTTAACTGAGTTAAATATTCAATAGATGGCGCTATGTTAAAAATACAAACGACATATATGAGCGACTATTTAATAATAGCATAACTAAATTTATTTATTAAAAAAACGTAACAGATATTTCTTGATTATAGGGCGATACGAAGTTCACCGGGTCTTCTAGTACATATTTATTGTTAGAAAAGAAAACACTTTATGATTTTTAAAAAACGTTTTTATGGTATTTATTTTTTTTATTTAATAGGAAGCCAACGTGATACACAAAAACTTATATTAATATTCAAGACTAATTAGGGCAGAGCTTCTTCACTTGACTATAGTTTAGAACAAGTAATCGCATTCCTTATATAGGTGGCTTGAGTGTAGCTAGTTTAATAATAATTAATTGATTATCATTTAACAATATACAAATATATAAAACTAGCTGCGCCCCGCGGTTTTCCGGGATGTAAAGTAGCCTATGTGTTATTCCTGGACGTCAGCTTCCTGTATACAAAATTTTATCAAAAATCAGTTCAGCCGTTTGTGCGTGAAGAAGTAACAAACATACACACACACTCAGAAACTTTCGCAATTATAATATTAGTAGGATGTACTAAAATCGTTGAATCTTTCAGCCGTGAGCTGGCTCAGTCTTCTCCATACTACGAATCCTTGAAGAAGAGGGACGTCGAAGTTCTCTTCTGTTACGAGATGTATGACGAACTCGTGTTGTTGGAGCTCAAGGAGTTCGGCGGGAGAGCACTAGTCTCTGTTGAAAACGACATGCAGAAAGATCCCGCAGACAGCAGCGATACTATTATAGGTAAAAAAAAACACTAACTTATAAGGAAAAACCTCTAAAACAGAGTATTTAAAATGAAATTAATATTTTTCGCATTTACTACGCGTGCTCTATGTAAAAAACTAATTTAATTTGTCTAATTACGGAGCCTGAAGTGTAAAAAGTTTGTATGAATACTTTCTGCTCATTTGTGGCCAAAATTATTTAAATGAAACTAATATCGGATTTACTACGCGGGCTTTATTTTTGTAAAAAAAAAAACTACATACTCCCGAAGTTTCGGTTACTTCACAGCAATATAATCATTTAGACGAGATTAAAATAAACAACGCGTAGTATGTCTAACAAATATTGTTTTCATTTAAATGAATAATCGAAAATCTTAGGTTTTATTAAACTGTATTTTACCCAATGGACTGTGAACAACATATTGACCTGAGCTAGTTGTTATCAAGAGCATCCTTTCTTAATTTCTTCATCATCAGAACATATGTGGTCAGGTCTGATAGAATTGAGTCACTAGGTCGCTAGGGTGATAGTGTCAAAAGTGGATCTGAGTTTCTCCTCCCCTAAATAATTCATCACCATTAGTTTTCAAATGTATCCTAGTCTACAACAATCATTATGATCTTGAAAAAACACACGAGGCTTTACCAGGACTTAAGAAACTTTGTTCTTTTAACTTTAATAAGCAGTCGACTTATGTACGAAGTTCTTTGTCAATAGTTTTCATCGTCTGAGCTGATATCCTCTCAATATCTTTAAGAATATTACCACTTTTTTTTAATATGCTATAAAAATGATATTGAAAGCTATAAGAGAAATAATCAAGGGATGGAACACAAGTCCAGATTATATACAATTATAATTATTATCTAAAATCAACATTTAAATGAAACTATATCTCGTTTTAATGATCATGTTTGTTGAAAAGTAGCCGAAACGTCGGGAGTATGTAGTTTTTTACAATAATAAACTGGCATAGTATATACCAAAAATATTAGTTTCATCTAAATGAATACTCGCGTAAACCTTAGATGTAATTAAAATCACAATTATTACAGGCAGCGGCGAACTAGAGCAAAACCAGGTGAATGACGTTATATCATTCCTAAAAACGAACTTAGTTGGGAAAGTGTTTGATGTACGAACCACTAGGAGGCTGGACACTCACCCGTGTGTCATCATTGTACCAGAAATGGCCGCCGCTAGACACTTCATACGGACACAAGCACAGAACCTGAGCGAGGAGAACAGGTTCGCGCTGCTACGACCCCAGCTAGAGATAAACGCCAAGTGAGTATAACAACCACATCACTAAAGTTTCAGGTTATAGTCCGTTAGACTTAAGCTGAGCTTTGCATTTGTGTGAGTGAAAGTAAAAGTAGAGTTAGACAAAAAAACTTTTATAATTACATACATTCTATTATATTTTAAATAGATACATGACATAAGTGCTATAAAATAAGCAAAACTTGTAATAGTCCAGATGGAAATATTATGAATATTGAGGAAAAAAATTATTGATTAATAAGAATTTTGAAAAAACTACAAATTCTTATTTACTTGACATTGCATTTTCAACATTTGATTTTACTACCAGTACAAAGGGTGAAGTGCGGAAGGTGCGGGGCGAAGTAAAAGCAAAATAAACCGGTTCAAAACTAAAAAAGAACGTTTCATTCCAAAATTTGACATCACACCTACACTATCCGTGTGCACTCACACAAATGCAAAGCTCAGCGTAAATCAAACGCACTATACTCTATTAGAGTTAAAGTATGGCAATACTATCACTCAAAATTTCCAACGTAAAGCTCAAAAGGACAATTATCCAGAGCTGTAAAATATAAAAAAAACTTCAACGGATTTGAAATTATCTTTGTATATGGCAGCACCGATAGTGAAAACAGTGAGATAACCTTATCAGTCATTTCTAGGAGTATCTGAAAGTTACAGCTCATGATAATAGAGCTGACTCGTATGGCAATATGACTTAAAACTTAACTTATTTGAGTTTATATAACTCTTTGCCTCTAAGTGTTGTCAATTCAAAATCTCTAAATATATTTAAAAAACGATTAAGAACCCATATATTAGAAGATTTCACTGATCTTGTTTAATTTTTTTTACTGTTCATTATTTGTAATTTTAATTGTAGTTATAGTTTTTAAAATTTCCTTTGTAAGCGAACTTTGTTCTTTTTGGAAATAAACTTGTTTAAACCTTATTTTTGTATATGGCAAAACCAAATAAGAATAGTATAATAACTTTACTAGTTATCATTAGGAGCATCTAGAAGTTACAGCTCATACTAATAAAGCTAACTATATATTTTATATGGCAATACTATCACTCAAAACTTCCAACATATTTTAAATTATTTTTATACATAGCAACCACAATAATAATTATTATACAGTTTTAATATATTAATAATTATATTTCAGACACCCCATAATCAAGAAACTACACAACCTAATCTCCAGTGATAAGGAGCTAGCGAATATGATCTGTAAACAGTTATTCTCAAACGCCATGGTGACCGCCGGGCTCATGATGGACGCGCGGACACTCGTCACTGATATAAACGACCTACTGATAAAGGCTCTGGAGAAATATTGAATGTATTGTTAATAAATATATAGTTATTTACTAAAATTTGTTTAATTTTTTGTAACAATCTGTTCTGGTATTTGAAAAAAATCATAACTGTTTTTAAATGTATGTAAACAGATAGCTGGATAATTGGAAAATTAAATGTGCCTTACTTTTTTTACATACTAAATAAATAGTTTTGTAATGAGATCTACGACTTTCGAGAATATTCATTTAAATGAAACTAATATTTTTGATATATACCACGCGTGCTTTACATTTCTGCAAGCGTGATCACAGTTGTAGTCCAGGATACATGGCTGTTTTTTGCACTTGATTACTAACAAGATAGTTTTCCGTGAGTAGCTTCGTTTCATTGAGACGCCCAACTTTTCCCTTTTCGATATTTCTTGATAGTGGTAGCTAACTTAGCTAGCAGAGATAAAATATGTTGATTTGATAATTTTCCAAAATTTCTTACTAACTGGATTTATTTATTTTAAATCTTATGATAATTATGTAAATGATTCGAAAAATGTTTGTTCTACAAAATGTATGTCTTGATCAAAGAATCCCCCTCATTTCAACATGTATCGATAACGAGGTCATCGCAAGTGATTACTAACCAGCTGTTTTTTTATTTACTTAATTAATATTTATATAATTTAACGGTAACATTGTCCTACAAGTAGCTTGGTACGTTATCCCGGTCCTACGCTTAAAAATGGTTGATGCCACAAGACCATTTTTCTCATTACTAACTGTAGGACAAAATGCCACATGATAGATTAGTGTAATCTCTGCCCAAATGAAGCTATGTCCTACAAAAAAACAGGTATGTATCACTTATCCGACAGGAGTTGTGATTTTTTCGTATTTTTACTTGTAACATAGTATATAATGAATATTTTCTTTTTTTTTATTAAAAACTTGATTTTTTAGAGAGATGAGTACGAAAATTTATGTGTTTACGTAAACAAAAATTAATATTCATCTGATGAATCTTCGCTGCTTACATCGCTGTTATCTTTATTTATTTGATTGTCCTTATTTGTGATATCTGACTCTGTTATAACATGACAAAAGTTAGATAATTTATAATAATACGTAATAAGTCAATAATTAACAATAGTGTTAATAGGGTACCTTGTTTGTCAGAAGATAATTCCTCAAAAGACTGACTTTGGGGACCATCAAACGAATAAAATTCATAATTGCCATCAATAATGAATTGTTCATCCAAAATTTTCTGGCAATTTTTCTGTGAGGCACCGCATGTGTGCATTACACCATATATTACAGATGAGTGCAGTTCTTTTAATTCTTTGCAACAGTTCTTGTTTTAGTGGTTGCAAACTAGAAGAATCATATCCTCCGATTTTTGTTTTAAAATTTCCTCATTTTATTTTTTTGATTTATACCCTTTTTCAAATAACTCATACCGCCCTTTGTTGATATAATTTTTTTGTTTTTAAAGAATACATTCTACATACATACACTTAAATAATTTGAACTAACTTATTCGATGTTGTTGGTGGCGTATTTTCCATTGATAAGAGTTGATTAAAGGCCTCTTAAAAATTAATATTTTTTTTAGAATACTAAAAGGTCTCTTTTTTCCCTTACGAAAGAATGCAGGATTATAATCATTCCCTGTAAAAATATGGCATATGGCGAGTGAACAAGACAATTGATCTCCAAGCTTGGCATAAATATCGTTGATGTTTAAGTACATTTTCTTTTACTCGTGCTCAAATTGATAATGATTTGAATTTCATCTTTCAAATACTTAAAATTTGGTAATTTATTAATTTATCTAGCTAGTAAGTAATCATTCGTGATGACCTCGTTATCGATACGTGTTGAAAGGAAGGGGACTCTTTGATCAAACCATACATTTTGTAGGACAATTTTTTTTTTCGAATAATTTAGATAATTATCATAAGATTTAAATTAAAAAATCCTGTTAGTAACAAATTTTAGAAGATTATCAAATCAACATATTTAATCCCTGCTACCTCTGTTACCTACCCCAATTGAGAATTATCGCACAGGAAAAAGTTGGGCGTCTCATTGAAATGGAGCTACTCACGAAGACTCGGCTTGATAGTAATTATTTTTTTATCAATGATCAGTACTACTACTCTTAAGCGTAGGACCGGGATAACGTACCAAGCAACTTGTAGGACAATGTTACTGTTAAATTATATAAATATTAATATTATATTAATTAAGTAAATAAAAAAAAACAGCTGGTTAGTAATCACTTACGATGACATGTTGATAGGAGGGGGATTCTTTGATCAAACCATACATTTTGTAGGACAAACTTTTTTTCGAATCATTTAGATAATTATCATAAGATTTAAAATAAATAAATCCAGTTAGTAATAAATGTTGGAAAATTATCAAATCAACATATTTTATCTCTGCTAGCTAAGTTAGCTACCACTATCAAGAAATATCGCAAAGGAAAAAGTTGGGCGTCTCAATGAAACGAAGCTACTCACGGAAAACTATCTTTTTAGTAATCACGTGCAAAAAACAGCCATGTATCCTGGACTATTACCAAAAAGTAACTAAAACGTTTTATTAACAAAAAGAAAGCACGCGTAGTATACTCGATATAAGCTTCATTTAAATAATTTTGGCCACAAATGAGCACACTATTCATAAAAACTTTTTACACCTCAGGCTCCGGAATTAATCAATAAATCCGCTTTGCTTCGGTCGAAGATTGGCTCTCATATTAATCAGATTTTAATATAGTAAATAATTTTGAGTATTGTTATTTATTTTAAATAATAACTTGTCACCTTATCAGAAACATAATGAATCCTGCAACAATATTGTAAATCATCCTCGGACAAACAAAACAATCCTCCAACAGTGGCAAATTGCTTATTGAATTTTATAAACATAAATCCAACAAGACCTCGCATTTATTGAATATTATACTCTCTAAAAGTGCCTAATAAAGTAATAGTAGTTAATACTTCACATTTTTATTCCGTTTTATTAAAAAAAATAGTAATTTTTACCATTATTTGCTTTTGAATGCTTCCCTTTCTTCGATAATGTAATATAAATTCTTTAAACAGTTTATAATTATTTAACAAATTAAATTTAAAAGCTATTTTATAAAAAGAAACAACAGTGGTATTTATATTTGTTTTCAGTTTCCATTAATACATTATTTCGTAGCACAAACTATATTCATTATTTGTTGTACAATTTTTCTACATGGCATCATTATGAAGCTTCTATTTTATTGTCTGTGTGTCTGCATTGTGCGCTGCATCCTTGAAATAGCGTAGGAAGTTGTAATCGACCGCAACGGCGGCCGTTGACGGTATAACGACTAGCCGGCTCGGCCTATGGTGACTGGAAATATAACTAACGCCTTAACGGAAAAAACATCCGCCGGTTAATTGAGAATGTTTCACACCATTTCTATTTATTAAACTATACAAGACCACTTTTAAGTACGTATCTCATAATATCTTTTGTTGTTCAATATAAATATATATTTTAAATAAAATCGTGTTAAAACAAAAGAATTAGTGTTTTTATGAAGGAAAGTAATGTTTTCATATAATATTTATTTCAGTTGGTTTGATATAGATCTTAATTTATTGTTTTCAATGTTAAAAAAACGACACTCCCTAAGAAGCGACCATGAGTACGGCAGATATAAATAAAGTGGACAGTGACGAGAGTAAGACTTTAGATAAACAACAGATCGAAGCGGAAGAAAAAGAAATCATGTTGAAAGAAAGCGAAGCTACCGAAGCCGATGTCGAGCTTAGGAACGACGGTGGGCCGGTAAAAGCTGCGCTCAGCGGCGATATTACCGAGCAGGGGCGTGAAGTGAAACCAAAGTTTATACCTATAGGCGCTATCAAAATGCCGGGATTCTTCACCAGGAACTCTGACAGAGAAAAGTCTAAGGCACGTATAATACGTTTGTACTCAATAGAATCGTCCTAGGTTACAGTCGGCGTCGTTCGTTACGCTAGAAACAAGTCGCCCTGATTTTAAATAACTTAATAACTTGTTCAATTAAATTTTCGAATAAGCTGACTTTTGTTTTTTTTTATCTAGGACGAGGAAGCGATCGAAAAGGATATTGACAATGAAAAAGCTCATGACAAAACTGATGACGAAACTAAATCCAAACAGAGATTCCAATTTCTCCAGACCTGCCCGTTTTCACAGTATCTACATCAGACTGCTAATGAAAATGGTAATATATTAATTACTACCCCACAACTATGATATTTTATAACAATTAAAACATTTACAATATATAATGTATTCTCCCTGGCTTTGCTTGTTTGAACTTTATATACATTTGTAAATAAAAATATGTAAATCTCAGCCTAAGTTATGTCAATACAATATTTGTCATAATTTTGTCTTTACTTCCAGTGAGCCAATGTAAATATTTACATTTATAAATATGCACTTTAAATTTGTTTTCATTGACTAAACCTGTTCTGATATAGGTATATGATAGAATTTATAACAGAAATTTTTGTACATAATGCATATTATTTACAACTAAATGTATATAAGGTGTAAATGAATTTATATACATCAATGTTTAAACTCAATCCACATAATAACACCATATTGCTCAAGTTAACATATTATTCATAATACATTATTTACTAATATTTAAATATATATAAGTAAATAAAAATTTGAAATGCTTTTTAGTTTTATAACATACTATTTATGAATGCATGCTGGTTGTACTAACTACATCTTGTGCTCTCTATTCAACGGTATTCATGGAGCAAAAAGATTTTTAGCTGGGTCGTCATTGATTGGAAGAGTAAGGGAGCATTCCGGTTCTTTGTTAGTCCAATCAAAGATAATCCACTAAATACTTCTTGGGTGTTGTTACAAAGATCTGGAAATATATTCAATTATACTATTCTATAAAGAAAACCAGAATAATAAGTGTCTGAAGATAGAAACTAAAAAATTCTTATTTTTTAAGTTTCAATCATTGTATTATAGTTAAAAAACAATATATATTAATATTATTGGTTTACACTTGTTTGTTCTTTCACAGATGGAGACAATGCTACCAACAAAAAAAGTTTTGGAATGTTCAATGTGTACCCAAAGATATTCAAGAAGCAATCGGCAACCAACGAGGCTGCTCTCGCCTCTATGGAGACTTTAGAAGATAAACTTGACACACCCAATGACGGGATGGAAAATGTTAAATTGGATATTGTGGTGGGTATTTATATTTATTATTAAATTTTTTTATATATAGATATAATAGATTAAGAGTTTTTTTTAAGACTATTTAGACATCACTGATTAATGTTGATTCCCAAAAGAGGGTTGATGTCAGGCTGCGGCCGGTCGTAAAAACAAATAGCCAAAACTATTCACAACATGTAAGGCAGATTCTGGCTATAGCTGGGAAATTGCCAGGTAGAAGAAGATATATTAAGAGTTTTTTTTGCAGGATGATCAAGAAGGCAAAGTGGCGACAAGGCTCCCGCTGAAAGAAAGGATTAGACAGAAGAAGTTTATAACTGGTAAGCATCAGCTTAAATCTGATATTTTATTCTATGGAAGTGTTCTATATGTAGATATTTCTTTCCAGATGACCTCTTAGTGTGTGGTGTGGTTGTATTGGTGTTGTTAGCCGTGATCGTGGGCATCGTGATAGGAGCTCGAGTGGGACCTCCCAATGAGAGGCCGCTGAGACTGGGTCGCTTCATCACCACACAGACCTCCTGCGGCCTCGTTGAAGGGTAAACATCTCTTATTGGCTATAATAAATTTGCATTACTTAGATTGTTGCGGTGTAATATGTTTTATGTTAGACCCTTAAAGTTCTTTTTTTATAGCTTATACATTAACAATGTTTATACAAACCTAACTCAATAATGTTTCATTTTTCAGGATATTGGAGAAGGCGGTGTACCAGTTTTTCAGTATTCCCTACGCCGTGCCCCCCGTTGGTGAGAGAAGGTTCACATACGCACAACCACTGAACGACTTATCGATGTGTTGGAACGGAACCCTGGACGTGCATAAGAAGGGCCCGCCGTGTATTCAGCTGTTGGAGAACGGTACCGTCATCGGCGAAGAAGACTGTTTAACGTTGGACATAGTGACCCCACACGTGAGGTACGACTCCCCGCTGCCCGTGGTCGTGTTAATAGGCGCCAACACACTAGCGGGCGGCGTGGGGCCCGTGCAACCCTCCGCTACCTACGCCTGGACGAACGAAGTCGTCTTCGTCAGACCCAACTTCCGACTGGGAGCCTTCGGCTTCCTCGCCCTCGACATCCTGTCCCAGTCCAAGTACCCGCCTTCATCCGGCAACTACGGCCTCAGCGACCTCGTGGTGGCGCTGCAGTGGATCCAGTACAACATCAAAAACTTCGGAGGCGACCCCACGTCCGTGACGCTGCTGGGGCACCGTGCGGGCGCCACGCTGACCGCCGCCCTCACCACCGTCCGCCGCGCCCACTCGCTCTACTCCCGCGCCTGGCTCTCCTCGCCCTCCGTCATCTTCCCCGGGGAGCCGCTGGAGCGCGCGCACAAGAACAACGAGCAGTTCAAACACATCCTCAAGTGTAACGACGTGGAGTGTCTGCGGCGCGCCAACCCCATGGAGATCATCTCCGCCACGCCCGACACCTGGCTGGGCAGCGACGCGCACACGCTGCCGCGCACCGGGGAGACCAAGCGCTCCTGGCTCGTGCTGGACGGGGAGTACCTCAGGACGCACGCGTATGAGAGCTGGGACTCTCAGAAGGAGGCCAAGAACATCGGCAAGGAGAAGTTCTTCAAGCCGTTGGTGTTCGGCACCTCGCAGCACTCGGCGCACTCCGCCCTGCTGCGGAACAAGCACGTGGAGTGGAGCGCCGAGCTGGTGGAGCGCGAGGTGGAGGCCAGCGCGCTCGGGGACAGGAACCTTACGCGTGACATGCTGGACCTGTACGGACGGACCTACCTGGGGCTCGCGGAGCTGACCTCGGCCGTGCGCACGCTGTGCCCGCTGGTGTCCCTGGCGCGCATGAGGCTCGGCGCGCCGCTGTACGTAGTGACGGCGGCCGGCGTGGCGCGCGGCGCGGGCCCGGCCACCGCGGACGCCGACATAGAGGCCATGCTGGGCAGCCTCAAGTCCACCGCGCCGGAGACGAGGCGCTTCATAGCGGCCATGCAGCAGCTGTTCTACTATTTCGTGTGGCACGGCAAAACGGCGGCGGGGATGGGCGGGCTGGTGGAGGTGGGCCAGGACTCCCGGCCGCTGGCAGGGCTGCCGGCCTGCGACCGACTCATACAGGAGGACATCGTGCCGCGGTACGCTCACGTGGACTGATGCGCCCGCCCCGCGCCTGCCTCCCCTCCCACGCCCTGTCATCTCTCACATTACTATAACCTCAAGACTGATCCAGACCGCCGCATCGCTGATCTCCGCTGCACGCCCCTGGACGCGGGAGGAGGAGTCTCATCAGCTTTATTAGTTTTATATTTAGGTGTACTTTATACTCGATGTAACTTAGGGTCGAGAGAGTGATTGTTAGGCTTAAGGTGACCGAGGACGACGACCCCGGCTTGGTGTCATTACTTGGTCGGGGCGCTCGTCAGTGATGATCCAAAGAACCACTAGTGGATATTGTTTTTACCATAGTTTATTGGAGACGCCCCCCGTGTTACAGGTCAACGACCTCTCTATCCTTTTGTACTCTTGCCGTTTTTGTAATGTTTTACACTCGCCGCGCCGGGCGCCTCCAGCCTAGGATCTCAGTATTTATACGTCTGTACTCCCTCTGTATGAGTTTAGTTTTACTGCATGTGTGTCTAGTATCGTAGTGGTCGACCTAGCTTTTGTTATTTTCGTATTTTAAATAAACTTATGAGGCTGAAACTTATTTTATTCGTTGTTGAAACGATCCTGTCCTTGAATGTCGCATGTATATATATCGAACTTATTAATTAATATGACCTAATTAACTATGTTAAGTTATTCCAAAATAGTCACACTTTAGTGATACTTACATACTTTACTGTTTTATCAAAGGTAAGAGAAACGATCGCATAACCCTAACTGTTAGTCAAATTGAGATTTAGCAACAAGTTATAAATCAAGTTAAAGTAAAAGTAAAAAATAAATCAAGTTAAAGTTAAAGTAACAATTGAATGATTAATAATAGAATAATCGTTACTTAAAATAAATAAAAAATTGTTAATGTCTTTATTTTACAAAATGAAATTGAATTATCCGTTATTCTGAGCCATCTCCCGCATATATCCACATCAATGATGCTCTTGAACATAAAACATTTTTACCTTATTTACTGACGTCAAGATTATTTATACGTTGCAACGAGTTTTGTTATCGAATCTCAGAAACTAACGAAAATATTATTTTCATTCCTCATACTCGGAAAGTAGTGTTGTTTTGATCTGATTATAGGGTGGAAAATGCTTTTTCCCTCCTTAGAGCGGGAAAAACTCATACAAATTACTTTCCACCCAAGGGCCGAAATGAATTTCAAAAATAGAACTACTGTCAGCGGTGACATTGTATGTAAAAATTAAAAAAAAACGTTGAGGCTATGCGAGTTTCTAAATAGCCAGTGTGAATTTACTTAGCGCATCTAGTATGTATTGTATTCTCTTTGGCGCGAACTTTTTTGATCGGAATTAGCCGCAACAAATACGCGGGGAATTCCATATTCAAAATTATTACATATTATCAATAAATACTTAGTTCAGATAAACTACTAGTTTTATTTTCCTCGTTTATTCGAAATGAAAAGTAGAGTGTCTAACTCGTGTAAAAGAATTAATTCCAATTCGGACAACAACTATCTCGGGAATTGTTCCTTTCCAACCTTGGTGAACAATCTACTATTTCCTATTGAAATTTGATTCATAGTGAATTATTATTAATGACTCACACACGAACCGCAAAACGAATTAAATGAAAAACCCATTAAAGCTTTGGTAGTTATATTTGAAATGTAATCGACCAAAATAAAGTGTACAATAAATTAATACAACGTGTAATGACTAACGAGACAATAAATAAAAAATACGAGCCAAACATCAACATAATCTATTTGAATCTGATGGTAGGTTAGTGATTCCTCTCTCTTAGAGGCGAAACTACGGTTTGAAGATTCTCTTTGCCAAGTTTGAGGGTTTTCCTCATGAGTGAGGGTGATTTCGGTTGTCCAGGAGCCTCCTTCTTCATCTTGTCCATGATGGAGCTTTGCTTAGCAAGGGATAGAGTCAATTCCTCGTTCTCCTGACGCAGCAGAGACAGCTCTACAACCAGGGATTGTTGGTCTTGGATCTGAACACACATGGATAGAATTTAGTTAATAAATAGCTTTTAATTTAGACGATTTTGTTGAACATCGAATATATTTGATGTATTTATAACATTATTCCACACTCCTAAGGATGAAAGATGAATTTTGACTTAAGATTGCTTAAGGATTGTAAAATATACTTTTGTTAGATTAGATACAAAAAAAATGATCCGCCTATCGTGCTTGAGGGCGAGAGTTCGATCCTGGCAAGTACCAATGTGATTTGCCCGAGTCATATGTACTGTCTTAAAGTATTTAGATATAGGTATATATAGTGTGTATGCTTTATTATAGAATTAAGTCTAGTGTAAAGTCTTTATAAAACATCTCATGTGTACATCCAAATATTTTGGTCCACCGATTGGCCCAAGCTTTGATTATGTTATGTTAAATCTTCTATTATTAAATACGACTTAAAGCTACAAAGACACTTTTCAAGCCCAGTAATTAACCACATTAGATAGTATGAGTGTACCTGTCTCTGTAGTCGTGTGTTCTCATCTTCGAGCCTCTCTATCTCGTGAGCAGCCCTCGCCAGCAGCCCCCGGGACCTCTCAGCAGCCGCCGCGGCCTGTCCCGCCTGCTCCGTAGCCAATTCACACAACACTCGCTTATTCTCAACCTGGCATAATCAAGATATATAAGAAACCAGCTTAAGAGTTTTGAACACTTTTGAAAGGTTTCAAGAGAACCTTTCAAAAGTGGCATAAAAACTATCCTATGTTCTTTCTCAAGGTCAACTCTGTCTGTACCAAATTTCATTAAAATCAGTTCAGTGGTTTAGGCGTGAAAGCGTAACAGACAGAGTTACTTTCGCATTTATAATATTAGTAGGGATTAATAAGTTATGATTGAAGCTTTGCAAAATTGTAGTTCATACCTCATCTTTCAGTTGTTGTATCTGCGAGTTGGATTCCTTCTTCAATAGTTCCACGTCTTCGATGAGTTCATTCTTAATGGAGCCCAGTTCGCGGTAGGCTTCCTTCTCAACATTCTGCAGACTCTCAATAAGAGAAACATTGTGTTCCATGATCCTATTGTGTTCTTTGGCCAGAGCAGCTTTCGATTTCAATATATTAACGAGAGCCTCTTTATACTCGTTGCATTCCAGTACGGTGTTGTTGAGAGTGTTCTTGAATGTTTCCAGTTCTGATTCCAGCAGTTCCTTGGAGTTCGTCAATGATTGAACCTGGTTTTCCAGATGTTCGAGTTCTTTGTCAGACTCTCTGAGTCTCATCGTCAACACCTGTACTATATCCCTTGTAACCGATAGAGACATTTCAAATTTATTTTTATCTTTGACGGCTTTATCTGCTTCTATGGTCAGTCTTTGTATCTCATGTTCATGGTGAGTTTGTTTTTTTGTGTTCTCTTCTTTTAAGTCTTCTAGTTCCTTCTGTAATTTTTCCTTCTCAGTCTCAGCGGCGTCCCTTTCATTTTGGATGTTGAGAATTTCTCTCTGTAGAGATTTGTTTTTTTCTTCCCCTATAGTGATGGTGTACTTCAATTCTTTGATTTCGTTTTCTAATCGTTTCATTTCCGCCTGTTGGTGTGTGAGATGTTCTTGTAGATGTCTGGTCCGTTCTTCATACTGTATCTCACAGAGCCTCAACTTCTCGTGAGTAGCTTCATCAATCTGTTCTAACTTAGCTTTCATTTCCTGCTCCTTGGTAATAATTTCATTCTCCAATTCATGTATTCTATCATCTTTGGCTGTGATTTGGTTTTTAATATCTTCAATAGCATCATTGTACTTCTGTTTCAAGTTTTCTTGTTCAACTTTCGATTTGTTGATGATGGACTGTTTTTCTTCTTCCAGTTTTGTTTTGAGAGTCTCTAACTCGACTTTATACTCACGTCTGATGCTTTCATTGGCTTCGAGGGCCAGAGCGTGATGACCTTTGACCATTTCGAGTCTGTGTCGAGTCTCATCCAGACATGCTTCAACATCGGTAAGCTTTTTCTGTAAATCTGTACACAGACTGTCTCTAATAGTGATAATTTCTTCGAGTGAGGATAGTTCAACCTGCTTGCTGCTAACTTCTTGTTCCAATTTTTCACACTCCTTCTCCAAAACACTGATCTGATGCTTTAAATTATTAATAGTTACAGTCGAGTCATCCTTCTCACAGTCATTTTCAATATCAGCTTGATCTTTGAGATCAATTTTACTGAAATTGTTATGTAATTTATCAATTTCACTACCATTAACTGTTTTCAATAATTTTTGTAACTTAGCTATCTCAGATTTGAGTTCCTCGATTTGTTTATTATGCTCCTTGATAGTAAAATCCTTATTCCTAAAACAAATTACATATTAATTATGTACAATATTTAAGATTTTAAATTATATTTTCATTAAAATATAACATAATTACCTAATTTCAACTTCGTGTGACTTGAGAAGATCATCTTTGATGTTCGTATCTTTTTTTAAATTACATTTTGTAAGTGAGAGAGGCTTTTTCAGGCTGCTGGGAGCTTTAATAGGAGGTGCTGTTTTAACGGGTCTAGGCTGGAATAACACAAAAGTATATACATACTTAGAAACAAATGCAAGTTTACAGACTTTGTGCATTATTTTAAATAAATTATTCATTGCAATTATAATCGAAAATTAAACCTTAAATATAACACAAGCATACTTATAAGAATAAACTACGTTAGATAAAAAACTCTGGCATCAATCAACAGAAAGGCATTACTTGTGTATCTATTATATATCTACTTACCGTTTTAAATGATTTTGAACTATGTACTGAGCCGCACTGCGACTGTGTCTCCAAATTTTCGTTGGAACTCGTCGGAATTTTAAGTTTTGGTAAAACTTTGGTACACGTTTTCTCTGGTTCTTTTTTATTTTGAATTTTGGATTGGCTTTTAACTGAGGCCGCTACTAATAAAAAAATTGGTAATGTAATCAAAAAATTAAAGAAACATCTGTTATATTGCAAATCTATTTCAGTAGTAATATAAATCTATAACTTACCATCAAATCTCTTTGCTTTCGAAAACATTGTTAGATTTTTTAAATATAAACTCCAAAAGGATAATTCTATAGAACAATCGTTTAGATTTAAACGTTAAACTTTGTAAGTTAAACTTTTATAATGCGATAGAGCTCTCAAGTTACTGTGGTCTGGCGCGATTGCGCGCGAAATACAGTTCCTTTTCTATAGTATTTCAATATCAATAGCTTTGTTTTGTTTCCTATTGTGAAGCACGGCGACCGTTACGTTACGTTCCTTTCTACGCAAACTAAAATATATACAGCTGTCTTCCTTTCTGTGTTGGACTTGTATTTAAATAAACTACATAATATTTAATGAAACTTTGGTAAACATTGACAAAAAGTAAGATATAATAAAAAATATATTATCGGTTAAAATTTCTCGCAGCCTTATTAGGCCAGTGCAGAAGCCTTTAAAATTAATGAAAAGTGAAAATAAATTATAGTAGAATGAAACTCATTAGAAAAGGAGGGGAATATTATAAAAATGAAAGGAAAAATAATTTACGGGCGATCTGAGGTCGGGAAGGATATGGGGATAGGTATTTAAGGGTAAAAAATGGGTTTTCTTGATTTCCAGCAAAACTAAAAGTCCTACAGAAAAAAGTTATATCGCAAAGTTGTAGGTAATAAAAAGATCTAAAACTTTTGTATTAACATTTTTTCACATAACCTCAAAATGCATGTGAAAATTCAAAAAAACCTAGATTTTGTTTTTTATTTTTATCTCTTACAAAAAACAATATTTTGTCACGAAATTTAGTGAAAACTTTTCTTTTGATGTTCCAAATGCACTGTAATTTATTTGATTAGAAATATTTATTTCTTCAGCTTATTTTGAATAAAAATACCGAAAAATCAGCTCCATTTTCAATTGAAAAATCAACAGTCAAAATATCAGCTTTTTTCAAAAATTTGGTGTTTTCTATTCGTTGAAATCTTTATTTTCCGATGGTGAAGAAAAAAATATAAGTTTCTTACTTGCAGTACCATTTTTGGGTAAAATAATCATGTCTCTTTAAATGAAATGACATTCAACATCGTTTTGAAAATGCTCTTTCTAATTTATTTTTAATAGTTGTGTACTCTGGAAGTTCTCCAGATAGTCCCTCTTTTAGGTAATTTACAGAAAATTTAAATTAAGCTGCTAAAACTATTAAAAATAAATTGAAAAAGCATTTTCTAAACAATATCGAGTGTCATTTCATTAAAAGGGACATGATTAATTTATCTAAAAATGTTAATGCAAGCAAGACACATATATTCTTTTCTTCACCATCGGAAAATAGAGATTTAAACGAACACAAAACACACCACATTTTTGAAAAAGCTGTTAATTTGACGGGTGATTTTTCGACTGAAAATAAGGCAAATTTTTTGATATTTACTCTAAATAAGCTGAAAAAATAAATATTTCTAATCAAATAAATTACAGTATATTTGGGACATTAAAAGGTAAGTTTTTACCAAATTTCGTGACATAATATTGTTTTTTTTTTTCAGAGATAAAAATAAAAACCAAAAACTTGGTGTTTCGAATTTTTCACATAAAACTTGAAGTTATGTGAAAAAAATGTTAGTATAAAAGTTTTAGATCTTTTTATTACCTACAACTTTACTCAATAATTTTTTTCCGTAGGACTTTTAGTTTGTCGGAAATCGAAAAAAAACATTTTTTACCCTTAAATAAACACCCCCTTATCTTTCCCGACCTCAGATCGCCCGTAAATTATTTTTCATTTAATTTTTATAATATTATCCTCCTTTTTTAATTGGTTTCATTCTAATATAATTTAATTATGTTTTAAAAGCTATCAGCACTGGTCTATATTTTGTAAATGTTTTGTATAATATAAAGGAATTAAATATGTAATAGGACGATTTAAAAATATATCTTATAATTTTTCCTACTAACATTAGTTTATAAACTGTGATAAAATTACAAAACAATGGCTAAGACTTAATTTTTTTCAGGTTTCTAATATAATCATAAATGACACAATAAACGTATGCGACTATTATGTCCAAGAGTTTCCTATCAGAACTTTCATCAGAAGCAAACTTACCCTCCTAAAAGAGAATTTCAGACTCTTTCTATTGGTAATTCTTTATGGTGGCTGCTCACTTTGTCAATTCTTTTAGACTTGAGTTGTCTAAATCTATCTAAATAATAAAACTTCAGTAAAATATCAGCACACTTTCAAGCAGTCTCACTTTGCTAAATTATTTATTAGTTACTTGAACTTTTTTACAAATTTATTTCATAATGAGTGCAGCAATTGGCTGCTGTCGCTAGTAAATAAACAAACGAAATAAGATGGACTTGGGTTTTACACATGTAGAAAAATGTGAAGAAAAGCAATCTTTGTATTCTCCACTACACTTCAATAACAATAAAATTTGCAGAAGTGATGCTTATCTTAAATTAATTTATAAGTATACGTCATCTATTTACGACTTATAAAAAATGAAGGGTGAAGAATAATTTACTATCTGGTGTATTTTTAAGTTTGGAACCAAAAAGTAATAAATTGAATAACATTTATATTCTCACAATTAATCAATATATAAAGCACACAGTTAGTTTAAAAGACGAACAATACTATATTTTAAATCATTAATGAAAAACAATGCACTTTACTGAAATGTATTTTTATTTAAAAATATTTACAAACTAATTTACATGGAGGGAGGTGGCGGAGGAACCGGCAGCAGCGGGGGCGGAGGAGGCACCCCCATCATAGGAGCCCCAGGAGGAGGCGGTAAACGGATGCCGTGGTTCTCCCACATTTTACCGGGAGGTGGCGGCATTCTCAACGGTTCCATCTTGAATGCAAATTGTAAGAAGAATTGCTTTGTATCTTTGTTCCAGTGCGTCCAGAACTTTGCATCGTGTTTTTCCACTTCTCGACTCGGCACTTTGAAAGCGATTGTCTCATAGGGTTCTGCTGCAAAGAGCAAGTACTGCCACCTGCGGTCTGGCGGCTCGATTTTCTGCTCGTAAGCTGACATGAAACGATGTCTTGGTTGGACACCTTCTGCTATTTCTAAAATCATATATTTTACGGTCCATATTAGAATTAATGTCAAAATGTTTGGAAGGAATTGAGATAAACCCGATGACTTACTGTTAAAAAATAACTATAGCAAACTTTTACCTGGATAATCAACTTGAAATAGTAAACTTTGCTGTCCATTTTCTTGATCCTTTTGTTTAGTAACTCTATAACCGGGACGACCAATCTTAACAAACTTCTTCGGCTCAATCCTCGGCTTCTCTGGTGCTAATTGCTGTGGAGCTTCTTTAGCTTCTTTGGCTGCTCTTCGAGCTAGGTTAGCCTGATGTTTTTTGCCTTGAGTGTGGGCCAAATAGCTGCCCTCGTTATTGTGGAGCGTTAAACATAACTTGCACTCATAAGAACCTGTAGAAATAGAATGGTTATTAATTAAAATATTGAATGAAAATGTCGACTAAATCTTGTATGGTAGAATGTAGACTTACCTAAATGATTTTTCATAAAATAAGGATCCTTATTTAAGTCTATAGTTTCTAATGCGAGCTGTCGTAAACGCTCCCGTCGATCTCGGTTGCTTTCGGACCATGACGCCACACCACCACCGCCTGTTTTACCACCAGGCCGGTTTTGAAAATCCATTTTGAAGCTTTATCTTTTTATGTTAGTCACATTTACTTGAAAGAATTAGAATTAAAGTTGAAAGTTTGTTCGTGGGGTCTAATTACTAGAACTTCAAACAACTTCTCAATTCTTGCGAATTTATGAAGTGTCAAACTGACAAGTAGTAATCTGTTTGTATTATTTTATTTTAATGACATAGCTCTAGTGTGTGGTAAGTAATTATGAAATTAAAAACATAATTTGTCAATATTTAAAAATAATTTTTAATATTTAAAGGCATCCTAATATCTATTTTAACATTAGATCAAACAGAATAAAAATAATTTTGTACAATGAGTATGTAAGTTAATCGTCAAACTTACATTGACATTGACAGCAAAGTTTTGGTAGTCTGTTCCATGTCTCGCGGCTGTCTTTTCTTTGTCAAAATACGGCGAAGGTAGTGTTTTTCTCTAAAATCTTAATAAATCTTAGTAATCTTGTATTATTTGTTAAAATGTTTACAAGAGATTTATTTGTGGTGTCGATTGAAGTTTTTATAATAATGTATTTTAGTAATAATTGTGAAAATTTCTGTAACATAGCCAATAAAATTTATGAAACTTTTAGGTAGCGTATCAAGATGTTGATGCCCAAACAGAACCGTGTCGCTATCTATGAGTACCTCTTTAAAGAAGGTGTCATGGTAGCCAAAAAAGACTACCATGCACCCAAACACATCGATCTGGAGAAAATCCCCAACCTCCAAGTGATCAAGGCAATGCAGTCCCTTAAATCTAGAGGTTATGTTAAGGAACAATTTGCGTGGAGGCATTTCTACTGGTGAGTACCATCACATAATCCGTTGTAGTATCAAAAACGAGAACATTTACACTACACTAGAAAACTTCTAAATTTGCGATCCATATTCAAATATACATTTTTATTTACACATCTTTCTCGACTGCTATTTTTCTTTATATTAAGTGTAATTTAAATTATATCAATTAAATTATTAAAGGATTTGTGTTTAAACAAACAACTATTATATTATTGACACATTCAAAGAGTATGCCCATATTATTACAGGTACCTAACAAATGAGGGCATCGAATATTTGAGGATTTTCCTACATCTGCCCCCTGAGATTGTGCCCGCCACTCTGAAGCGTTCAGTGCGTACGGAGCCAGTCCGTCGTGGTGCTGTGGGCCGGCCAGATGCTCCTGCTCGCTCGGCTGAAGACAGATCTGCCTACCGCAGAGCACCCCCCGCTGGTGGACACGATAAGAAGGCTGATGTGGGACCGGGATCATCAGACGTTGAATTTGTGAGTATAACTCACTATGACTTTCTTTGTAAAGAATATTTAGATAGTTTTTAAGTATTCTTAATTTGTACTACATAATAAGTTGTGTTTTTGTGAGTATAGTATTCTTTTTATTTAAATAGATTTATTGACTCGTATAATCATCTCTCAACATGAATTGTCAACTTTTTGTACTGAGATATGTACAATTAATTATTTATCATCTTTTACAGAGAGGAGGATTTGGACGTGGACGACCTACCCCTAATTAAGCTAAATAAAATTACAATTATGTATTACATTGTTTTATTTTACTAATTACGGGAGTAATTTTAAAATGCGAAAAGAAAAGATTATATTGAAACAAATGATAATTTATTAACCAAACTATTTCAGATTAAGTTCATTATGTTATGTGATCCATGTATTAATAATTAACAACTTTTGGGTTGGGTGGTCTCGGGAACTCTCCGATTTGATCAATGTAGTACTGGTGGGCTCGGTAGGGCCTGAGCTCCCATGGAACTTGGTCCTCCATTGGTGTGAGAGTCACACCCAAGTCTTCGAGAGTTGGGACTCCTTTCACAACATTATCTGTGGTAGCTTCCTGTAATTATATAACTAATTATTGCAATGGACTGTTAGAAATTATTTGGGCAGTACTTCCACTTAGATGTTAACTACTCTAAAACTCGTAACAGAAACCCCAGTCTAACACTTGTATCGTATTTATAATATTCAAAAGTAACATTTAGGTGAGGATGGGTTATAACTAGTATGTATTAAAAAATCTAAAATATGGATGAAAAAATCAAAAATTTGGAGTATAAAATTAAATACATACTTTCATAATTAAACATTGTTTTACTATAAGAAAGGGTCACTCGTGACGTACATCGTTAAGTTACATTTAAAAACCGATGAAAAAATAGCGAAATATTTATTTCAACAAAAAATAACAGTTTTATTCAACTTCCATTACACTAGCCTTATCAAATTGGTTGCAATACACAATGACGTGCTTCTTTAAATAATCAAAATGAAAACTGACCATTTGTTTGAAATATAGCCTTATATCTGCTGAATGATCTCTCCACGTCACATGACGTGATGGATGCATACTTAAACATGCTTAATTCAGTAATTTTGTAAGCCATGTCTATAGCCCTCGAAACTTTCGCATAGAATTTTATTAATTTTTTTAGTCCTTTATTTTTATCCAAAACGTTAGTGGCGGAAACGTAAATTTTATGTCTTTTGTGAATATATGGATGATTGTGACATTTTCTTGTAAAATATGGACTTAACTTTGAAATATGGAAAATAAAAGTTGGTTTTTCACAGTCTAAATATGACAGTCCATGTAAAAAACACATTCTAGACCGAAAATCGCGTAAATTAATAATATGTATTTACATATTAATCCGGGCCCTAGTTATAACAGTAGGCGCTAGTTCCCCTCATAAGAGTCCATTAAATAATAAAACACTTAACATTGTGTAAAACATGCCAAGGCACTAATTATAAATTGTAAAACCAATTAAGTTAAGTATTTGGACAGAAATATTATGAACTTTAATTTACACTATTATAAAATATTCAGATGGCGTTAGTTGACTATCATAATTCATAAGAATTCTCAATGAATATTAGAATATAAATACCTAATGCTACAATATTTAAATCATAAATAATAATTATTACTAACAAGACTGAATGTATTTCTTTGTAATCTTACCTTCTCCAGACCTTCCCAATGTAGAGATCCGAAAGGATAAGCGGGGGACATATTGGCCAGAGCCACTTTGAAAGGCAGGACAGGGTCATACTTCATATCATACGTTTTGAAGCCCCACTTCTCGTCTTTACGCATCAGCCGGAAGAACCACCAGACTAGTTCGTGCCATAAATATCTTTTGGGCCTGAGAAATATAAAGAAACATTAAATATTATGTAATAACTTGTGAAGAGTATGAACAAAACCAACGATTCCCATATTTCGTAGATTCATACAGATGGATCTACATCTACATATAAATTTCGTCACGTGAATTTATAACCCCCTCTTGATGTAACATCACACATTAATTAAATTCATGTACATATGTATTTAAAAATGATTTGAGAGAAAACAGCTATTGTAATTCTTTATTTTTTTAAATAATAATCTAATAAAATCACCATAAGGTCAACATTTCGTAAAACAGAAAAAGAAAGCGACAAGTTAGGAAATAATAAACAATTAATTATTTTAATATTAAGAAGGTAATATATGTGAATTCTAAAATTTGATATTTAAGTAAAACTAAATGATATTTTTATGATCAATTTCTAAGCTCAAAGTTGGATATTGTTTTTTACTTAAGATTTGCACGTAATTCATTATACCTATTGAAATCCTTACCATTCAAAATTCTCGTAAATTTGAGAGTCTCTTTAATTCCAACATTGCTTTAGAAGTTAAATGACGTGGCACGAGATATTATATTATAATGAGGATGCTAAATTACTAATAAATATGTATATGTAGATCAAATTCGTTTTTTTTTTAACTTCACATGCAAACTTCGTTTTCAAAGAGGACCAGAGTGGGGATGTAAACAGAAGCTGAAGAATCGATTCCGATTCTCAGAATCGATCAAACAATTCCAAGAATCGATTCTTTTAAACAATCAATTCTGATTACGATTTTTTTTAAATAAAACTAATTCAAAAGGTACAATAAAATGTAAATTTATAAAATATTATACAGCATTAAAATAAATTATATAATCGATTCTGGTAACTGAGAATCTCGATTCTCGTTTTTGGACCACAAAATCGATTCTCGGGTGGAATATGAATTGATTTTACCAACACTAGGCCAGGGGAACCTACACCCGTCGTCCCCACTATCGTGTGACTATGTCTGGCTCCTTACCAATTTAACCAGTATTGACCAGTAAGTCAGACCTATCAGTGTACTCACCCAACCGCCTGGTACACCTGGCACCTCGTGTCGGGGTCCCTGGCCGCGTTCACGATGCCCTGCGCCACGTCGGACACGTACACCGGCTGCTTCACAGTCTCCATGCCGTTGCGGTACAGAGGCATGTAGCGGTTGTGGCGGCGCCAGATTGACGCTATCGACCTACACACACACAGACAATATATATTAATATACTTTTATTTTAATATATGTATATAAAACAGATAGTCATCGTTTTAAAGTAAGGCCTAGTGGTTAAAAGGCCCGCCTCTCAAGCATGAGGGCGTAAGTTCGATACTGGCAAGTACCAATGTGATTTTTCCGAATCATATGTACTTTCTAAGAGTATTTAGACATCACTGATTAATGTTTAAAGAGGGTTGATGTCAGGCAGGCGGTCGTAAAAACAATTAGCCAAAACTATTCACAACATGTAAGGCCCTGGCTCAACGCTGGGAAATTGCCAGGTAAAAGGAGAAGAAGTAATAGTTTTAAGGTACTTTCGTGGCTCAGTAGTTGAGAGATTCATAAAGTATATAGATGTTCGTTCTGATCGGACTGATGTAACATTATGCGCGAATATTTACAATGCTTAAATGAAACTAATATTTTTTGGATAACTACGCGTATTTTATTATTTCAACTACATACTCCCGAATTACCGGTTAGTTTTGCAGCAACGGTGATCATTAAGACGAGATGTCAATGTGATAAGTCATACGAATACAAATTACAATACAATTTTTATTCTTCGATACAAGTAGACATGAAATCCATGAATTTCTTGTGGTGTTATAAAAATAATCCAGCAGGAAGATTGTGTTAAAGTTACCACAAAAAAAACACATGATAATAAATAATAATTCAACTACTTTTCAATTCATTTACGGTTTCAAAACCGTTGATAATTTTAGACATTTGAGACCATCAATTGGGTTTAAGCATTGTGCCAATTAAAAAGTTTTGCAATTCAAATGATTCATTTTCTGATGAACTTTGAAATACATTAGAGATTAAAATAATTAATATAATCGTCTTTGTAATCACGGTTACCGAAAAGTAGCCGAAGCGTCGGAAGTATGTAGTTATTTTATCAAAAATAAAATTGCCTAGTATATCAGAAGAATATTAGTTTCATTTAAATGAATACTATCGAAAATCTTATATCTCATCCTACTAATATTATAATTGCGAATGTTTGTGAGTGTGTGTATGTTTGTTACTTCTTCACGCTCAAACGGCTGAACCGATTTTAATGAAATTTTGTATACAGGAAGCTGAGGTGCAGGAATAACACATAGGATACTTTACATCCCGGAAATCCGTAGATAACACCTAGTAGTTTTTAATAAACTTAGAAGTAATTTTTACCTTATAAATCTATCTTCTGAGCCATAGATATCAGAAGCTCGTATGATTGTGGCTGTAGGGAACTCTTCTTTGACGGCCAGCTCCCCGTGATACTTGGACACCTTGTACATAGATGGGGACTTCATCACTAAAGGTTTAGGATTCGGTTCAGCATTCAAGTAAGAAAGGTGAATGAATCTATCCACACCCATTTCTCTGCTGATTCTGAAATTGTAAAATAAACATATTATATAACCTCTTTTGAAGAATTCATATATAGTCGTGGATATTGTAAATCCGCGTAACTAGCATTAGATAATTCCACATATCTACATTAGAAGCAGATTATCAGAGGAAAGTTTGAGCTGAAATATTAACTATATTAACGACTTTTAAGGTAATTTTTTCACAATTAGTAATAAATTAAACAGTAAATAATTTTTGATTATAAAAAAATTACCTTAAAAGTCGTTAATATAGAAAATATTTTAGCTCAAACTTTCTTTTGATCTGCTTCCAATGTTGGAATGCGGAATTATACAATGGTAGTTATGGATATTTGCACTATCCCCAACAATATATTATGTTATATATTTATGATTTTTTTGTCCATTGCTTAATAAATATATAATAAATGTATTTTCCGATTATTTATTTAAAATTTTTCATACCTGGCGAGACGGCGCGGTCCATCAACATGTACAGCCTTGTATTTAAAGTTTTTAGTTTCATAATCTCTTCCGACAAGATTGATGACAACATTGGAGTATTTCACCGCTCGCCTGATAGACTCCTCATCTCGGAGGTCGTAGGGTGCAAACAAAACTTGACCCAGGTCACCACACACTTTCAAACGAGCTGCGTCATAGAAGTCTCCTCTATAAGGCAAAATCATCTGGAAAGGCCAAAAGTATTCAATATTAGTTTTAGGGAATAAGAGACTGGAAAAAACTGTATATATTTCTTGAAAAACCAAGAAAATATCTATACTTTACAGTTTTAGAGATTAATAGACTGGAAAAGTTACATAGTTAATATGTTTGTGTAATTTTCAAAAGATTTTTGATGGAGTTATAACATTGTTTTTATATATAAGTGGACTTATAATTGATCGTCAGACTCATTATATTTTTATAAAACTAAATTAAATAATACAACAAAAAAATTGTTAATAATAATGATCATACAAAATTAAAATTAATCTTTGATTATGGTTTTACAAAGACTAATAAATAGGAATAGTCATAAAAAATAAGCCAAATAGTTTAGATCTTGGATTTTTAAGTACATTCATAGAATTAAACGAAAAAATGGTTGTCTATGTTTTACCTGATGATCTATTTCATACCTGAGTACCGATCTTGCCAAGTCTGTTGCACACATAGCGGCCAACAAATCCTGTACATCCAAACACAGTGGCTACTACTCCATTGAAGCTGCTGCGGCCACCGGTACCACGTTTATACGCAGCTAGATTTTGCTCACTGCTGTACTGCCCAGATTGTATATAAACAATGCTTATATGTCCCTTTTTAGCTGAAAGGAAAATTAAATTGCGAACTGACAAATAGAGTCGACTTAATTTAGGAAAGTCTAACTAATATAAAAACATAATCAGTCTTCGAAAACCAGACTGTAAGTGTCTGTAATGAACCTAAAAACATCAATATCACTTCAATTATGTAAGAGATTTGCGCTATTATATTTTTTATAAAGTGCTAAGCTTTGTAATTACTCACGTATGATTTTGGAGACCAAATTGCCTGTAAAAGCTAATGAAGCCATTTTGCAGGCCTTTAAAAAAGGTTTCGCAGTTTATTGATATCACACTTTGAATGTCTTCCAAAACCTTTGGTAAAATATTTGATCGCCTTCGTTGTCATCTGTCAATGTCAAAAGTACGAAAGGATGGAAATTCCTTAATTTTTGAACCTATCTTATTCATAGTGTTTGACTAACATTTTTCAAATTTATAATTTTTTTAAGTTTTCCTAGATACATTCACATGTACTCGTAGAAGACAGCGGACAAAAATTTTTGTCGATATAAACATTTATCGTGAACGATTTTTATCTATTATAATTTATCCAACAATTGTATTGTATAGAAGGAGATTGCATTGTGGTGTATGAGAAACCAGAAACGAATTATAAAGGAATACATTTGAACTATTTGGTGTTGCTGGTATCCTAATTTTAATACTACTCCTAAATTTTATAGGTATCGAGAATCCGCAGCACAGCAGGATTGTCATCGTAGTTTCATTTATGCTTAGATTATTAGAAAATATTTTTAAAATATCAAAATAAAAATTATAGTAATGCAAATGTAGATATAAATATACCATTAAGTGCAGAATTATTATGAATTTTTTGTTCACTTAAATATTAAATCAATAAATTGTGCTGAAACGTAACGGTATTTAGGAAAAATAATTAAGAAAACCTCATTTTAACTGAAAAAACCGAATCTAGACAGTTTCTATGATACCAAATAACCCTTTAAGGTTGTTGCAAATTTCCTTATTCTGAGTCGTGGATTTAAAATGCAAATAAGCAGAAAAGCTAATGAAACCGAAATATCTACTTGAAATGATACTTTCACTGCACGAGTGGAAGAAGATGGCACATTAGAGCAGCGTTTGAAGGGCGAAGGCCACAGTTAAAGAATTGAACCGAACTGTTTATTACTTATAACGAAATAAACATATCTTTTATAACGCTGTTATCTTATTTACTTTCACTTTTCGTTTTCATTTTTCATAAAATCGAGTTCGAATCGATAATGAGTAATAAAAATCAAATTATAAACATATAACTTGTGAAATCCTTAGGGCGATAAACAAACTTTTAAGTGTCCGTGGGTGATGGTAGTTTTTTGCCATCAGAAGGACCATTTGCTCTTATAGATTAAATCTTATTAGATTATTTTTTTATTTAAACTTCATAAAATATAATTAATTCTTTGCTGCTCTTTGTAATTATACAATGTTGTTTATTAAATCCATGGTGGTATCAACTGGTGGTTTAAACTAATACGCATTTAAACTTTTACAAGTACAATAAATTTTTGTTTTAATGAAACTATTCCGTAAATGCTTAAGTAAAGTAAAAGAATATATTTAATATAAAAGTTTGTGAAAATGTATGTGGAAAACCATTTTTTATGGGTGATTGAGTGAAAAAATATTTTACGAATAATAATTGAGCCTCGGTACAAGTAAACATTAGTTCAATAAGATTGACGTGAGACGTCTGTCATTTGTTGATATCGAGCGCAGAACGGATGCTTTTTGCTAAGGTGTTGGTGTTAGTTATTAAGTAGTACTTAAAACATGATAAGATTTAATATTGTATGCAACAGTTCCAATATTTGAAACTATGAATTGACTTAGAATTTAAAAATATCATAAAGAAAGGCAAAACTAGACGACACAATGAACGACGAAGATATTCAAATATTAAATGGAAACAATTACTCACAAGTGAGCCAAATATTGGAAGATTTCTTAAAAACTGTAAGTGGATCACATATATTTTATGATTATATTGTAGCAAGACATTACCTTTTTTTTGTTATAAAAATATATAAAGTGCGAGGAAATGGGGACAGGATGTAATGAAAATGTTTGGTTTCCAGAACGATGATATTTTCACATTTCCATTTCTCACCGAGAACAACAGGAGAGTTTCTTTGTGGGCTGCATTATTTCAACATCTACAAAATAAATCTTCAGAGCCAATACATACTCTGTGTTTAGCTACCATAAGACTCTTAAGGCAAGTTACTGAAATTGATTTATCTCTTAAAATTTTGCTCCCTCATTATTTTATGGCTTTTTTTTTCTTTCAGTCGGGATAAACATGAACTAGAGAGTCTTATTTGTGAGAAATGGGTACTAACATTGATTGAAAGAGCGGGTTTGTTTAACTTCGTGGACCCAGAGGACACTATGGAAATCAACATGCCGGCCAAGGAAGTAGTGATGGAAGCATTGAAATGTCTATGTAACATAGCATTTAACAGTGAAGTGGCACGAGCTCTGTGTGCACATTCTAGTATCGCTCAAGGCCTTGTGGCTAGACTACGATCCTACAAAGAGATTCCGTTCAAAGATGACATAATGTTGTTTGATATGAAGCTGCTGTTCATCTTGACGGCTTTAAGACCGGATATTAAGACAAAGATAAAGGACGAATTGCACGGAATGGATTATTTGGTGAGCTGTATGAATGAGCTGGTGTTGGAGTCTCAAGAACCGCAGCAAGATGTTGCCGGATGTACCGACATTGAAATGAGTCATAACTGTTTACTGCAGGTGAGAAAAGAAGTGACAAAAATACTAATAATCTAAATGGGAAGTTGTTGAAACTAAATGAAACTAATATTTTTAGGATAACTACATTTATTTTATTATTTTAGAAAGTACATACTCCCAATGTTTCAGTTCCTATTGCAGCAACTGTGATAACAGGCAGATAGTAGCCTGAAAAATATTAGTTTCATTTAAATGAATACTCGCAAGTCTTATATATCATTAAGTTATTAAATCATTTATTTTAGGATCACCAGCAAGCGATTGCATGCGAAATACTGAAGACTCAGTTCAATCTGACCTTGCACTCGGGCTCCAGCGATCCCGTGAGTGAGGAGGAAGAAGTCATCTATTTGAAACTAATGCCATCGCTGACGGCACTTCTGTATGCTCGCACAACATCCCAGGAGAAACTTATGGAGTTGCATAGCAATATTGCTAATTTACTTACAAGGTAGTATATTTTATATAATACTAGTTTTCCGTTTGCAGCTTCGCCCGCGTGAAATTCGGTTATATCGCGTTTCCAAGAGAACCTTGTAAGATCGACGGCGTGTGTACGGCGATTTTGAATAAATGGGTACAACTACATACTAGGCCTAATAGTGCCTAGTATGTTAGTTTTAATTTTAATTTTAATTTTATAGTACTAACATTAGATTTTAAGATTTTGTTACTAACACTTAGCTTTAAATGAATTTTAATATGGATATAATTTGTCTGAAAATAAAAATATATTATTATTATTATTATTAAAAGTTTGGGATAAAAACTATCCTATGTTTTTTCTCAAGCTCAACTCTATGTCTGTACCAAATTTCATTAAAATCAGTTCAGTGGTTTAGGCGTGAAAGTTAACAGAAACACAGAACTACTTTCGCATTTATAATATTATTAGGGATTTACAATTCTAAGTAGATATACATTTTTAATTAATTTTCATAATATTGTTAAAGTGAAGTGATCAAATGCAGTTAGTTTAAATTAAGGTTTAGTACTGTTATTGTAGCAAATGTTATTTTCTTTCTTAATACATTTCTTAATATATCTTACATATACAATTCTCATGTCGCGATGTTAGACAGAGAACTCCTCCGAAACGGCTGGACCGATTTTAATGAAATTTTTTGAGCATATTGAATAGGTTTGAGAATTGACCAACATCTATTTTTCATGCCCCTAAGTCGTAAGGGTTGTTCACCCTTAATTTTTATTTATTTTTACAAAATTTTTTGTTTTTATTTTTTACAATGAAGCATTAAAAAATACAAACAACTCAAAATTATTACTTTTTTATCACCAACCCCTATTTTTATATATGGCACAACAATGTTTGCTGGGTCAGCTAGTATACAGGGTGACTGGTGAATTACTATCAATATTTAAGGAGAATACTCAGTACATGATTCTCATTCGAATTATGTAAAAAAAATAGAAACTTAATTTTTGACAAAATTTCCGTATAAATAAATAAAGTGTTGACACGTTCCAAGTGTTCCAAGTGTGGACGCGTGCGGCGGCGTGCTGATACAACACCACGCCGCCAAACGCCTATGTGTGAGTGTGTGTGTATACCTAATCTGTAGGGTGTTCGCACGATGCGTAATTAATTACATAACTTTTGGTTAACTTTACTTAGAAGTTTATTAATATTTGTGTTATATTAATTTTTATTTTGTCATATATGATCGTCAAATATCACGTCCTCAAGTATCGATAGTAATTCACCAGTCACCCTGTATATATGTATATATATATGTGTTTCAGTGTGCCGCCAGTATTCTACCAGTTTCTGACTCCCGAGCTGAACGAAGGTGAATCAGCCCAGTATGTGTACGATGGTTACAACATGGACGCTCTGCAGTCACTGCTGCAGCTTTTGCTGTACAGATTATCCATCACTGAGGTGAGTTAAAAACAATATATAACAATATAAAGTTTCTTATATGTACCTACTAGCTTTCCGCCCACAGCTTCGCCCGCGTGGAGTTCGGTTATATCGCGTTTCCAAGAGAACCTTTCAAAAATCTGGGACGAAAACTATCCTATGTTCTTTCTCAAGGTCAACTCTATGTCTGTACCAAATTTCATTAAAATCAGTTCAGTGGTTTAGGCGTGAAAGCGTAACAAACAGACAGACAGAGTTACTTTCGCATTTATAATTTTAGTAGGGATTTATTTATATTACCACTAATCATTATTGTTATAGAGTACTATTTTAAATGGTTCTCAACTTAAAGTTAGACACAAATATACATTTAAATTCAATATTTAATCTATAATGGAAATTAATTTCAGACAACCAAAAATCAATACGAGAACCTGTCTCCAATACTGACAGTGCTGAATAAGAGTGCGAGGAGTTGTCGGGTTCAGAGGAAGTTCTTGAGGCAGGAGGTGTTGCCGCCACTGAGGGATGTGTCCCGCCCGCCAGAACAAGGAGATACTTTGAGGAACCAGCTCTGCCGGCTTCTGACCACGCCTATCACCTCTGTTAGGGACCTGGTGGCAGAGTTCCTCTTTATACTGTGCAAGGAAAAAGGTTCGATCTATTATATCTTCTACCTGGCAATTTCCCAGCTTTAGCCAGGGTCTGCCTTACATATCGTGAATAGTTTTGACTTATTGTTTTTACGACCGGACGCCTGCCTGACATCAACCCCTCTTTGGGAATGCATTAATCAGTGATATCTAAATACTCTTAGTACTTGCCAGGACCAGGATTGAACCCGCGCCCTCATGCATGAGAGGCGGGCCTTTTAACCACTAGGCCACCACTGACTAATTTTTCAATCGATCTATTATATGTACTAAGAAAATTCAAAAAAGTAGGGAGAGCCTACTGTAGTCAAGTAATTACAGCTCGAATATAGGCTGGCTGGCTGGGAAGTACCACCTTCTCACAGATCGATGAAATAGTCTTTAATGATTGCGTTTTGTCCGATGAGTGAGAGAGACGTATACCTTTCCCTTTCTTACTCCTTTCCTGTTTATGGACGAAAGTACTGCCTCCATCAGGTAGGCCGGTTTGCTCGATTACTCCTTTAATATAGAAAAATAATTATAAACGAAAACTTTTCACTACTATTAAGCTAATTTTATATACTATGATAGAAACTTGTAACATTTCAATTGATCGTCTTGAGTACAGTCGGCAGAATGGTGAAGTACACGGGATTTGGGAACGCAGCCGGGCACTTGGCTCAGAAGGGGTTGATGGGTGGAGGGCGCGGGCCGACGTACTCCTCGAGCAGTGACTCAGACACCGAGGAGTACCGGGAGGCCGAGCCACACATCGACCCTGTGGTGGGGTGCACCAGGCCGCCTCGGAATAATCCTTGGGAGGGAATGACTGAGGAACAGGTGAAAAACACACACACACACACACACAATAAGTTACAGTTAGACGATATGAAGTAAAGTAAAAAGTTGATATCAATAAAAACAGTCTTCCGGAACAATCATTTTGATTCTTTCCATTGTATCTGAGATAAGGTAACTTTTAAATTAATATCTATTGAAATTTTTGAGTAATGATAACACTGTGTAGTGTATCACCTCTTTATTAATTTAGTAACTGGCCGGTAAGCCAGTGAGATTATTAAGAATAATGTGTCAATATTATGGCATTAAAAAAATAATGGAGATATAGACAATAATGTATTTAATTTCTTTATGTATATTTAATACACTGTTAATTCCATAATAAACTAATCCCTACTAATATTATAAATGCGGAAGTAACCCTGTCTGTCTGTCTGTCTGTTACGCTTTCACGCCTAAACCACTGAACTGATTTCAATGAAATGTAGTACAGAGCTATCTCTGCACTACAACTCTATAGTTGACCTTGAAAAAGAGCATAGGATAGTTTTTATCCCAGACTTTTGAAAGGTTCTCTTGGAAACGCGATATAACCGAACTCCATGCGGGCGAAGCTGCGGGTGGAAAGCTAGTTTGACATATATTATTTAAATTTCCAGAAGGAATACGAAGCCATGAAACTGGTGAATCTGTTTGATAAGATGCTGTCCCAGGGAGTGGTTAAGCCGGCAAGGGTTGGTCCGGACGGCCGGCCGCAGACCCTAGAACATGTCTTGGAGCTCCGGGAACAACCACACCGATCAAACTCATAAACATACATACATACACCTGAAAATGATGCACTCGGTAATATATGAAACATATGCAACACCTAGGAACGGCAAATTGAATAGATAAATTGTTTATAACAATATAAGTGCAAATAATTCATAATATTAGGTCTAAAGAAGTTTATTTCCAAAGTTCGCTTACAAAGGAAATTTTAAAAACTATATCTACAATTAAATTACAAATAATAAACAGTAGTGATATTAAACAAGATCAGTTAAATCATCTAATATGTGGGTTCTTAATCGTTTTTTAAATATATTTAGAGATTTTGAATTGACAACACTTAGAGGCAAAGAGTTATACAGCTGTATAGAATGTATGTTTAGAATCAAATCTTCTTATTTATTATTATGTATATAAGTTGTCAGTATAACAAAACAGTATTGGTAGGAAATTACAAATTATTTATGGAAGCTACTCAATGAAAACAATTTTATTATGAGGTGAGATGTTCATATTGAGACAGTAATTGGAAATAATCTCCAAACTCCAGGTGTGACGTAACACTAAGGACCTGGAATATTGAGGAAAAAGCAAGATATGAAAGATTTAGGACCTGCATTCATCAAACACCTGGCAATAGGCTGATACTGTTCAAACCAGCATATATGCTGTTATATGTGAAGAATCAAGAATAATGTTTAACAAATAAATCCTCTTTGATATTTATAATAAAAATTATGTAAAAATAATAAAAAAAAACTTCATTTTTCCTAACAATGTGTAACTTGTCACCGTTGTAACTGTTATTAATATATATTTATTTATATTACAACGAATCATATCTTATTATTAGTGTTTTAAATGGTTCTTAAATTAGAGACGGACACAAACATACTTAGATACAATATTTAGTGAGAACAGTCAGGTTGTAGTACCACAAATACTAGTGTACTAAGATATTGCAAATTAAATTTCTATATATAAGCGGCAGACCCTGGCTAAAGCTGGGAAATTGCCAGGTAGAAGAAGAAATTTCTATATATAAGTATTTTAGCCTTTTACTAGTCATACATGTTTCACTCTATATAGATTCCTCGAGTATTTAATGGCCAAATATTTATATGATCCAGTTTCGTTGTGTTTGAACGGAACGCAATCGACACTTTTTTTGTAGCGATTCTTTTATTAATACTGTGAATTTGTATTTTCTAGATGTTTAAATCTTTCATTATATTTAAATAATAAAGATTTCAAGAATATAAACTGTTTTTATTTTGTTATATTAAATATTTGATTTAAATTTCTAAATTAATATTACTTTAATTACGAATCACAACTGACTTTTTAAAGAATTTAATTAAAACACTACGACTTCTTGGTAAATCACTTGTTTATTCCAATTTCCACAAAAATAAATCCTTTCCCGCCGCCAACTCACCCCTTAGTCAATACAGCTCCTCTTTATTTTTGTTATACTGAATTAAATTTTGACAAGGCATTTTGTATAATAAAAAGAAAAGTTTTTATTGCACCTTTTAAAGTAGTTAAATTATTTCTCTACGTTTTAGTCTCTTTACCAAAATATACTACTGCCTATTATGTATTAATGTACAATAATCAACAAAAGTGGAATCAGTATTTATTAAGTTTTTATTTCAAACAGCCAATGTTATTTTCTGTGAACATGGACCTTAATTAAAATTTGCATAATATGAATTTTGGATAGATTTCAATAAATTCTTTTAATAACGAAACCATAGTATTTAAAAAATCTTATAATAAGGGTGCATTGTGACCCAAAATATTTTATCATTATTTTACAATGTCAAAGAAGTAAAAAGTATAAATTGAAATATCATGTTAAGGCAGCTTTATAAATGGATGAAAGTTCTTAAATAATGCGTTTGGCGGTATAAAATAGAATCATACAATTTCGTAGTCACACTTTGCTGCGTCTACTTTATTATTATTAAAATAAATAACTTATTTTCTTACAAAAAATTACGATAAATATCATGACGTGATGTTTGTGTTTTCATAAAAACCGTAAATACCGGTATTTTTATGAAAAATACCGTAAATAGATTGAGACAATTAAATAATTTGTAATAAATCGTGTTTAAACATTCATATTTAAGACTGTTGCGATAGGTCCGCATGTAAACTTGTCTCTTTATAATACCCTTAGCGTCGTGACAGCGCAGCCCTCTCTCTACTAAGTACTAACTCCTCAGTTCAACCCCGTGAATCGCGCGGTGAGGGCGATCACTCGCATAAAATTTTGCTAAATCTCTCCAAACCTTGTAATCAATATAATGTATTTAAAAACATCCTTTATTTTGTCGTAAACTAATGAAATTGTTATACTTGATGAATTGCGAAAATTGCATTTGATTTAGGTCATTGAACTTTCTTTGTTTAGTTGGCCGTCATTGAGTACTGTACTTCGGTATTTCAATACTTGGAATGATATCTTCTATATTTTATGTTTCAATTAATAATTGCAAAAGTTATTCAAAATTTTATGTACCTAAAAAGCTATAAAATTGTTAATTGAAATAAAAATAATTAAAAAAATTAGAAATCAGAAAGAGGATTTTCCTATTAATAAAAGAATTTAAGTATAACAGGACATTACGATTATTATAGAAATGAGAAGTTTCCACAGTAACATATAATTTAAAGGAGGGATTTGAAATAAAATAAATATTTTAAAGTTTTACACAAATATTATATTTAAGAAGTCATCATCTTTTCCGAACTAAAATAATAATAATTTTTATTGAAATCAAAATTTCTATTTTTCAAATAAAAAAAGTATGTATTACAGGAACAAAGCTAAAAGTTTATAAAGTGAAGGCATTCAATAGCTTAGTTTAAACTCGGTTTTATTAAAGTTATGTTAAAGCGTGGCTTGTGTAGACTGTAGACTAACAATGTTGGTGTTATTTGTGCTATATTTGTTTGGGTCGTGTCGTGTGTCTGTTGCGACGAGCTGTGAGCGCGCTCCAGCCGACTCTCAGCCAGCTGATAAAAATTACAAGCTAAGTGTAGCGGGAGACCCGGACCTCTTCCTACCTGGAGAATTGTACACTGGTAAAGAAAAAAATACCGGTTTTTTTTATTAAATATCGTAAAAACCTTCACTATATCGGTATAATGTATTTCAACAGTGTCCCTGCAAGGTGTAGATAGCGGACAAGGCCCGACGCCTTTCGTTGGTTTCTTGATATGGGCTGAGTTGGATGATGCGGGTAATGAGAGTGATGATGACATCCTCAAGGGTCCTCCATCGCTCGGGGCCCTGCAGGCCTACGACACACAGACTAAACTCTACGAGCCCTGCAAACCTGCTGTGGATAACGCTACATCTCATCCAAAGACTGAAGTACAAGTGAGCGTTTGTCAAAAGCGAACTATTTGAAAAAAATTTTCTATTAGGCAATTGAGAAGAAGCTTCCTAATTATTCAAGTTTATTCAATTCTAGTTATTCTAGGCTTATATAAATGAGCACCCAAGTCTGGTTTCCTTTCACTAGGTAATATGGAGTTCCCCATCTATAGTGACTGAATACAATTGCGTCAGACTATGCGCTCGTGCAGCAAACGCGGAGGGCACCACTAGTTCGATCGTGTGCCGCAAGTTATGTTCGGCACCGGTCGGCACAACCACCAGCAATCAGCAACCACCGATACTTGAACCATGCTGTGCATGCGACGAGGCTAAATATGAGGTTCATCAACTAATTTTATTTTCTACTACATTTTGCTGATTTCGTCTGATTTTGATTCAGAATTAGAAATGTATAGACTGGGCGAACTCGGTTCCTCTTTGAAGAATAAGATTATGGATTTTTTAAAGTAATTTTTTTTTCTTATTTGATCAAATGAAAAGTATCCTGTGACCTTTCTATGTTCTAATCTATCTCACCAACAAATTTTAGCCAAATTCGTCCAGCCGTTAGATTTATAAATAGCGTAACTAACACTTTCTTTTATATATAAAGATATTAATTGTAGGTCAATATATATGTTATGGAATGTTCATGATGCAGGTCACGTTTGAAGGGCTCTGGTCCAGGAACACACATCCTCAGGAGTTCCCTCCAGAAGGTTCGCGAGCTCATTTCGGGGATGTGATAGGTGCTTCTCATACAGCGCAGTACCGAGTGTGGCAGGAGGGCAGGGTGGCTAGCTCGGGTCTGAGAAGACTGGCTGATGATGGATCTACGACTGCTCTTGAAAAGGAACTCAAGGCCGAGGTATATCTGTTAAATAAGACGTCACAGGACACGCTGATCACTAATCATAATAATGTGCTAGTCTAAAAGTTAGATTAATATAACTTACTTAACGTTTAGTTTTTAACAATAAAAGCTTATTAAGACGTTGATACATTGTAAAATTTTATTCCAATAAGCTAACTGTCGAAGGTTGTAAATGACAAGGAATGTTTAAAAAGGATAATGCCATCAATTTGTTAAAAAATTCTGTATTTTATGAAGAAACTAGAGCGTTCTTTCCATTAAACAAGTGTTGCATAAAACTTTGAATATCTCTTAGTGACTTTTTCTTTTGCTTATTCATTTTAACCAATCAGACAGAAGATAATCACGTTCAATGTTTTCTAGTTTTGCATTTCCATTGCCATACGAGAATGTTTAAAATAGTTTCTCGTATTCTTCTGTAAAAGAAGACAATTTAAAACTATTTTTTTGCCCAAGATCGATGGATGTCCTTCTATTGTTTTAGAGCGAACACATCCGTACTATAATCAAGGCCCGAGGCATATCATGGCAGCAGGTCGCTGGTGCAGGAACTCCAACAACTTTCGCGGTATTTCGTGTGGACGCTAAGCATCACCTCGTATCATTGGCGTCAAAATTAGCGCCATCACCAGATTGGATAGTCGGAGTATCTGCTTTGGAGTTGTGTAACGCTAACTGTACTTGGCGGAGATCCATTACGTTGCCGCTTTATCCGTATGACGCTGGAACTGATAATGGACTGAATTTCACTGTAAGTTTAACAATATTCGTTAGATTACACCTTAAAGCTACACTTGGGTCGCAAGTCCTAATCACTGTTGAAGCTCCTCTCACTACAACGATGGACCCGACACACGCACAGTGAATACATTGAATGCTGAGAAGTTGCATCTATGAGTATGTAGTTGTTATTTCTTCTTCTTCTAATTTAGTTGTTTTTAACTAGCTTTATAACCTGTGCTTGGTTTTATAAAAAAATTAATTTGTGAGACTTTACTGCTTGTAGTTATTGTTGACATAAATGACCAATATAATGACTAATAATGAAACCTTCTGTAGGGTAGAAGATGTAAGGTCCTGGTAATAGGAGGAACCATAATTATATTTTTCTATCTATTTTATTAAAGTACCAGTCAGTACCAGCCTTATATAGCCACTGGCAAAAGAAGCTATATCTTTTAACTATCGTAAGATGCTGGTTATGAAAATTTTAAATGCTGATAAGAATACTTCAATATTTCATTACTTCGAAATTTTTCCCCAATAGGACATTTGTGATCTTAAAATTTAAATAAAGATATTTAAGTAATATTATTATTTTCTTACGTTATTATTTTTTAATTGAATCCATTGATTCAATTAATTAATTAAATTACTTTTTTTAAATAGTAAACAATGTTTTTGTATTAAAAACATAATCATCATATTAAATATTGGTAGAAAAATAGGTTAATTGTCTGTTTATATATACCTAAGATACATTTTACTAGAACAATTACTTTAAGTTATATAAATTTTATTTGTTTTCTTTAGATTTTAGTCACCCCGTGGTTGAGATTACTCTGTATAAAGTCGTATCGCCGATTATTTGACCAAGTACCTCTTTATCCGTCATCTGAAATTTCTACCCAGTTGGAATGTTTTACCCATCTTTGTGTCATTTTTGATTTCTACTTTTGAAGGGAATAAATTTTAATTATCTAATTATTAAGTTATCCCAAAAAAAGTCTCTCAAATGAATATGCCTAATATCTTTTTTTGTTACATTATTCATCAATAAATTCTTCGTTACCTTGAAGTAATTTACCTAATTTAAACATCTAAGGCTCGTAGAAATCCTACAAACCCAAAGGCTCCGGTGCGGGCTCTCAGACAGGAATGGCCGAGGGACACTCGCTCGGGACCCTTCTTGAGCTCCTTCGGTGAATTACGACCATTTGCTCGGCTGAGATTGACGAGGTTGAGACTTTATGAGAAAAGCTGTGATGTTACAGGTAACTGTTGAAAAGATAATCAAATTTTTAAAATTGCTAAAACCATAATTCACCTCAACCAACTGAAAACATTGTATTAGTTTAAGTTAAGTTTAAGAAGGTTAATTGTGTCATATGTTAATCTACATATTATGTAAGCATTGTGTTTTTTCAATAAAGTTTATTATTATTATAGAATATAACCACTAATACTACGAACTATTACTACTTAATATTATGTGGCTACGATGTCTTATAAAATTGCTCATAATCAAGATAAATTATATTAAATTGCTCTATTTTTAGTGTCTTCAACCAGAGCGTAGTTTCAAGTCTATCATTTTTCCTTTCTTCCACCATAAGAGCCTACCGGCGTGCAAGTTCCCGAGGGAGCTGCTGTTCCCGGCGGCTCATGTGCTACGTATGGTTGGGGTGGTTGGAGCCCCTGCAGCGTGTCTTGCGGCACGGGGCGAAGCACCCGCCAGAGACGGTACATGTGGCCCCTCCGCGCACACCACGACGCCTGCCGTACTACACTCACTGAGTATAGATCCTGTCATGGACCCAGACTGCATTGCAGGTCACTCTTAATATTATGGGTTATTTTAACAGCGCTGTAGAGATTTTAATGATTTTAATAATGTATATGTACTGTAAAAGTAGTTTTGTGTGCAGAGGAAATCTCTGGAAGTAGATTTGTGTGTGATTTCTTTGCTTTATTTTAAACTCGTTTAAAGATCCAAGAAACAAAATGCACTTGCATTTAAAAATTGTGTGTTTACATGTTACGTAGTTTTTTTTTATCAGTTTCTGTTTAAAGAGTTGTAAAATAATAGGAGCTGGGATCTGATCTAAGACTTCTAGAAAATAATTAAGGTTAAAGGTAAAATATCTAACTGGTATGACTTTAAAGTCCTCTTTATTTATTTATGTACCAAAAGAAGTAGTTACATTGTTATAAAAGAAATAAAGCACAAATTCTAACTTATCTCTTAAAAGAGATCTCTACCAGAAATCCTTTTGATAGAGAAAACGAGAAAAACATGGTGTAGGTACAATAAAAAGAGAAGAGGAATATATATATTTATCGTCGTATTTATTATGTACAAATTCGTTGTTTTTAAAGAGAGAGACGCCAGCCTCGCTGACGTAACAAATGTCACTTCTTCTAGTACGTTCCATGATATTTTAAAATGCAACTTCAATTGTTCTTAATGCTCCTGTATTTCTCGAAGGTTCTTCATAATCACATACTTCAATGATACGCACTCACTGAACTCTGAATTCTGCCGTCGTGCGTCCAGACGTCATATTTATACCAAGATTCAAACATAGTTCTATTCTCCTTTTAAACAATCTTTGATTTCGTTTTACTTTTAACAATAATCATAAATACTAATGAGGTTTAATAAGAATTGATGACGGCCTCAAATTATTTTCATGTCACATCCGTTATTAAAGCTGATAGCGCCGATATATATATTTTCTCTCATTACAGAGTGAAGTCAGACTACGAGCCCGAGGCTGCGGAGTCATCAGGTCCTTGCGCCATGTCTCCGTGGTCGGAGTGGTCGCCGTGTGTGGGGTGTGGGGTTCGAGCCCGCACCAGGCACTACCTGGCGCCGCGCGCGCACAAGCGATGCCACGTGGGCTTCCGAGCGAGAACAGTCATGAGCCAGGCGATGCCGTGTGACGCGGGACCATGTTTTAAGTCAGTGGATAGGGAATAAACTTGGGTTATATTTAATATAAATTCTAATAGATATAATATTTATTTAGTCACACTGTTTAATTGTCCTGTTAGGAAAGACTTACTAAATATAAAAATACTAGAATGTGCAACTTGAATATAGTTATCATTAAAATGCCACCTAGAACTAACTACACGATGTGACTGTTGGTGTGCGTATCGTAAAATTCACTCATAAGTTTTCTCCATTGCTCCAAAAGAAATATAACTTCAAAAAAGTTGTTGACAAATTATAACATTTTGCAAGAGATCCTACTACCTATAATATATAATTTTAAAGTATTTTAATTACTAAGTTTCATTTATTACAGACCTCCCAAAGAACGCGCGAATGCAACAAACTTCGATTGGTTTTTTGAGGTACGTATAGACAAATTAGTTGTCATTGTCTCATACTAGGGTCAAAGTACAATGCTGTAATATTATACCAGGAGAGTCCCAAGTCTGATTGTCCCGTGACCCCCTGGTCCACGTGGTCTCCCTGTTCCTCCCGCTGCGGCCGAGGTCGGCGACTCCGCACCAGGATGTACGTGGTGCGAGAGACCAACCTTCAGAGAGAGATCACCAAGAGGCTGCTGAGAGACTGGAACCAACGGTTCGCTGAACTACAGAACTTGGTGAGTCCTCGGAGATTTTTATGGGGATACTATATAAAAAGTTTTAAAATCTCTAATGAAAACGCGCACGATGCGTTGTGCCAATCACGTAAAGACCAAATAGCGAAATGTCGTGCCTTACATTCTATTCGATCTCAACGCGTTGAGGCTATAAAGTATAAACTACTATAATATATTCCACCATGGATAATTATTATTTTTATCATTACTTTTATATAATTTTTGATGGATTTATGCTCATAACAACAAACATAACTTTCCTGGGTGCTGCATATATGTATCCTCTGTCAACTTTAGAAACTCTAACTAAAACGTTGTTAAAATTTTTGATCTTAATAAATGGTATCATATGAATAAGTAATAAATAGGCACAACGCGTTGTGAGCTGTTTTTTCGCTCTCTGATCGTTTTCGATCTTTCAGCATAACACACACACACACACACTCATATATAAATCTGATTATGCAGTTAGTAATATTATTGTATACAGGGTGACTGGTGAATTACTATCAATATTTAAGGAGAATACTCGGTACATGATTCTCATTCGAATTATGTAAAAAAATAGGCACTTAATTTTTGACCAAATTACCGTATAAATAAATAAAGTGTGTACACGTTCGAAGTGTTCCAAGTGTGGACGCGTGCGGCGGCGTGCTGATACAACACCACGCCGCCGCACGTGTATGTGTGTGTATACCTAATCTGTAGGGTGTTCACACGATGCGTAATTAATTACATAACTTTTGTTTAACTTTACTTAGAAGTTTATTAATATTTATGTTATATTAATTTTTATTTTGTCATACATATATGATCGTCAAATATCACGTCCTTAAATATTGATAGTAATTCACCAGTCACCCTATATAATTCCTTTCAACAAAAACCTTTGACAATTTCATTCACAAATATCTATGTTTTTGGTGTCAATCAAGCTTTTCAAACATACAAATGCATTTTCCGCTTTGATTAATAAAATGTTCGAGGGTTTTAATTTTTCTTCTGTAATGAACTCTGTTTACTTAAAGTGGAGGTCGATTCTCGCTCAACATTCAAATGAAAGTTTTAATTTACAAACTTCCTGAAGAATTCTATTTGTAACTTCCTGACATGTCATTCTAGTAGTATTCAAAGTTACATTTTTCATTAAAAATTATATTCGTACTACAGTAACATTTATATTACTCCTTAAAATAGATAACAATAAAGCCAAATTGATGAAATCAGTTTAACGTTGACAAAGGTTTTATCTCACCCGAATATATTAGAATGCTTCCGTGTGCATATGTACATATATGAAAGTGAGTTTTATTTGATGTAATTATCACAAACTCCTAAGGTGTCCAGCAATTTCATTTGAATCTCATCAAAGTGTGGGCACACTTTGATATCATTTGTGCTGACGGACGCGCGCCGTGCAATATGCCAATCATAACTTTGCCAAATACACGAATAGCGCACTTAATATACTAAGCTCCTCAGCGGTTAATTATGAGATGTCATCCCTTTAAACATATGACGTTTATAATATTGTAGTTAGAAATGATAATTTAATAAGACATGATTTATCTACAAAAGTATGTGTACCTATTAAAAATTAAATGAAGTTTTAGTAACAAAAATTTATTAAAAAATTATAATCTTAGAAAGGTTCCATTTAGACAAATATATAAAATTTTATTTTCAAATAAGTATCTTCTCATGAATATAAAAAAAAACTCTAAGTAAACTAACTATTTCTTGAGCTCTCATGAACTCCAGTAGTATTCATCTGACATAATGACATAACTTTAATAAAAGTTTATGAACGTATTGACTTTCCACTTCACAGTTTTATACCCTACCACAAGTTTTCGTCGTCAAACTATTTACAGACAGATTTCTTTGTAATCCCTAGTGCTCATTGTCGGATGGAAAGTTTCTTCGAATTGAAATTCCCTGTTATAATCATAATGACTTCTCCGATAAACTAATTTGTTCCTGACTCTCTATTTACATTCCACTCTTTATATTTACAGGATAAGTTTTAAAAATAACATTTGTATGTAACTTATTTAAAACAAGACAATTAATTTGTTTATGAGGTTTTCATATTCTGTAACTAGAGTGTCTTTGGTTTCATTAAAATAAAGTAAAGACACGAATATTGATATTCGAACGGCAATCTACCAAAAATTCCTCCATTCTCCCTAAATATTAGTCGGGATGGGCGAGCTTGATTTATAGGATTTTGGAATATGCAAGTCTATGCGAGCTACTGATGCATGCCGAAATAGTTTTATCAACGAAATACTCAACAGACGTTATTAAATTTAACGCACCCTTTGGTGGTGTAAATAGAGATGGCGGGATATTAAATTAAGCGACATGGATTTTGTTAGATTGTTTTATGAATAAAAAATATTTTGTAGTTATAAAAGTTGGAAAAAGATGAACTTCTGTAGTTGATACTCATACAAGTATGTGGATAATGAGATTTCTATACAATTTTTAATGAGTTTTATTAAGTTAAGTTTTTGTTATACGACGCTGCATTCGACGATCCTTAATAATGTAGTCTAGGAAAGGATTTGAGAGTTAATACAGAGTTGAGTTTACTAACGAACATGAGTCATTTGATATTATAGGTTGCTTATATAATTTTTTATATTTAAATAAAGCAATAATATTCTACATACTATTATAGTTCGGACTTCTTAGGATTCATTATTTGTAAAGTACGTATTATTATAAACGAAGTATTGTTAGAAAGGTCATATTTACTTAATTCTACCAATACAAATATGTATTATGAACAGTAAACATAAATTGTACTAAGTATATATTAAAAATGAGACTTTGATGTAAAAATCTTTAAAATTATCATCTTCACGTTCAATTGTTTATATCAGTGGTAAAGAGCTAAGGTAAATCCGCAAGCTTTATGAGATATATTGGATTCGGTTCATTGGAGTTCTGAATCAATGGCCATTGTAAAATCGCTCCGCTTCTTACAGAGTCTAGGCCTTTAGGGAGCGTTCAAGTATTACGCAACGCAATTTTCGAAGATTTTTGACCCCCCCTTCCCCCGTCGTAACGCACAGTAACGTTTTTCTGTAGCCCCCCCTCTCAAAACGTTACGTAACACTCAAGTGATCAATTTCATCAAAAGTCTTATAATGCAATCTATGTATTTCCCGTAAAATATCAATTAAGAGGTTTGCAATGTATTGTAAACATGGTATCAATTGCATAGAAAGCGTCATAGCCTAGAGTTAGTAACTATAACGATGCTTTAGTTAACCCAAAGTTGTTACAAACCTTGACATTCTGAATAGTTTTATTAAACAAATTTATCCCCGGTTACAATGTATGATCTTTGTTATCTATGCAAAGCGGACGATAATGGTGTTCGTTTTATATAATTAAGTAATAGGGTTTCGATTTGTTAATTTCATTTTCCTCGCTTCGAAAGCCGCCCAGAAATTAATGTGGATTTTATTACTTCCCCGCATCATTTTATTTGATAAATCCCTACTAATATTATAAATGCGAAAGTAACTCTGTCTGTCTGTCTGTCTGTCTGTCTGTCTGCTACGCTTTCACGCCTAAACCACTGAACTGATTTTAATGAAATTCGGTACAGAGATAGAGTTGACCTTGAGAAAGAACATAGGATAGTTTTTATCCCAGACTTTTGAAAGGTTCTCTTGGAAACGCGATATAACCGAACTCCACGCGGCGAAGCTGCGGGCGGAAAGCTAGTGTTACAATATTTTTCAAAAGTTTCAATCAGTTGTGGCATTGGTAGTTTTTTTTAGATAACTACTGATATTTCGAAATAAGGTTTTGTTATGATCTTGCAATGCAATATTTAAACCAATATCTACTAGTTTTATATTTTAATAATATTTGCAATAACGTAATTATTATGATACTCAAATATAACGGGTGTCCCAACTAGAACGCAATTTTTAACTTTGGCGCCATTTTAAGGGCCATTGTTTGACGTTTGAACAATTGTTATTATTTGCTTGTAGAAGGTACAAGGTTTGTAAAAATGGAGCGCTACACGAATGAACAACGCATTCTCATTGTAAAATTGTTTTACCAAAATGGTGAAAGTTTTGCGGCTACAGTTCGCAAATTACAATCATTTTGGAGTCACAATAATGCTCAAAAAGAGTCAACTGTAAAGAGATTAATAAATAAATTTGCCGAAACTTAAAAGCCTTAAAAGAAAAATTGGACGCTGTATTAATGAAATACCGCAGTATTTATGCAAAACGGTCCTAGAAATTATCATTCAAAGTTCGCGCGTGTACCTGCAAAGCCGCGGCGGCCATCTGCACGATATCTTGTTCCATACATAACCTCATTCTATCTACTTTACGATATAATAAAGTTTCACGATATTTTCTTTAATATCTGTGTTTTATTTAAAATTTAAAAATTGCGTTCTAGTTGGGACACCCTTTAGAAGTATAGTTTAAAGTCATTAAAAAAATGTTCTTAATATTATTATTAGTAGCAAATATCACGACAGAATTTTATTGTCATTAAAGTATTAATGTTATTCGTGTGCTTATGTTTTTGTAATCCAAGGAGCTGCCGTATGAGAACATCACCAGTTCCGACCCGTCCCTGGACGCGGCGGTCCAGGAACACTTGGACAAGTGTCAGTTCACGATGACGCAGCAGGAGGCGCTCTGTGACGGACAAAATGGAGACTGTTCCAACAACACCTTGCCTAATGGTTATATCATTTATATAGGTTTTTTGCAAGCTTGTTTTCTAGTCCCTAACAAAATATGAGATAAATAATTATAGTATTTATTATATATATGATTAAAAAACTGGTGGAAAGTGTCGTTACAATTTGAAGATATTTGATTTTTCAAATAGATTTTCGTTATGATAGACTACGAATAATATTTCAAATATCTTTTTCAAGTCTATACCATCGCCGAACAATAACGTTTTTATATACACTATATTTTTTTCGTATAATACACTAAACATATCAATTTATTACTTTCACTTGTTAAATATGTCTAGCAAAAAAAATCCAATCCATCGTTAGCTTAAAACCATTGTAATTTAGACAATCCATGGTCTATAAGTGATAACTTTTTTGGGGGGTTTAATCAAAAGGACTACGTCCAGATGAAAACTAATCTAATCATTTAAATGAAACTAATACATATTTTCGGATTTTACTTCGCATTTTATTTTTGATTAGAAACTACATACAAAAGTTTCGGTTACTTTTCAGCAACCGTGATCATTAAGACGAGATGTAGTAATCTAATCATAATGATGGTCTATCTTATGTTTTATAAAGTCAATTTGGTCTAGAAATCTGCAAGTTGCCGGTGTCAGTGGGTCCGTGTCGTGGTTACGACGAGCGCTGGTTCTTCGACCACCCGAGGCTCGTCTGTGAGCCATTCGGATACACAGGCTGTGGGGGGAACGAGAACAACTTCAGAACACGACAAATCTGCGAAGAGACTTGTCTATCACAAAAAAACAAACAGGATAATGGTAATCGGATTATATAGAGAATGTTTCATACTTTTCTATCTCCTCATAAGTAATAACAAATGAAACTAATATTCTTCGGATTATTACGCGGATTTTATTTAAAAAAACTACATACTCCCGACGTTTCGGTTACTTAATTGCGGCAACTGAAACGTCGAGAGTATGTAGTTTTTATAAATAATAAAATACGTGTAGTAATCTGAATATTTTAGTTTTCTTTAAAAGAATAGTCCTGAAAGTCTTACATCTCATTAAGTTTAAAAAAAAACATTTGTGAAATTCTTCTATCACAGTCATTTTTATATTTTAATTGTTCATTACCCCAAAGTAAACCAAATAGTTTTATTTCAATATGAACTCACGAAAGTCTTAAATTTCATTTTCTTCTACCGTAGACCACCTTTTTTCTGTATATAGAATACAGGTTACAAGCTTTATTCTATAAGTGCCCTGTTTTCAATCTCCGCTCTCTCTCTCTAGTAACCTCTCGAACATACTCCTACTATCTCTTCTTAGACCTCACTTTTCATCCAATAACAAAAACACTCATAATTTCTTATAACATCCACGCACCGCTACAATTGTTTCAATTTTCTGACTATTATTTTTTGTTTTCTTGTCCACACAACCACGTCAAAATCCTCATTTCTTCTGTCTGATGCGTTCCTTTCTTCTTCCTTTAGTTGCCCTATATTTTATTTAAAAAAAATATATATATGATATATGTACCTATATATAATTATTATCGTTAGTGACGTCGCTGGTCGAAGTCAGTCCGAAACGTATCAAGGCGACTCCATCAACTGAAGACAACGAGGTGATGCAGAACGACCATAATGTACGCGGTGAGTATATGGAGAAACTGCCATCAAAATTTAAAATATACCAAAAAGACTTATAAGTATTTATTACTATAAAAATCTCTTTTATTCTTGACACTTTTTCTCTTTAAAAAATATATCTTATATATAAAATACGTACTCCTCCGAAATGGCTTGGCCGATATTCATGAAATTTCGTGAGCATATTGAGTAGGTCTGAGAATCGGCGAACATCTGTTTTTCATACACTTAAGATATAAGGGTTGTTCACAACATTTTTTTAAATTTTTGGACTAAAGGTTTTGTTTTTATTTTTTATTATGTGGCATACGAAAATACAACCCTAAATTTTTGCAGCAACCCCTACTTTTGATATGGCAAAACAACGTTTGCTATGTCAGTAAGTAATTACATAATTTTCTACTAAACCAGTGAGTCATACAGAGTTCATAATCTCATCAGACAAATTCTAAGATAACCATAGTATAACATTTCTAGTATACTTCGTTTTCAAGTAAATGTAGCCAGAGCCTGACCCCACTCTCTGTCATATATCTATATAATATGTATTTCCTCACATAATCCTCCTCGTGTATAATATCTTCTCGTCTGCTCATCACCACGAGTACCCTGATATAACATAAAAACCTTTTTAGATGTAAACTGCGAGATGGGTCCTTGGCTCGGTTGGAGCGAATGTTTCGGAGAGTGCGACCTGGCCATCAAACTCAACTATAGACACGTTCTGGTAACTATTATAACTGAACAACAAAAGTTCTGCTATTATTTCGATAATAAACATAATACAAATTAACTTTCAAGCGATAACTATTAAAGAAAATACTTAAAATCTGCTGAATGATTAACGTTAAAGCAAAGGTAATATAAATTTAAATCATTGTTGAACATTTAATATAAAATTTCCAGGTTAATATTCTTTACTAGCTTTCCGCCGCAGCTTCGCCTGAATGGAGTTCGGTTATATCGCGTTTCCAAGAGAAACTTTCAAAAGTCTGGGATAAAAACTATCCTATGTTCTTGCTCAAGGTCAACTCTATCTCTGTACCAAATTTCATTAGAATCAGTTCAGTGGTTTAGGCGTGAAAGCGTAACAGACAGACAGACACAGTTACTTTCGCATTTATATTAGTAGAGACTCATTAAATTATAATCCTACAATCATGTATATTATTCCTTCATTATAGGTTCCGTCGTCAGGTTCAGGAAGATCATGTCAGAAGACCGTGAAGAGTCGCGTCTGTAAACCAGACTTGTGCAAGAAGAAGAAACACATAATCTTTAATAAACCAGATAATACTGTTGAAAATAACGATTATTAGAACAATCAATCATCAATCATCAATCAATCAAAACTAATTCTTTTCTGGAGTTAAATAATGAAAATACTTAATAATTGTTACTGGTAGCGTCGCTAGTTGTTCATATAGGTGCTTCTTAGACTGTTCTCATGTAAGTTCTTCTTCCTGGCAATTTCCCAGCTTTAGCCAGGGTCATGTAAGTTGTGTTTAGATAAATTCGTTAGAGTAGATATTAAATATATTTTTAAGGAGGTAGGTATGGAAATTAAATGTTGCATCAACCTCAAAGGATGGCAAAAACTGTTTGTTAGTTGGTATGATAAATTGTATTTAGGAATACAGAGTGAGAGTATCGTCACAAAAAAATTAATCTCCAATATTTGACAATAAAATCTGTGAAAAAATCTATGTTTTTTATTTTTGGAGCACAAAAAATTTCCAGTTTTCTTGACCTTAAAATCTATTTAATAATAAACGGTATGTTAAAAATTATTTTATTCCAAAATGTCAAATTTGTACATAACTCATTATTTCCAAGCATCTTACATTTAATGATAATACTGTCTAAAAACAATAAGCATCACAATTATTTTGTAGCACTTCCATGGCGAGTTAAAACTTAATATACATATATGTATATGGATATAAAAAATATTAATAAAAGTTTTACATAATAATAGTAGGTATATATAAAGACAAAGTTTTTCTGAATTGGGTTTTTCAACAATTTTTTTTTGTGATAAAAAGTTATATCAAATTAAATTATTTTTTGAACCTCGTACTGCGAACATGCCGACAGTTCCCGAGCTTTACCGAGCTAGCCCGAGCGCGTGTGACGTCATAATGTTAATGACTCCTTTTACCAATACAAGCTGTTGTCACTGTTCTATATTCAAATTGTTTTAACATTATGACGTCATCAACATGGTGACCAGTTTTGGCGCGTACATATTTAGTCTCGTGGTTATTTCATAAATTTTTGTTATTAATAATTGATTTAATTCAATAATTCATATTTATTCGAATTATATACAAATATATATAAATATTTTCCCCTTATAATACAGAATACTCAAACATTTCAGTATCGAAAGATATATCGTTCTTTGGTTGTTGTACGTGCGTAACACATAGGACTTATCCTTACTTCTTCTATCAATTTCCCAGCTTTAGCCAGGGTCTAAATCTGCCTGATATACGACTTATACTTATTTTACATAAAAAATTGAGCTAAACATTATTTATGATTAATATTTACAAGCAATCTTTATTTTAATCGAGTAATAATAATACCCTGTGACAATTATTTTGTGATTCGTTATTCAGATGCGTGTGATCGAGGGTCGTTGTGGCGTTTGACAGCATCTTGGCGCTGAGCAGTCTTTCGCGCAAGGACACGAGCAGGCCGTGTTAGCGAATTCTATCAGCATCTTCCTCTCTTCTGCATCTGAAAAAAAAAAATCTTTTTATCATTGCATCCAATAAATTACCACAAATAAACCAAAATGATTATTAAGCATTATGATTTGTAAGTAAAGTTTCGGAGAATAAGATATTCAAAAACTAGTTTTAGCCCGCGACTTGTTCGTTAATTTCGGAATTACTAATATATGTATAGCTGACTGGGCGAACTGTATTCCGCTCTAGATGCCATAAATATATTGGAGTTTATTAAGTTTTTTCTTTTTCGATCGAACAGAATTAAATATCCGTCTCCTTGTTCTAATCTATGTCTCCACCAATTGTCAACCATATCTGTACAGTCGTTCTTGAGTTATAAATATGTAGTATAACTAACACGACTTTCTTTTATATATAAAGATAATAACGCTAAACTGGCCCCACTATAAATTCCTCTAAATATATTAAAAGAGTACAAAATAGAAGAACATCTTCTTCTTCCTGGCAATTTCCCAGCTTTAGCCAGGTTCTGCCAAAAATAGAAGAATATTAATAATAATTACCTGAATCCGGTGTAACTATGAATTCTGGTTGAAGAGTTACCAGGCTGATGCCGTGACGTTTGAAAATGTCACAGACGAGACCCGCGCTACTGAGGTAGTCCTACAACGATAAACATTACCAGTAAAAGATAATACTTAGAGCAAATAAACTTCAAAACGACAGAAAAATAAGAAATTCATGGCGGTAGGTGATAAATAATAGGACAAACTGACATTCACATCTCGTCTTAATGATCACGGTTGATGAAAAGTAACCGAAACGTCGGGAGTATGTAGTTTATAATCAAAAATCAGAAAAATATTAGTTTCATTTAAATTTAAGATCGAAGATTAATTTACAAATCATTTTTAAACCAAGACTAATATTTTAAACGTTTTAAAACACTTCATAATTCGTCAATATCGAATAACATTCCTGAATTTTTTTATATCATTTATAAATTACTAGCTGCGCCCCGCGGTGTTACCCGGATTTCCGGGATGTAAAGTAGCCTATGTGTTATTCCTGAACGTCAGCTTCCTGTATACAAAATTTCATCAAAATCGGTTCAGCCGTTTGAGCGTGAAGGAGTAACAAACATACACACACAAACTTTCGCAATTATAATATTAGTAGGATTGTTCTAGTATCTACATACCTCGGGCGACTCATAAAATATATGAGCCGTGGCAACGATTCTGTCTCTATGTAGTTGCCACACGTGTAGCTCATGTATGGCGAGTACTCCTCTCACTCGGAGGGCCGCCTCACGAAGAGACCCTGGGCCCAGGCCTTCTGGCACTGTCTGCAATAACACCAGGCCGGCAGAACGCACTGGGCAGAAGCGATCGATAGGTTAATCCATATTTTAATACGTAAGATTCAATTTACACAATATCATAGGGCAAGTTGAGTTTATTTTCGATATAAATATGATAAAAAACTAGATATAAAGTTTTTGAATATGAAAAGACAATGTTTGAGACCCATATATTCCTAGCGGATGAAAGAACTTGGAAGTCACTGTACAGATACTAACATGTACTTAGGAGTATCTTATATCTTTAAACGGGCAATTCTTGTATATATAATTGGAATCAGCTCCAACGATTTTCATGAAATTTATTATATAAAGGGTTTCAGGGCGATAAATAATAAGCTAGGAATCATTTTCAGAAAAAGTAATTTTATGAAAAACAAAAACAAAACGGAGGCGTTTAAAATATGACTATTCCTGACATCTATTGGCGAATATTAATACTACTTTTTGCTAATTACTCTTACTAATTGCTTTAACGACACAACAGCAGATGGCGTTGTTAAGTAACAGTAAGTCAATGAGTGTTTGTTTTGAGGTAAGACTAAGAAATTAATTGTTGATTTATATTGTTTTGTGTTTTCTAAACGTGGTCACTTAAAAATGCTTAAACGAAATAAAAAAAAAAAATACAAAATTTATACTAAATCCCTAACAAAGCTCGGTAACTAGATGTTATTTAATTAAATAAGAATTAAGGCAAGATCCATTCACATCTTTTAAAGATTTGGAAGATTTTACACTTATACATATATTAAATTCGTGGTTTTCTATTAGATTAAAAAACTGTTAACATTAAAACGTAATTTATTTGCTTGTTTATGATTGTGATGTTCACTTGGTTTCGATGTAAATGTCCTTTCAAATTATAGATTTAAAATAGTATTGAATAATTTAAATTTTATTGTATCATTCATACATAAAGGCGACGGGAATAAAATAAGTTAAGGAATTATTTTAACAGAATATAAGTAAATTTATATACAGGGTGACTGGTGAATTACTATCGATACTTGAGGACGTGATATTTGACGATCATATATGACAAGATAAAAATTAATATAACATAAATATTAATAAACTTCTAAGTAAAGTTAACCGAAAGTTATGTAATTAATTACGCATCGTGTGAACACCCTACAGATTAGGTATACACACACACTCACACATACGCGTGCGGCGGCGTGGTGTTGTATCAGCACGCCGCTGCACGCGTCCACACTTGGAACACTTGGAACGTGTCAACACTTTATTTATTTATACGGAAATTTTGTCAAAAATTAAGTGCCTATTTTTTTACATAATTCGAATGAGAATCATGTACCGAGTATTCCCCTTAAATATTGATAGTAATTCACCAGTCACCCTGTATTTTTTTTGTATAAGTAATGGCTTTTAAATTAAGTTTTTTATTTTTAATCATCATAAAGAATCTCAAGCCTAGACAATATTTAGAATTACGTAAAATAAATAGTTCCGGAATTAACGATCATTTTTATAAAATCGCGATTAGGATTTCATATCAAATGTATAACTTGATAAGACGAAAAAAATTCTAATTCTATTTTTAGGATATCAGATAAATTCCGTTGGTTACATAAAAAAGTTATATTAAATATTAAAATGAAACGTAAAAAATACGTCTGCTTTCAATGTTTTTAGACTACTAGCTGACAAGGGAATTTCGTACCGCACTATAATCAAGAAATATGTGTTACTACTACAAATTATCCTGTAGATACTAATGAAAAATACACTAAGAAATGGTAAATAAATTATGTATTTTGTTATTATAACTGCGACATCAGACCAACTCCGACCGATATATTTGCAAAGAGCATGTAAATTTATTTTAATTGCAACTACATGAAAATTACTTTCATTAAAAAAGTAAAATATTGTAGTAGTTTATTTTTTAGTTATTTTTTTTACATAAGTATTTTCTCCTAATAATAACAAATACAATAAAAAAAGAATTATTGAAATCGGTCCAGCCATTCCGTGATGCCGTGACCAAGGGAAAAATTGATTCATTTTTATATATACATATATAAAGACAAGGCAGACCCTTGCTAAAGCTGGGAGGTTGCCAGGAAGAAGAAGATAGATAAAGACATTAAGTCAGTTGTGGCCTAGTGGTTAAAAGGCCCGCCTCTCATTTATGAGGGTGTGGGTTCGATCCTGGCAAGTACCAATGTGATGTTTCCGAGTCATGTACTTTCTAAGAGTATTTAGACATCACTGATTAATGCATTCCCAAAAATGGTCGATGTCAGGCAGGCGGCCGGTCGTAAAAACAATAGCCAAAACTATTCACATGTAAGGCAGACCCTGGCTATAGCTGGGAAATTGCCAGGTAGATAAAGACATTGAGTAATAAGATCTTGTTTAAAGTACTATATGTTTTAAACAGTTTTGTTTTAGAAGTAATGTGATGAGTGTTATGGTTAAGTCGCGGTATCAATAACAAAGGTTAACTTAAAATAACATTAATGACAGCCATACGGTCGATTGAAATGACTCATAGGTATTTGAGTTCTGATGTATAAACCTTTGATGATAAAATAGGAACAAAAAGGTTTTAATACATAAGATACTACCAATTTTTTATGTCAGCGTAATATTTTAATTTGTATTTGTTTCAAAACTATATCTATTTTTTCAGAAAGGGAGACTTTTAGTATTTTTTTATTATTATTTACCATTTAATCTGTATTTGTTTCAAAAATTTAATCTATCTTTTTTTATTAGAGAAATTTTTAAATATTTCATTTTTTAATTAAACAATCCCCATACTCTTCTTATTCTTCCTGGCAATTTTTCAGCTTTAGCCAGGGTCTGCCAAATCAGTCCTCATACTAATGGGTTTTAATTATTCTTTTATTAAAACGCGGGAAAGCAATACATTTTAATAATTAGTTAATTACATTTTGCGTGTATTCGCCAAGGTCAATGACCTGGCATTGGACGAGTCCATAATGTAATGTACGACGGCTGACATGCGAATTAATCATATGTTTGGGAAAAAAGATTAATACGACCAAAGATATCCATTATAACTTGATCCTTGACCTCCCTTTAATATATTGACATTGTCATTTATATATACAGGTATTATTCTTCTTCTATCTGTCAATTTCCCAGATTTAGCCAGGGTCTGCCTTACATGTGGATAGTTTTGGCTAATTGTTTTTACGATCGGCCGCCTGCCTGACATCAACCCTCTTTGGGAATGCATTAATCAGTGATGTCTTAATACTCTTATAAAGTACATATGACTTGGAAAAATCATTAGTACATACTTGCCAGGATCGAACCCGCGCTCTCATGCTTGAGCGGCGGGTCATTTAACCACTAGGCCACCACTGACTTAACTAAACTCTTATTATTCGTCGTAAAATAAAGTTTACTTTGTGTGTATTAGGTATATAATATAACTAGAAGACCCGGCGAACTTCGTATCGCCCTATAATCACGAAACATCTGTTACGTTTTTTATTTATATTTTTGAAGTTTACCTATTAAAGCCATAAATCTCCGTGTTTTGAAATGCGACAGAATGATTGACATATTAGTTAATTGTCACATCTAATGTCAAAAAAACGTTTGTATCAACAAGTACTAATAAATTAAAAACTAACTAAAAAAACATTGTCCAGCGGACAAAATTGTGAATCTAAACCATTCCCAGATCCCGTTGAACACACACAAAAAATTTCATCAAAATCGGTCCAGTCGTTTGAGAGAAATTCAGTGACATACACACTCACAGAAGAATTATATATATATAATACTCACTGAATGGATAGTTGAATATAACGAGTGTGATGGCAGCGGCTGCTGAGAGCGCCGGGTCAGCTATCCTGGCGGCTACTGGCTCCCACTCCAGGGTCAGACCGGCTGCCATCACGAATAAACTGCCTGAACCATACACAAAATAAACACCATGTATACGATATACAGCATGTTCCTTCATTCGCTTAGTCGCATTCAAGTATTACGTAACGCAATTATGGGGGGGGGGGGGGGGTCTCGTAAAAACGTTACTGTGCGTTACGAGGGCGGAAGGGTGGTTAAATATCTTCGAAAATTGCGTTACGTAATACTTGAACGCTCCCTTATTGTACATGAAAATGTATGATCAATACTAATATTATAAATGCGAAAGTAACTCTGTCTGTCTGTTTGTTACGCTTTCACGCCTAAACCACTGAACTGATTTTAATGAAATTTAGTACAGAGATAGAGTTGACCTTGAGAAAGAACATAGGATAGTTTTTATCACAGACTTTTGAAAGGTTCTTTTAGAAATGCGATATAACCGAACTCCACGCGAGCGAAGCTGCGGGCGGAAAGATAGTAATCTATATATCGATGGCTCCTATGTATAAGAACCAATGTACAAAATGACAATTGTTCAGTAGAGGCGTTTCAAGTTTGATGTCAATGTATATTTTACACACAACTGATGCTTTTGAAACTTTTGTAGAATACAGTATTATGAAGTGTTTAATTAAAAAAAATAAAATGGCTAAATTGCTACATTGGCATATACATGGGACCTACGAAATATTTGAGTCATCATTGTTTGTCGGAAATAAATTCCTAGTTTTCATCATATTACCAAAATTATAAAGTCGGAAATACAAATAAAATAAAAATAATCGTGCTAATGTACATCTAACTTAAGATTGAATATTATTTTGAACTTAATTCATCTCAAATATCTGTAAGGAGTTTTGTTCGTATTATGACAGTGACATGACAGATGTATGTATGTGGTAGTTATATGACCGGTTTAACGGGAGAAAGTCACTCACTGGCTATGTCTGTGGGCGCGTGAGCCAGTACAGGCTCAGCGGTTCCTGACTTCAGAACCACATCACCACCTTCGGCTATACTCAGACGACGACTGTAACTCAACTCTCGACCTTAAAAATATGACGTTTTAAGATGATTTTTGATTGTATGGTGCATGGGAAGAGTACGTAATGGCATATTGTTGTCTTTATAGGTCTCACTGTGGTTTATTGTTAACACAATGCAGTATTACTTTGAAGTATTGAAAATATTTTACAATAGATCCTAGAGAGAATTCTATCAAGTCATATACTGCTTAAATATACCTATGCAGTATTTAAAGAAAACTTATTCAATAATTAGGTAAATATTTTGTAGGGCTAATGTATAGGGCTGGCAAACTACCCGACTAAACAGAAAAAATAACATAATTTAAGATCTACTCACCAGCGAGTAGCATATAATTAGTAGCGTGCAACAAAAGTCCAACAACAGCGCTCAGGACGATGACCCGAGGGAATTTGGGCGGAGTTACATGTGAGGAATGAACTCCCAGCTGTAGGGCGTTCACTACTAGGGCTAGAGCGAAGGAGGCAAACAATACATGAACGGATAACCTCCCAACTACTTCAATGCGGGTCCAGCCGAATGTGTTCCGGAGACGACCCTCGCGCCCAGCACCTTCATCAGCTCTTTGGTACTGGAAAGATTTTAAATCAATTGTCTACCTCTTATCATTTGTTTATGTAAGAATCAGCTGTTAGCTCTAAACTATTATTAGTGGAAAGTATCGACTGTCATTTAGATGTTACGAAAGTTGGCTTCTTTGTAAAACACATAATACTTTGTTAAAATATATATAATTACATTATACATACATATATAGCTGTATAGAAATTTTAGTTTCTATATCTTGGACTATTTAAAACAAATTGTCACTTCCTTACTCGTGAAACACGTGCCATTTTAATTTGGAACATATCAAATATTGTAATACTTGGCAAGAACATTTAGTAACAGTGTATTATTAATATAAATGATATTATTTTATTCATATATATACTGAAATTATTTGGGCAGTACTTCCACTTAGATGTTAACTACTCCAAAACTCGTAACAGAATCCCCAGTCTAACACTTGTATCGTATTTATAATATTCAAAAGTAACGTTTAGGTGAGGGATTATAATATTGGGCGCTAGTTCCCCTCATAAAAGTTTCCATTAAATAATAAAACACTTAACATTGTGTAAAACATGCTAAGGCTCTAATTATAAATTATAAAACCAACCGTTAAGTATTTGGACATTTAAATTATTGTACAGAAATATTATTAACATTAATTTACACAATTATAACAAAAACAGATGACACTAGTTGACTATCATAAGAATTCCCAATAAATATTAGAATATAAATAACGTTAAGCTTGGAATTGTGAAGTAGACAACAATTTAAATCATCCCTACTAATATTATAAATGCAAAAGTAACTCTGTGTGTCTGTCTGTTACGCTTTCACGTCTAAACCACTGAACTGATTTTAATGAAATTTGGTACAGAGATGGAATTGAGCTTGAGAAAGAACATAGGATAGTTTTTATCCAAGACTTTTGAAAGGTTCTCTTGGAAACGCGATATAACCGAACTCCACGCGGGCGGAAAGCTAGTTATTAATAATAATTATTACTAACAATACCTTATACGCCAACAGTGTGGTGATGAGTCCCACCAGTCTACACAAGGAGTGACAAGCATCCACCAGGAGAGTTGGTGAGTGGGTGACATAAGCTGCACACATCCGACCACCAAAACCTGTTATGGCTATCAGCAATGCCATCAAGGAGCGAGGTGGTGGAAGCCACTGCAGCCATTCTTTCATAGCCATAGCTTAGTCTAGATCTGCAAAAAAACTTTTGTTTAATTGGCTTAATTAGGAGCTAGTGGAATTTAGTCTTGTAGAGAAAAATGTTTATTTTGGCATACCCTCAACTAAGGGTTATGTTAACTTAAGAACACAATACTAAATGAAACTAATATTTTCGGATTAATTACGCGTTTTTTATTGTGACACTCACATCTCGTCTGCGCGTGGTCACGGTTGCTGTAAAGTAGCCGAAACGTTGGGAGTGTGTAGTTTATAGTCAAAAATAAAATCGTGTACTAAATCCGAAAATATTAGTTTCATTGAATACTCGCGAAAATCTTAGATCTTATAACAATATACTATCTAAGTATATTATCCAGTGACCGATCTGCTTGAGATAGATAGATAAAAATGTTTGAAAGAATATTTCAAAAGAATATACGAAGAATCTTCATTTCTCAAAAAATAATTCAAATTTGATTAAACAATTTAGTTCGAGAAAATAAAAAAAGACAAAATATCGTTAAACATACATACTGAACTAAATTGAAGATTGAAATAGAATTTATTTTTCTATGGGTTTCCATTTCGTAGTTATCACTGGATAAAAAGTATTTATAATGATGAAGTTAGAATATCATGGTTCATTTAGAAGTGCAATGCAATCTATAGAAATTTTATTTTATTTGAAATTACTTAATAATAATAAAATTTACACTATTTATATACTGACAGAACTAATTAATATTTTAATTCTATACCTTTTTGTATGCTCTGATGTTATTTTGTTTGAACATAACAGTTAAGAAACAATACGATAATTTTTTAAATAATGATTTATATAGAACACGACTAGTATTACATCATTATGTGTATATATACGATTTATTCTTTATATATATGTATATATAGATATCGTACAAAACTTAGCACTACTTCTCATTTTAAAATTACAACTAAATATGTATAGAATAGTTTTGAAGGAAAGATTCTTATTTAAATTTATGAATTGGTGAGGTCTAGCTGGTTGATTGATGGTTAGGTCTCGTTTGATGTTAAGAAATAATGAAAAATATGTACTAATCACCTAAATATGTATTACCAAATCTATACAAATACTTCTAAAGTAATTGCACGAGACATCAAATAGCTTTAATTTTTAACGTGGCATTTTAAAATAATTACCATTTTTAACAACTTAATACCACAAACTAAATTTAGTCTAGGTGGTTTAATGGTTAAAAACCCACCTCTCGGGCATGAGGGCGCGGGTTCGATCCTGGCAAGTACCAATATGATTTTTCCGAGTCATATGTATTTTCTAAGAGTATTTAGACATCACTGACAGATGAAGGAAAACATCGTGAGGAAACCTGGACTTATTTCACAATTATAAGTTTGAAATCACCAATCCGTCTTGAGCAAGCGTGGTGATTAATGCTCAAACCTTCTCCATGTGAGAAAGAGGCCTCTCAGCAGTGGGCTCTGATAGGATGATGTAAATTCCTAGAGATTTTAATAATTATTATTATTATTATAGTTTTACTAATAAATCTTGTAACTATCTATCTCAATCTGTTTCTAGTTCCATATATCAATATTGTCAAATAACAAGAGCCTATAATTTTTTATAGCATTTGCAACAATGGCTTATACTTAAAAAGCGAGTGAAAATAATAAAATTGATGTACATTGTACGTAGTATTGTGGTAAATATTATGGAAATAAAAAACATTTAAGTATTCATAGTAGTAGTGATATATTGGATATAACTATTTTTAAATCATATAGATATCTAATTATAGTAATGTTTCTGAAAGACTCTATAATCTATAAGAAAGCAATATATTTCGGATGCACTACGAGATTTTCATTAAGATTATAAACTATATACTCCCGACGTTTCGGTTACTTTACAGCAACCGTGATCATTAATACGAGTCTAATCTATGGAATAATGATTGGAACATAATATTCATTTTAATTAAAGTCAATAATTACAGCAAAGGTACGTAAATGAGTTTTCAGATACAATATATTTTGTTAAATATAAAATTAGTTCAAGTATAGACAAAGTGAAAGCGTCGCAAAATTTTGTTATCATTTTATTATTAATAATCTATACTAATATTATAAAGCTGAAGAGTTTGTTTGTTTGTTTGAAAGCGCCAATCTCCGAAACTACTGGTTCAAATTGAATAATTCTTTTTGTACTGGATAGTCCAGTTATCGAGGAAGGCTTTGGGCTATATAACATCGCACTACGACCAATAGGAGCAAAGATATAGTGGTAAATGTGTAAAAAACGGGAGAAATTATTTCATCTTTGAAGCCTTCCGTTGGGTACGCCGTGAAAACGGTTCAAGATACACAAAAAATATGTATTAAAGAATAATAGCTCTTTTAATGATCTAAAAAACAGTCCGCGACAGTATATGTCTATCTTTTAAGATTAACTCACAAAAACCGTTTTTATGGTACCTAATTTGGTCGAAATAATTTGTTAAAGTTGTATCAACATAATAATATTAATCTTTATTCAAATAAACAAATAAATATGTTGTTGGTTAAGAGTACTTCATTGTGAATAAAAAAACAGGTTTTATCCTGAAAATACTACGGGAACTCGACCATTCCGAAAACCCCGCAAGAACGGGAACTATGTGGGAAGAACCAAAAATCTGCCGGAAGTCACTATTTCACGCGGACGAAGTCGCGGCAAAATCTAGTTATTAATAATTTGATATAAATAAAGTTTTAATTATATTCTAAATTGTCAATCTTTTGAAAATTATTTTGTTATTATTCATAAATAGTAATTGCGTGGTTATTTCATTAATGAGAGTCGTTTCATTCAATTGTGTAGACTTCGATTACCGCAGCGTGAAATTAAATTAGTAACGTATTACAAAGAATATAATTATATTTTGAAATGGTGATAAAAATTCTCATTAATAAGTAATTATTATAATAAATATAAAGTATTGATTTAAATTTATATACAGGGTGACTGGTGAATTGCTATCAATATTTAAGGAGGATACTCGGTACATGATTCTCATTCGAATTATGTAAAAGAAATAGGTACTTAATTTTTGACAAAATTTCCGTATAAATAAATAAAGTGTTGACACGTTCCAAGTGTTCCAAGTGTGGTCGCGTGCGGGGGCGTGCTGATACAACGAAACGCCGCCGCATTCGTATGTGTGAGTGTGGGTGTATACCTAATCTGTAGGGTGTTCACACGATGCGTAATTAATTACATAACTTTTGGTTAACTTTACTTAGAAGTTTATTAATATTTATGTTATATTAATTTTTATTTTGTCATATATGATCGTCACAAATCACGTCCTTAAATATCGATAGTAATTCACCAGTCACACTGTATAATTTGTATTGTAAAGTATGGAAAATGGTGAAGTTTTTAGAAGAATTCGTGAACCTATTCCAGGTGTATCTAGGAGTTTCGACTCGGAACAGATCTTCAAATTTACGTGAAGTTATGACATTTGATGAATGACATGGAATGAATTTATAAGACATTCTCTAATATACTAAAATGTATTAAAAGTAAAAAGATTATGAGATCTAAGATTTTCGCGAGTATTCATTTAAATGAAACTAATATTTTTTGGATATTTCGGACTTTATTTTTGTAAAAACCTACATATTAATGACGTTTCGGCTACTTTTCAGCAACCAAAAAAAAAGTAAGAAGATTGTATGAATACACTGATAAATAAGTACAAAAAAAATAATGTTTTATTATATTAAGAAAGATAGTTTAAGAATAATATAGTCAGTGGTGGCCTAGTGGTTAAAAGGCCCGTCTCTCATGCACGGGGACGCGAGTATTTAGAAATCACTGATTAATGCATTCCCAAAAAAGGGTTGATGTCAGGCAAGGCCGGTCGTAAAAACAATTAGCCAAAACTATTCACAACATGTAAGGCAGACCCTGGCTAAAGCTGGGACATTGCCAGGTAGAAGAAGAGACACATTGGCTGTCAGCATTAACTGACAGCCATGACTGAGGTGACTTGAAAAAACAAAAAGCTCACAAAATTATAATTTGAACTAAGCAGGAAACATACTTAGTTGATAATTATTAAATGGTCTTGAACGTCACTGATAGACACAGAAAATACATATTTTACGCGTATTATAAGTGTGCGGCATACATTTTTGTATTATTAGAAAATTTCCAACAATACTTATTGTTCGGATCGGCTCGAGACGAATTCTATATTCTATTGTTTTCATGGTAAGAATTTATATTATAGAAATATTTTAAGTTATATATGTATACAAAAAGTATGATTAAATTTCACTGGTTAGAAAAATATCTTACAATAGTTTCTAGATTCTAGATATTAGGCTAGACTAAATATTCGTTATCAGTTTTAGCGACTGTATTTTTTTTTTCATCCTATCAGAGCCCACTGCTGAGTCTCTTCTCACATGGAGAAGGTTTGAGCATTAATCACCACGCTTGCTCAAGACGGGTTGGTGATTTCAAACTTATAATCATAAAATTATAAGTCGAGGTTACCTCACGATGTTTTCCTCCGCCGTCTGTCAGTGATGTCTAAATACTCTTAGAAAGTACATATGACTCGGACACATTGGTACTTACAGGATCGAACCCACGCTCTCGTGAACGAGAGGCGTCAGGCGGTCCTACTAACCACTAGGCCACCACTAGTGAATGTATGGATGTATTTAATAATTAAAACTATCCTATGTTCTTTCTCAAGGTCAACTCTATCTCTGTACCAAATTTCATTAAAATCACTTCAGTGGTTAGGGCGTGAAAGAGTAACAGACAGACAGACAGACAGAGTTACTTTCGCATTTATAATATTATTATGTCGGTTTATTACATTATCTATGTTAAAACATGTTTCTTAGTGTCCGAAGTACAAACGAAAGTCACGGGCAAACACTAGTTAAAATACGCATGTATGTTTGTGTCCATATATTATCAGTATTTTTTTATCAGTTATGGTCATATATAC